ATACAGTAAATGGACAAAAGTACAAAGATTCACAAAATGTTTAGGGGTATGCGTCCCCCTGCGCCCCCCCCCAAAAAAGCACTGGCTCTGCTGAAGGTGAACAAGTAAGAAGGTGGCCTTTCTTTCAAGGATCTGTATCTCTCCGTCTCCTTCCTTGCTATTGCCTGTAATGCAGCTACAACACAGTGGGTTGCACCAGCAGAAAACATGTCTGATCCACTTTCTTTTGCTGGCTCTGCGCTCCATAGCCCATATTGCTATGGTGGGTTCCCTCAATCCTCCGGATGTTGGGGGGAGGTGCATGCAGCGGGAAGTGGTGAGTGGTAAAAATCTGGTGTGCCTGGCACTAGCACAAATCCGTTAATTTCTACAGCAAGCTAGTGAGCGGAAGGGAATTCTCATTCAGCTCTTATTTAAAAGTGATCGGGAGAAAAACTCTGGGTTCATAATGCTCACCTTCGGATTGAAAACATTATTAGTTGCCAAGATTCAATAGAAACTTTTATGGTATCATTAAATTTGGTGCATACACTTTGAAACTGTGGACGTGAAGCCTGCCTCTTAGCAGTATTCAGAAGTTCAGCATGGGGGCAATTAAGGCACAATGTGGCCATTGTGCTGAATTTTGAGCCAAATTTTGACTAACAGGTATATGAAAATACGTAACTAAAATGTGGCACAACACACAGGAAGTCAGCCAATGTACCATGGTCATTTATGTGTAGTCCAAATACACATAGTGAAACCCAAGCTCCTGGGAAACTCCTTACGGTGGGCTAGAGCATACTTGCCAGGAGTTTTAAGGGCCATTCTCCACCTGCTATGACCTATAGCAGAAATAGGAACTGATTGTGCGATTTCTGGACATATGCCATAAAGTTAGCCAGTAATACTGTATCCAAAATATCAAAGAGAAGGATTGGTCAGATAGTGTAAGCACCATGGGGATAACACTATCAGTTTGAACCACGTTGGCACGCAGTCTTTTTAATGCCCAAGATAAAGGTGTCAAGGCAAGCATCCAGGTGCTTACCCTGTCTGTAGTGGTGTAGTTTGTCTTACTAGATGGTTTACTTCCTCACAAATGGTTACTCCAGGTACTGCCCCCGCTTGGCTCCAATATGAAAAATGAAGTCAGGAATGAGGCAGAAAATGCCTGGAACTGAGTAAGAGAAGCTATGGTGCTGGTAGATAAAACTAAAGCACCCTCTCCAATATGCTATATTTACTGTTAGGATATCCCCACCCCAACAAATTGGACAAATGAAAAGAAAGGCATTTGCAGGTAACTAAGATTTCCCCATCATAGGCTGTTTAAATAATATTTAGGATGGATACATGATCTCAACCATGCCTTTATGTGTTATGCATGTGTTATGCATATAGAGTCTATATGCAGGTTGCACCCTAAAGCCAGTGTAGCAGCTTCTAGGACTGAAAATAAGAAGTGGTGCTTATGCCAACATCTCTAATGGAAGTAGGCTCAATTATGGCAAACTCCAAAGTTCAGGGCTAGCTCAAAATGAGCTTGTCTGTAGTGCTGGTCATTATTTATTATTGTTGCTGTTATTACTGTTATATTTGTATACCATCCACTACTTAAATCCTCTGGGTGGTTTACAGCGTTATTAGAAGTACAAAATAATATAAATGAGAACCAATTCTAAACAATACAAATCAGCACACAAACATGCAAATGTCAGCACAAACACAGCAGCATAAAATCAGTCTAGAACAATCATAACATCAGAAGGTGAAAAGACACTGGTGCAAGGAATTAAGAGATCAAAAATGCCCGTCTGTTGCAAATTTAGAGACCTGGGAGAAGAAAAAGGTCTTCATCTGATGCCTAAAATGCCCCTTTTTGGATTGTAAGCATGGAATCAGGGACTGAATTATTTTTTTAGAGATCTTAAGCTTCTGTGGGAGCCTCTTTTTTTATGGAGTAAGATGCAAATACTTTAAGTAACTAAAGGAAAATAGAAATATGGTGAGCCTTTTGGGGGGTGGGGCATTTCATAAACAGGGTGCCACCAGCAGCCATTTTCTTTCCCCAAACTTACCCTTGTGAAAAGGAGGTCCTAAAAGCAGGGAAGCAGCAGCCTCATCATTTGAATGGCCTGGATGTTCAAACAGAATGCCCATCATTTCCAAGAAGTCTGGGCAATGACATTCCCAGTTGCACCTGGCTCAAAGGAATTAGTTAGGAGGTACTGAGAACTCCATTTCTCAGACTCGCTTCAGAGAATCAATGCCATTTGAAGCATCCAGACCTTAAAAATGAGGTTGGTGCTTTAATCAGTCTCCAATAGTCCTCTATAAATCCCTCTTGGCAGCACATTCTGGGAGTAGGACAACCAATGGAGAGTTCCTGTCTCATTATTAAAAACTGCAAACAATCTGGATTTTTTTTTCTGAGAATGCTCTATACTAATTACAAGCTGAGCCAGGAGCCTTTGCCCACCACTAGCACAGGAAACTTAAGATGTTTTCATCTAGATTTATGCAATAAAAACAATCACAGAGGGATTACCAAGCTTTAATTAGCCATACTGCCATATTTCACTCGTACCCCCAACTCTACAGTGGGTACCCAGGAAACCATGAGCAGAACTCTGTTCACAGAAAGGGAGTTCCCATATTCTTGAATAGTGCAGGATATGCTACAGGGAGCTACAATTGTCAGGGTCTACGGGAGGAGGAAAGAGAACCAGAAGTACAGATGCCCCTACTCTGCACCTTTTGTTTATGTAATGAAATTTTCCCTGCAAAAGGAGTAAGGATTTGTCTATATGCAAGCTTGTATTGCTACATGTACATTGTTTTTAACTTCTACAGATCTCTGTATGAACACCTATTGTAGAATTAAAGTGGTTTTATTGTCCTTTGCACAAACATTGTCCAAAATTCAGCAAAATTAATTCTCAGACACAAAACACACAGTACATTTAGGAAAATATCCCTTCATAATTATTGAACTTGATTCAAAGCACATCATGAACATTTACTGGTTCACACAGTTAATCACACATGTATATCAAGTTATTGTATAAAGTTCCAGAAACACTTTATTTAAAAATGGAGCTGTAAATGCTTGTAACATATATAATAAATGTAACAAAAAAATAAATAAGGAGTATGCATTCATACAAAGAACATTATAAATGAGAACATTTATTACAGAACACAAAAGGTGTAAACCTCTGAAAAAATAAAAACAATTGTGTGAAGAGTGTAAATGTTTAATTTTTCCATATCTGTTTCCTATTTTCCCACATAGGTGTGTTTGTGGTTCTTCTCCCAAGCACTGAAATGAGAAATGATGATGGCCAAAACCTTGTAACTGCTCTCAATGTATTTTGTTGTACACCAGTTTAAATTTTGACAGCATCTGTAAACAAGTGTTTTCCTGATCTCTGTCAATAGTGAGTGGGACACAGAGTTTGACAAGAGGCAGTTTCCAATTTTAAAGCAAAAAAACAAAACTAAAGCCAATATACAACAGGGTTTTGGGGTTTTTTATTTTTATATCTCTACAAAAAATGTTTTTGTATATTTAGTTGGTCAAACTTTGCAATGACTTCCAAAATCCTGTACAGTTTAAAAATTGTACAGGAAAAAAGTAGTTTTAAACAAGTGACACATAAGATTATTGCTGAAATATTAAAGACTATTTCATAAAAGCTTCAAAATTGTATTTGTAACCTTAATATATAGACTGATGCAAAAACAGGAAACTTCCAGTTCTTAGTTGCATTTAACAGAAGATCTTGAAATTACAGTGTTCTGGAAATATAGGGTTATTTACTTTTGTTATTATTTCTGAAAGTTAAGTTACAGGGACAACTTTAAAGATAAATAGGCTTATATGAGATATTTTGTTAGCTTTGCTGTTAAGCAGTATAAGCAAAAGGGCTACATTAGCAGTTTTCTTCCAGAAATTCTTATAACATATAAGACAGAGACTTACTAGAGAGTCTACAGGAAAAAACATGAACAATTTGGATGTCTGGAGTCAGTCTATTGACCAGATTATCACTATTCTATCTCCAAATCTTTTGAAGAAAATTTTACAGCTCATGATCATCTCAAGGAGCACTTATAAATGCATTTTTATTTGACCTTGGTGACACAGCATGAGAAAGGATTTAAAGGAATAGACTTACAAAGCTATACATTTAAACTGGTTTCATAGTTCCAAAATGATGACATTTCATTCTCATCAACATCAAAAAGACATATTGAACAGGATCAGCAAGGGCCAAATCTAGACTTTTGGGAGGTGGATTTGCGCCATTGTCGTGGTGTCATCTTTTTTAAAATAAGGACAGTTATGATCACTTTTCTATGTACATCCAAGTTATTAGCCCCTATTGATACTGATATGTTCACCTTCAACTCCCACCAAATTCTTAGTGCAAACATAATATTCATGTAAACCTCATGACAATTTACATAGCAATGAAGTTCTATAAATCACAATGGTTTGAAATCTTCAGTATGCAACAATGAATGCATTGTCAAGCCGGTCTCTCCTTATATTGTAACGTGTCATGGTATTAAGATGCAGGATATCCTAATTTAGATCCCCTTACTCAGAATCAAGTTTAAATGATCAATAATTTCATACAAATTTGAGTGAAGAGGTTTAATCACAAATCAGCTTGGCACAGGAGACTCAGAAATTTAATAATGCTGGACTTTCATCTGCTTGCATATCATTTTAACAGTCTGCTGAAACTAAGTAAACTATGGAGGGAAAGGTTCAAAATAAGTGCTTGCAAAGCCCATACAATTACCACAAACTGCGTTCTATGTCAATACCAATTTTACCTTAATGAGTCAGGAGGTGTGCGACATCCAAAGCATCACAGCTAAGTAGTTGGTATAACAAAGCAATGGCCCTTTTACCAAACTTTTTGTTACTTTTTGAACGATGATGCTAGGACTCTTTCATTGAATTCTGCACATTCAATACTAAAAGTTCTGATAGCATGTTGTCATTCGCGCAAAGTTGGATCTTCCTCCTCTCCGTCTGGATTGAACCGATTGAAATGTATGCTGAAATCATGCTCAGATTCAACATTGCCAAGTTCAGTTGAGGCTGGGGCAATGGTGGGTCGAACAGCTCTTGCTTCTGGCTGGCAGTTTGGCTGGATCTGAGGATGGGCACCTTGAGAAACAGAGCTGGACTTCTGCTTAGGCTGAGCTGCTTGGACAGCGCTCGCCAATCCCAAATTGCTCATGGCTTCCAATGTCCCATCAGGATCAATCATTGAATTTATCACTGAATAAAGAAAGAGGGGGAGAGGTTGGTCAAAAATCACTATTAGGATTTTTTTCATTCAGCTCATCTCGTGGGATGGAGCCATTACAATAGCCACCCGAGCAGCAGTGTTGCTTTCATGTACCAGGAAGGAAGAGGCAAGGTGACAGGGAGGTTGTGAATGCACTGGTGTATCCAATCAGATGCTCTTGCCACTGTGTTCTTGCAGCCCCAACCTTGCCCCTCCTGATAAGTGGCATAGATACTGCTGCTGGGAGGCTGTTGCACCCTGGTGAGCAAGCCACTCCTGGTGCCAGAGTTTCTTATGACGGAGGGCAATATTTCAAGTTCTCTTAAGGATAAAACCTAATCAGCTTTATGCAAAGTTCTGCAGGGCCAGAAACATGAGGAAGGAGGGGCTTTGGATGGCAGGACAGGACCTGTGTCTGTGGTCACTGAAGAAGCAAGGATGGGTAGTGGTGCTCCCTGTAGTCATAGCAACACACTCCTGTCAGTTGCCAGGGGAGGCAGCTGCAAACTGAACAGTCACCTGTGGAGTCAAGAAGACCTTTTCCACCCATATAACAATCTATTGTGAGATCCACTATTTGCCCAGTAGCACACTGACAGGCATTCCACTACTATGTCTATAGCAAAAACTAAGGTCTGGAGAACAGAAAGTAGCGACTCCGGCAGTGAGCAGTAGGGTCGAGTCACTATCAATTCTCGCCTAGTAACTGAATAGATAACCTTAAAAGTGGGGTTATCTATTCTTTTCATCTATCATTCTTTTCATCCCCTTGTCTCTTTCAATATCCTCTATAACTTCTGTAGGATTGTAACTTTTTTTAAAAAAATCAAATCAAAAGCCTGACAAAATAAAATTATTTGTATTCTGAAAACCCTGGTGTTCGCAACATCAGTATATAATATTAAATACCTTGTAGTTGCTTCTCAACTCTCTTCAGTTCTTGCAATATTGATGATATTTCCTGCATCAACACATGAAAAGCATTAGGTTCCATTAATGGACAAGCCACATTTCTTCACAGTATGTACATTACATTAATGATTGTATATATGTTAGGGGGAATGTAAGTAGAGTAGTTTATATGCATAACTGCTGGCTATTGTGCACCTTCATCAGACTTCATGGAGAAGACACAAAGCCTGTTACAGACACACACACACACACACACACACACACACACCCCTATGTGTGTGGTTTGGCTGTGTCTATATATCTGTCTGTATATTGTACTGTTTTGCTGTTTGCCACCCTGGGCTCCTTTGAGAGGAAGGGTGGGATATAAATTCAACTTATTAATTAAATAAAGACTTAAAACAAGGTGAAGAACTTTTAAAGCGGCTATATTCTCAGGTACATTAGAAGCTGTTTTATAAAGAACTGGTCTATCTCTTTCAGGTTTGTCTACACAAACTGGTATTGGCTTTGCAGTGTTTCAGGCAGGAGTCTTTTCTAGCATTACCTGGAAATGCAAGGGATTGAACTTCTGCATGCAAGGAAGATGTTCTGCCAGTAAGCTACAGCCACTCTTAGTGAAAAAGCTTCCAAAATCGATCATCTTTCAACCTTCAGCAGCTGAGGGACTGCTTCCCCTTTTCAAAATTATTACTTGAGAATGACAATTATTATTTCATCATACCATGCTTGATGTTTTCACAATTGGGATTTCACTTTCAGCTCGTAGCTTCTTTTCAATGTCTTCCCAATTTCGGTCTTTGTCCTTAAACAAGACTCTGTAGCCAAAAAGCACAGAAGAGTGATTATAAGCCTTATGCTATAAAGACTTGCATGACTGCGTAACAATAAAAAATCATCACCTGCCTTAAAAATTCTAATTGAACGCAACTCAAAATAAGATGGGCATTTACAGTCTTGTGGCAAGCCTATATTGCTCTTGCTCTTACTTGCAGGGGAGACAAAATTACAAAGCTATAAATTTTACCCAGTTGTCATTTTCTCCTCAGAGTATGCACACAGACAAATCTAAACATTCCAAATGTTTTCCATATTTTGTAACGAACTACTTCGTAGTGGCTGTACTTCCAGCACTCTAGAAAACTGGAGGATGGAAGTACGGGCAAGGTGAAAAGAGAAATATCTCTTTTGACCTTGATGGGACTGACACAGGACTTCATGGGTAGAGATCTGGGAATGCACTCTCTTCTAAAAATACAATAAAAATGGAGATAGGAGCAGCGGGGGGGGGGGCATTCCGTAGGAGGAGGGAACCATTCCTTAGGGGACAAACTGATACACTTTCATGAAGAGTACATATATCCAAGGATTGGTGCCAATAGGAAATTTGACCATTGGAAAAACAGAGAGATGGGCTTGTGATGGGAGTGTACACTTCATGGTGACTAGCCCGCTTGATATAAAAGTTGTGGAGGTCATGCCTCATCTAGATAAGAGTGGATGACAGTGCCTGGGAAGACTCAGCTGCCATGGTGCATGTCAGCACCAATGATGTGCAGAACTGTGATCATATGCTCCAGGAAGCTCAGTTTAGATTGCTAGGTAGGAAGTTGAAATTCGGGATAGTGTCCACCTGGGCATAGCAAAGACCATTTAGATGAAAGGACCATCAAGTGCAGCATTTCACTCACTCAGCGGACAACCAGTTACTCATGGGAAGACTGCAAACCTATTCCGATTGCAAGATTCCTTTCCTCACCTGCAGTTCCCAGAAGCACCTATTCAGAGGCATACTGCCTTCAACAGTGGAGGTGGCAGTACTGCTATTTTTCTAGGAAAAGAGGTGCCAGAACTCACCATGAACGCCTCCCTTGTTCACTTAGAATGTCAATGGCGCCCACCTGAGAGGTGCTGGAACTGAGTTCCAGCTGGAAAAAAAGCCCTGGCTAGTGGTCATTGTCAAGCCTTTTAAATAATAATAATAATAATTTATTATTTATACCCAGCCACTCTGGGCGGCTTCCAACAAAATATTAAAATACAATAGTCTATTAAACATGAATGTGTCTAGACCCCCTTTAAAGCCAGCTTGATGGCCATCAATGCATCTCGTAATAGCAGATACTATGGAATGTGCTGTGTGAAGAACTTCTTGTCTGTTCTGAGTCTTCTAACATTAAGTTTCATTGCATGTCCCTGTGCACCAGTATTAAGAGAGAGGATCCACTTTCTCCCACAACATAGACAGTCTTATATACCTCTGTCATGCCCATCCCTTACTCCCAAGAAAAAAAAAGCCTCTTTGTCAAAAAGTAGTGCAAAATATCTTGAGAAACTCACATAACTCCAGGAATAAGTGCTAGGTCTGAATTAGGCAAGACTTGACTGAAATTATCTTTTGGCTATTCTGAGCAATCCAGGATAATTGGTTTAAAACGCCATTCACAAGTTTCAATGAACACAGCACATTTCAAACATTTTCATGAGATATAAAAATACTTTTAATAAACGAGTAGGAATTAGAGTATCAGAATAGTTTTTCAAGTTTCTGGCAAAGAGTTCATAGAGAATTAAAATTGAATAGATGAATATTTATTTTAAAACTTGTGTAGTTAAACACGTTATACAGACAGGTACTACTTTTATTTTCGTAACACTGGTTCTGGATTTGAGCAAATGTGAAGGATCAACTCCCCTCTGTTCCACATAGCATGGTCCTCTTAGATGTTCTCAATGTGACTTGATTATTAGATTGAATTTTGAGGAAAATGGGGGGGAAAACACCCCACTTTTCCTACTGCAAAGTTGAGTGAAGCCAGCATATGAAGGCAGCCCTATTCAGGGAAGTTTTTAGTATGTGATGTTGTATTGTGCTTTTATTGTTTTTTGTTGGGAGCCGCAGAGGCAACCCAGTCAGATGGGTGGCATATAAACAACAACAACAACAACAACAACAACAACTATTATTATTATTATTATTATTATTATTATTTGTCGGTCACTGCACATTACAAGAATATTGTTTTAACACTATATGCCCCCCTCCTCCTGTGTAAAGGAGTTCATTGTTAATAGCTCAATTTTTAAAATACTAATACTACGGCTAACAATAATATTTTAAGAAGACAGGAAGGGCCAATTTCTTCCTATTAAAATAAGCCAATGATTTTACATGGATTTTAATGGAACATGACCTGCAGTCAAAAGGACATAAACATTTTAATAATATTTTTTGCAAGAGAATTTTACTGATGAGGGCACAGATTACCTTATTTTGCCAGCTGTTTTATCTATAGACTGTCTAATCTTCCGGGAAAACTGGAAGACTGAGGACAACAGCAAGGTATCTCCCATAACCTGAAAGAGTTTCAAAAGACAAGTGTTCATTTAAATAATACAGTTTCTAGGTCACCTTCTAAAAATGTAAGTGACAATATCATGGCTTTTCCTTCCTAAACAATTATTCTCATGTCATGTACTTCCAATTTACTTTAGTTGGAGCACAGAACAATATTCAACTTTTTAAATTCATGCAACTTGTCAATATATGGAAATCATCTTTAGCCATAAGCATAGCTTTCATTGCAATAAAAAAGCGCATTCATAAATGGAAAAATAACACTGACTTCAGCTGGCTAGAGTCAATTCCCTGGTATTTGTTATCAGTATTTTATAAATTTATTGTTAGTATTAGTAAATGTTTGTAAAATAAGACAACTTCCAATAAACAAAACAATGTGCAGAAAAAGTTGAAATGTGAATTAAGAAGTATTGCAATTGAAATTAGGGAAAAATCTGCTCTGTGAGCTGCATTGATGAAACATACAGTGGTACCTCTGGTTACGTACTTAATTTGTTCTGGAGGTCCATTTTTAACCTGAAACTGTTCTCAACCTGAAGCAGCACTTTAGGGCCTCCTGCTGCTGCCGTGTCGCCGCCGTGCGATTTCTGTTCTCATCCTGAAGCAAAGTTCTTAACCTGAGGTACTATTTATTTCTGGGTTAGTGGAGTCTGTAACCTGAAGCGTATGTAACCTGAAGCGTATGTAACCCGAGGTACCATTGTATTCAATCCAACTGTGAACTATCCAATGGTCAGCAGAAAATAAACACATACAAAACTCAATGGAATGCCTGCTGAATCATGCTCTGGACCCCACTCACCAGGGGCTCTTCTTTGTGTCCTTCATGTAGAGATGTGGAGGGAGCAAGATAATATTCTGGGCCCACTTACGTAGCCAGTGTACAGTACTGCTAAACCCTCTGGGATTCGTACCTAGGAAATCATTAGGAGGCCTGGCAAGACACTTTGGCATTGGCACTGTGTGATTTGTTGCATCTATCTGTTTGGTGGTGAGCTCGGGTGCCTTGCTCTTGTGGTGCTCCCCACTGTGGGGTCCCCTTTAAATGATCTTATGGTGTCACTTGAAGGTCCTAGGCCGGGGTCAGCAAACTTTTTCAGCAGGGGGCGGTCCACTGTCCCTCAGACCTCGTGGGGGGCCGGACTATATTTTGAATTAAAACAAAAATGAACGAATTCCTATGCCCCACAAATAACCCAGAGATGCATTTTAAATAAAAGGACACATTCTGCTCATGTAGAAACATGCTGATTCCCGGACCGTCCACAGGCCGGATTTAGAAGGCATTTGGGCCGGATCCAGCCCCCTGGCCTTAGTTTGCCTACCCATGTCCTAGGCTGTTGTAGGAGCTGGCATGCTGGTCACACATCAGTGTCACAGAATGGACCACACTACTGGTTCATGTCATTATGTACCTAAGCTGGGTGGTGGTACTGGTTTGCATTACGGCTGTCTGATGACTGGAACTTTGCCCTATGCCTAAGCATGCATGGTTGGCTATAATCAATAAAAGTTGTGGCCTTTTTCATTGTTGTCTCAAAATTGACTTGGATATCAGACTTTGCCAATTTTGACACTGCTGCCACAGCTCCCCATACAACATTCTGACGGACCCCTAATCCTCAAGTATGGCTTTTTAGGGGCACAGTGGGCAGCGGTGGGAAAGCTTCATTCTGCGAACTGGTCTCACGATATTGCCACTGGTCTCACGATATTATGATTTGATGCTAGCACACAGTTATTTCCCATTTCATGACATTTTGGTTCACAGTCTGGTCTTTTCCACTGTTTCTAAAGTATGTTTCCTGTTTTCACTGATGCTTACATTGGGCCACACTGAGCTTTTTCTTTGTGAGACTAGGGATAATCTTCCCAGTCTGTACTTTCATAATAAAACACAAACATCAAGAGCAGCAAAAAATAATACGCAAGACAGTGCTAGGCAGTTCTATACTTGAACCAAAGCAAGATGACAAATAAGAATAGCTAAATTTAGGCTCATGGGGGTTCAAATTCTCACTCTGCTGTGAAGCACAAAATGCATCTTGGGTCAGTCACTATCTCTTAGCTAACTCAATTCACATAATTGTTCTGGGGATAATATGGAATAATCCCACCTAAACTACTTTGAGCTCCTAGGAAGAACAATGGAATATAAAGTGATAAAATGAACTACGTAAACCCAACACCTCACCCCAAATTTGTCTTCCTCCTCAGCCTTCTTCCTCACTAACTCCAAATCCCTGCCTCTGTCTCACTAGAAACTGCCTAAGGGGTGCAGGGGATGAGCGATGTCTCTTCCTTATAGAGGAAGTTCAAACAGGAAAGTTATTGGCTCCCTGGGCCTTTCACTCAGCTCTTTATGTAAAGGCATGGACAATACTTACTTCATCCCTACTCCAGGTTCGCCGACGTGTAATTGTGGGGGGCTCAGGTAGGTCTGTTGTCTGTGGTTTGGAATCATTAGGTCGAGTGTTGCCATCTGGTGTTTTTGCATTTACCACTGGAGGAATCTTCCTGAAGTTCAGACTTTCATCAAATACACGGTCTACTAGCTGAAAAAAAATTAAATATATATATATATATATATATATAATTAGTGAGAAAGCTTCACTTTAAAACCAACCAGAGAGGTGCATTATGAGGCTCGTCAGTTTAGATGGGTTTGCCACTAAAGAACAGAAGAAATCAAAATAATAACTGGAGTATTCGATTTACTTGTATATTAGAAAACAAAAACAGAAAAAATCATTTAATTTTGCCAAAACATCAGCAATTATTTTAGTTATGAATGCACAGAAATAGATATTAAGGTTACAAATGCAATAGTGGTGTATAACTGCAGAACAAAAGAGAAAGGGGACTCATATTTATTTAGTAAAGATGTAAGTTCACATTATCTAACTCAGAGAAAATGCATATTTACATTAGCAGAAGCTTAGTAGTATGGTTAGGAAACAATAAAAAGAAACCAACATGAACATAATAAAAATTACACCACTTACACACAAAACATATCCTGCTACTCACAAAATGTACATAGAACATAATGTTGTTAACCAAGGCTTATGTACAAGAAGTTGAAATAAATCAAGAGGAACAACACAACAGGTGAACAGAAAACATCCAGGGTTGGCACTGAATTTAGCATTTAAAGGGTTGTTTTTACTAGATTAAATCTTGGGATTTAGTGCTTACCACCACCCATCCACTACCTGAGAAAAATAAAATAAACTCTACTCATGAACCCTAAATGTGTTCTAGAGGCATTTTCAAATTCCAGCCAGCTGATTATTCACTTGAATTTGTCAATGCTCAGTAATGGAAAAAAACCTTAGTAATAACACAAAACCTTGTTTCTCATTTCTCTTTTTTATCCCACATATATGAGTCAGACACAAATATGGATTCTCTCTCGTTGTTGTCTCTACAAATACGTTATCTTGTCAGAATCTGATCTTATAGCTGGTTCAGATAGTCAAATCACCAGCTCACGTGACTGGTCTACTCTTTGGGAACAGTGTTAAAATTGGAAAAGGCTTTCTCAGCAGCAGCTTCTATGAGCTGAGACTTCTATATTCCCAGCACTTACTGCTGGTGGAAGCTGCCACAGGACTTCCGAGTCTCTTTAGTTAACTTTACATTGTTTACATTAGATCAGCTGTGTGAGTGATTCTGTGCCAATGACCAAGCTGCAGGAGTGTTTTGTAAATGGTTCAACATGTATTTGACTACTCCGCAGCTGTACAACTGGTGAAGCCAAATGGTAACGCTATTCTGTTTTTCCGTCATTGTTCTACCTATTGAAAAGTGACGCGGGTGTGCTAAAGCAATCGTTCCATCAGGGCAAGCATATTAGCTTGCCAGATGGAACAATTTCCCTCTCCTTTCCCCTGTGCACTGTTTTGGGTGTTCTTGAAACACCCCCTCAGCCAATTTCAAGGGGGATGAGGAGGACAGGGGGCAAACCTCCCTTGGGGAAATGGAAGTGCTTGCACAGGACTTCTGCTGACAGGACTAATTAGTTGAATCCTGCCTACATTTTCCGTATCTGAGAATTCCAAATTACTGTTGAAACAAACCCTCACACTTAGAAGTTAAATGGAGGCAGCTCTAACAAAGAACTTTTATCCAATTGCTAAATTTTTCTCAGTAGCTTTTTGTTACTATGGTGGTGTGCTACTGGCTTGCGCCTTAAAATACATCTTCCCAGGAAAGTGCCAACCCTGAAATCAAACCAAATAGTTAAAAAAAGACAAACAGTAATACTGTTAAAAAGAGTTGACTTTATATTTTAAAATACTCTCACTGGTGGTCGCAATATTGACCTGAACATGCAGGTTTTGCATATAGAAACAGCATGTCAGAGAAATGTATGACTTGAACTGCAGCATGAAATCATGCTAATTTAAATGTTTATGACAATTGTTATAATTAGGAAGGATGGCTTATAAATTGAATTAATAATAATAATACAGTAACATATTAGGGAGGCGAACTTCAATTCAGTGAGTGAATCATTTAAAAGATCGGTAACATTCAGGGCCATCTAAGACCAATGAAAATGCAAAGTATCTCACCTTACACATAGTATTTTATAATACCTGTCTATAAACAAATCTCCAATGCTTTCTCTTTACTAGGGAGCATTGAGATACTACTCACTTGCATCTGAGGCTATGACAAAGAAACAAGCAAAAGGTCTTATGTTCAAAGTAAACAGAAAAACCGGCCATGTATTCACAATATGACTGTTCTTGCATTGGCCATTTTAACCACTGGGATTAATTTTTTTTAATAGGCAACAATCTTAAAATTAAAGGAAGGGTATGCTGAGAATATGGAGATTCATGCACACACAGGTGGAAATAATTAAACTTATGTCAGAAGGATAAAGCAAAAGAAATAAAGAAAAGAAAGAACCTTATGCATTTCTCCATGAAGATCTCCTACCTCTTCTCTAGTGTCTATGGCAGAGCCAGGGGTGGTGGCAGCAGTGCTTACTGTGGTACTAGGAGCAGTGCCTGATGAAGTCACTGAATCTATCTCTCCTGCTACATCATTGATTTCACGTGCGATGAGAGCCAGGTCCTGACTGATCCTGTTAATAGTTAACACAGCATAATTGATCCCAAATAAAAAACCTCAGAGTTCAAAGTTGCTGTTCCTTACAATATGAAACATGCTACTGTTTTGAGTATTTTCTTCTAATCATAACTATCATAGGTACGAGTCTTTAAAATAACTTCCAGCTTTGGTTGCTCTGGCAACTACAAGAGCAGCACCTAAGAAACTTTGCTGTGCAAGGACTCCAACATTCTTCTGCTGTAATTGAACAAAATGCATCTCAACATTTTAAATCCAGGGATGTACATCTTACCATGTGCAAATGGGTCATTACAGTTTATAGTTTCAACCAAGGAGAACTGCAATGGCTTATAACCTAATAATTAACCCAAACCTATGGATTCAAGTTACAAGAAAGGAGATTCCAACAAAACATCAGGAAGAACTTTCTGACAATAAGAGCTGTCCAACAGTGGAATGGGCTACCTTGGAAGGTGGTGAACTCTCCTCCATAGAGGTTTTTAAGCATTTGTCATGTGTGATTTGGGTGGCATTTGTCATGTATGATTTAGCTGAGATTCCTGCATTGCTTGTGGTTGGACTAGATGACCCTTGGGGTCTCTTCCAGCTATACAGTTCTATGATTCTATCAATTAACATTAATTAACGAGTACTAAGCAAATGTTAAATAGTAGCTACTTGCACACGTTTGTGAAACCCATTATGACAATTGGGGATTTAGGGCTGCATTTAGGAACACTATGATAGTATCTTTCACTGACAGTAAAGTAAGTTTATAGTGCTTCTGTGGTAAAGAAAATCAATTTTGTTTGAGTATAAACCCAATTACAAAACAAAACACATTTCATAATGGTCATTGATTTAACCGATAAGATGCTGTTTTTAAACCAAGTAATCATCCCTTGAAAGCCAACCTTGCTATTTCTTCTCGATGGGCAGTCCAATCTCGAATGTAGTCTTCCTGTTCCTTTATCCTATGCTTGAAGATATTGCTACTTTGCGTTGGTGTCCCTGTGCTCTGCAATCGAGTAGTTTTCAGGGCTGGAGAAGTACGTAGACGGGCATGTTTAGGAGAGTTACGGTTTGATCCAAATTCATCTTCCGAGGTGGAAGCATAATCAGTAGGAAAGCGCCTCCATCTTGAATTTACTAAATTAGTTTAATTATTAAAAAAGAATTATTATTGTATCTACTGCAAGGAATAAAATGATTTTAGATTTTAGAAACATCATGACAACACAACAGTTGCTTAATTCCAAACCCAAAATACCTTATACAAAAGTGTTTGCTAACTATAGCATAAAAAGAAAGCTACTAAAATTGTGTTAAATAATAAATGCTAATTTACAAAAATGTGAAAAAGGAAGCTCTTTGTACAATGGTGAGTTAATAAGTTAGGAACGCTACTAGTCTTCTATCTAAGAGCATGATATATATATATCTCAGAACAAGGGCCCAATTCATTGTCACTTTCCAACACAGTGAGTCGTACTTTTTCTGCAAATTTTTCCCATTGTCAAAAAGCCTAACTTTCCATGAGATAATATAGGCATTGAGTACAAATAACTGAAGTAGTGTAGTTGCCAGAGGGGGGGTGGAAATATCAAGTCTATTGAATTTGAAATTCAATTTTGAAACATTAGGTGACATCCACCAAACATTGTAAGAGCATAGTGAACTTGAAATAATAATCTAATGTTACTTTCCTGAGGAAGAGGAGTAACAATAGCAGGCAAAATGCTCATTTTCAGTCAGATGTTGAGGGCTGCAGGAAATACTTTCTTGTCCACCCCTCCTCTTTCCCCCCGAAAAGGCTGTCCAGACTAATATAAATACAAGTCCTTGGAAATGTAACAGTGCCCAAACAACCTAAGGGAACTGAAGATTCAAAACACTAGCTTTGTAGGTCAGTTGCCTTGAATTGTGGATCAGTCAGATAGCATGAAAGAATGTGGTGTCAAAAAGCTTGAAGTCATTTTTGCCAAGATTTGTTAAGTGCACAGATGACACTTTTAGACAGTACAAATATTACTGTTCAGAAATAATTTAAGTGAAAATAATTTACAATTCAGTGCAATGTAAATTATTTGCATGTGTTGCAATGTAAAAATTGCAATGTTTTCAGATCAGATTATAATAATAGCTTGTAAAGATACATGGTGAATTTAGAATATAGCATTATTCCAGTACAATTAATTGAAGAATGAAAATATTTCATTGCCAGATAATATGCAGATGCTAATGAATAAGTCAGGTTTTACTTATTTTAAACCATCTAAAGTAGTTTTACTCTACCCTGCAGCTGAAAAAGGTTCCTAGTGTGGCTTTCACATATTAGTAAGACACACTGGAATATATACACTTTTGCAGTTTCTCATCCTTAGTTTAAAAAGCTTTTTTTTAATAAGCAGAAAAAGCACTTATTTCTAAAAGCATGCAAAACAACCACTGAGGGTCAGAGAGTTGTCATGAGCTGGACCCGATTGTTGTTTTTGCTTTTTTGTAAAACATTTCAAATTGATTTGAATTTCCCTTTATTTCCCAGTTACTCCAATAGTCAGAGTATTTTTTTTAAGTTATAGTTTTATGAATTTGGAGCTAGTCCTGCAACCCAGCATTGTACAACATGAGAATTTAAAGTAATTGTTTTCCAAAAAACCAAATATTTAGGAGCGAAATCTTAGAAACAAAATATGATTTCTAGTACTCTACCACTGTAAGTTTCAACAGCAGGATCTGGGTCTGGGAGAAGACGGTATGCCTCTGTGTACAAAATATTTGTTTATCATATTAATGAAGGTATACAGATTTAAAGCATTTGCTTGTATTAAGTAATTCCCCTATTTTAAAAACACAGACGTGAAAAAAAATTGAACTGATTTTTGAGAATTCTGTTAAATACAAACTTAAGACATCCAAATAACAGGCTACAATATAGCCAGGAAGAGATACAAACAAGCAGTAACTTTCGTCATGCTCATTTTAGTTCCATCAGTACCAAGAAGGCTAAAAAGCCTGCAAAAGAGTTGATGCTCTGCTTTTTCTAACAGGAAACGTGAGCTTGCTGTTTCGCAGAGATCAATGAAGCAAGCTCCCATTTCTCCTTAGCAGAAATCTTTGTGGGCTGCAGAGAAGTGACTTTTGGGCTTCTTGGAACTTAAGAGATCACTTTTCCACTCTTTCCAAATGTCTCTTAAACAAGGAAGGGCATAATAACCCGGGTAGCTGCAATGATATCAGAGGAGCTTCTGGGAATTTCCCTGTTGAACAGCATTTCCCAGTAGATCAGCAACTCTCTTGTGTCCCAAGAAGCTCTCCGGGCTAATAGACTGGTGCTACATGGTTCCATAGGTAGGGCCCATTCTGCATGTAACGAGCTCATGGAAAGGATGCATGAGAAATATATTGTCTCTGAATTTAGATGCAAACTGACCAGATCCACGTCTTCAAGACTAATGTGCAAATCAGAAGAGAATAATTTTGCACATCAATGAATTTGGCAATGCAATACTCAACTCAAAAAAATATATTGAAATACATTAAAATGGGTAATTTAGGTTAAAAAAGATTGAGAAATGCATATACTGAAACAGAATACCTATTTCAATATGTATTTTGTGGTAAGTATGTACAGGTGGCAACCATTTTGAGTGGGGGTTCCATTCCTGGCCCCCTCGTGCATTGGCCAAGTGTGCATAAGCCTGCACCATTTTCAGGCCACTTCTGGGGTTGGCAGTGACCAGCATGTGCGTGATTGCACATTAATTGGATGCATGTAAAATGGTCACTGTCTATAATTGAATGGCCTGCCCATGCCTTAAGATCTTCTGTTGACACTCTACTCCAAGTCTTCTTTACTGGAAGATCATTATATAATTAAAATGGAGAGGGCTTTGTCAGTGGTAGAACCCTAGGTTGGGAATGCACTCCCAAAACAAGGGTACCTGGCATCTACTTTACAATCTTCTTGGCAACAGGTTAAACCTTTAAAAAATATCAAAAAAATCTAGGCATTTTAATTTGAATAATAGCTTACTTAGTTTTCCTTGTCATTTTTATCTGCTGTCTTTTATTCAAGATTGTTAATGTCTTTATCTTATTGTACTAGGAATTTACTAATTTATTATTTATATCTGCTGTATACTGCTCTGTAATTGAACTTGGTGAAGGGATTATTAAAAAAGACAACAACTTCTAACCTGCTCTTGGTGTGATGCAGAATTAAGGAGATACAGTGGTATCTCGGGTTACAAACACCTCGGGTTACAGACTCTGCTAACCTGGAAGTAGTACTTCGGGTTAAGAACTTTACCTCAGGATGAGAACTGAAATCATGCGCCAAGGGTGCGGCAGCAGTGGGAGGCACCATTAGCTAAAGTGGTACCTCAGGTTAAGAACAGTTTCAGGTTAAGAACGGACCTCTGGAATGAATTAAGTACGTAACCAGAGGTACCACTGTATTCAGTCTCCAACAGAAATTAAATTTCTCTTTGCAGTGGGGAAATTGAGAAGTCAACTCTTTTTTACCTTCTTCTCAATAAGTAATGTCTGAACAAATGCAGTTACTCATCCTGTATAAGAAGCATTACATATCAGAGCTGTTTTACAGCATCTAACATTGTGACATTTGTTTTATTACTGTTTTTATTACTGTATTATTATTATTGCCTATTTCTATATTCCTTCTTTTTTTTTCCATTTTGTAACTTGGGTGTACTCTTTGATTCTGAGCTATCACTCTCTGCATACAGCTTTAAAGTTTTTTCAATGAGTTTTTTGGAATTGTAAAACTTATTTTATTCCTTTAAAATATCTCTAATCTAGTCAGGCAAGAGACAAAAAACTGAGGGGACTGTGCCTGCCTCCCAGAATTCTTTGCTCTCCGGCCTCCGTCATGTGAAGAGGGTCATAACCCAACCCATTCGGGTCATCAGCCACTGCCTCAAATTATCTCTAGCCTACCCTTTACTGCCAGTGACGCCATTATAAATTATATTATGTTAGTTTATCAATTAAGAATGGGATTTCAGTTGTTGGGATACAATGATGGCAGGAAAAGGATCATACTTATTTTGTGCACCCAAGGATCTAGACAGAGTGGGTAAAAATGGGTGCCACCCAACATGGTCTCAAAAACCCAAACCCTGATTTACAAATAGTTTAAAATGACAGTTGCAGAAGTCCTAATGTCTCCAACAGAATGAAATAGTATCTGCAAATGCTTTTTACCTAGTTGCGTATCATTCTCAAAGACAGGTAATAGGCCTTCTATCCTGTAACCATGATTCATATAGCCTTGTGTACACACAATATTTTTTTCTATCTGGCTGCAGCTGCTCATACCATGCCAGATGCTACTCTGGAGGTTTTCCCAAACCCTTGGGCATGCCTTTTAGGTATAGCTGAATGACTATGATGAAAGAAATGCCCTGGGAACTCCTAGTGCATGCTTGGCTGTTGAGATCTTGGCCTGAATGTTTCACAAGGTGATGGATATGCAAATAATATAACCCCCAGATGGAGGCTGACAAAAACTAGTTATGCATGGAGATAATCCATGTGTAGACTGCTGCATTTCAGTTCTTTCCACATGCGCTATACCAAACTAATGACTAGGTTAACATGCCTTTTCAGAAGCCTGTTATGAAATTAGGTAGTAATTCTCAGTCAACTGGAGAACCAAAGCCAAGCGTGACTTCTTTTCTTTTCTTGGTGTATCTTAGCTACTGTAGAAGCAATAGATAATAATCACTGGCCTCTCATAATCCAAATCCAAGTTCAAAATGCTATGTACTACAGCACTAGATCTGAAAAAGAATCCTGACGTCCCAAACATTATTAGTCTTACATGTTACAGTTTTATAGCAAAAAAAGCATTAATTTGGTTAAAAAGCTGAATGACTTATAAATAAATCAGCCATTTAGCAGTGAAGGAGATTCAGCCAATCCCTTACCATTTTTCATTAGATTCAGCAACTTTAAAGCTACACTTTATTATTAAAAATGTTTCATGTATGTCCCTATCAACCGAAAAGGGAAAGTGCTGACAGGACAAATTATTGAATTAAGGTTGAAAAACTCTCGTACCTGCTGAAGAATTATGAGCTGATGACAGAGATTTGGATTTGGAGTCCGAAAGGCGAGATATGCTGTTCGCTCTCATTCTAGGAGAAACTTTAGTGCTGTCTGCTGGCGGTGTTATCCTAATGCCACTTCTAATTATGGCTTCTGGAGTACGAGATGATGTCGTGCTTCTAGACATTGTTGCTTCAGAGTCACTACGCGCTGATAAAGAACCAAGTCTATTTCTCCGTGGCTGAGCAAGCAGGTCAATTCTTGAGATATTTCTCCTTCCAGATGGGGGTTTGGAAGTAGAACTTGTAGTAGACACCTCAGAAGCAACGGATGCTTTATCCGCATCTGCCAGTTCACTATCTGACACCTCACCAAGTCGCGCTCGACGTAAGAGAGAAGTCCTTGTGGGGCGAGGCCTTGGGAGAGTGGTTGATTTACTGGACTGCCCAGCTGATGCTGGAGAGGTCCTCAACTTGGCTGACTTGATACCTTCTGTTTTGGAATGTAAATGTTCATCTGCTGAGGTAAAAGATGTCCTTCCATGCGATTTGCCAGAGCATGTTTCCTGGTCGGAAGATAAGATATCAGAAATGGCAGAATGAGGTACGCTGGAAGTTTGGTCGTCATCTGTTAAATCTACAGAAGGCTGCCTTATTCTTCCACTGCTCTGCACAACCTTGCGTGCATCACCTCTCGAACCAGCATCTGAAGATCGGCTTTTTGTTTTCTTCTCAATTTTGTCTCTAGCGCTTGTAGAAGATGACTTTGAAGCATCCTTTGAAGGTGAACCAGTGGAACATCTATCTTTGTACAGGGTACTAAAGCTTTTTCGTTTCTGAGATTGCTTTCTTTCACTGTCGCCAGTAACAAGGCTAATTGTACTAGCTGTATCCACATCTGACTCAGGCGAAATGGAATTATCTCTATTATAGCTGGGAGTATCAGGTCCTTCGTCGGTTTTGTTTTCTTCACGCAGCTTCGCTTCAAGAAAAGCCATTACAGCTTCAGTGTCCTTTAAGATAAGTGTTGTATCTAGACTAGAATCTGTTTCCACAGAATCACTTTTCTCACTTATTCTACTAGTGGATGTTAAAGACAATGATGGCGGAGTAGTTCCTGTCTGTTTATTGATGTGAGGGATCAGTTCTATAGGTATATTTGTGCTTGGTTTATCTATGGTAAAGCTGCCTTGTCTCACCAACGGCTTCGATGATTCTTTTTTATCCCCACTAAACCCTTTTGGAGTTGGACATCTTGTTGCATCTTCCGCTTTCCTTCTTTTCCCGTCACTTTGCACCACTTTACTTTCTGCTTTGCCAGAACCACGCCCTGATGCTTTCTCTTTATTGTCTGCTTTATGAGAAACAGGCGGCTCGTCTCTACTTCTTTCAGCTTGGTTTGGTGTTTTTGAAGAAGATAATTTAGTGGGGGTCCAATGTGTTACCTCCTTTTGTTCCTGCTGCTTAATTTTAGCCAAAGCTTGTTTTACCACCGATGTTTCTCTGCCATTTTCACTTTTCTCTTTGTCAGAAGAAAAGGAACTGTTGGAGTGAAGAAGCGCCTTGTCTGCTTTAGGAGACAGGCCATTCATTGCCCTGCTTGCTTTAGTCACGCTCCTGTCACTAATTTGCCCTATTTCTTTCTGGGTATGAGTTGGAGTTTCTTTCTCTTGAAGTTCAGTGTCTTGTTTTTCACCTATCTCCGATCGCTGGTGGGTTGTAACCTTTGTTCTTTGTCCTTCTGTGGCATTTTCCTCCTTCGGCAACTGTGGAAGTGTTCGCCTCTTTCTATCTCCTTGGCTGGTCAAAGAGGCAGCAGAAGCAGCACTTCTAGCTGACAGGCCAGATTCACTGATGTCTGTATCTAAAACCAAATAAAACGTAGGAAAATGGGGAGAGGGAAAACATGTTAAGTAAAAGCACTTGTGTGGGATTCACCTGACAAGCCATGTCAGTGGAAGCCCTGGGCAAGGATTTCCACTTCTGTAATAAGGCATACCCCCACAACAGCACCATAGCCGTCAACCTTCCCTTTTTTTTGTGAGAAATTCCCTTATTCCAGCACCATTTCCCGCAGCTTCCCGCTGCTATCCCGGATTGTTAGATATCCCATAGTCTGTCTCCGGAACAGGTGAGGCTGCTGATCTCTTATTTTCAAATCTGAAAGTTGACAGCTATGAACAGCACACAAGGGGAAAAGAGAGGGATCGTTCTATCTGGCAAGCTGCAATGCTGGTGCAGATGCAACACTCACCATAGCACAACACTGAATGCCACCTGGAAATTCTACAAATATTACAGATTATTTCAATTAAAATTTAGAGGGAGCCTCATTTACTCTTTTTCTTTTGCATCACAATCTTTTAGCATCAAAATTCTTTACAAAGCACATGCTTTTAACAAACACTATTGCTTAAGTGGTTATGAGAAGTTTAACAATTGAGTGCGATAAAACGTGCTGCTAGTAGTTGCTATGAAAGATAAATATGTAAAGTACCATTTTCTAGAGGAGCAGGAGCAAATGATTCCATCCGTACTTCACTTTCTTCATGTTTTGTATGATTAGCAGCCAGACTAGCCCACTGTGACACCCAGCGCTTGCTTCCAGATACACCAGTGCTTTCCTATTAACAGATTTCAACACAAATCATGCTTACATTGATTTAGTCATTTTAAAGAGAAAAAAATGGAAAAAAAATTCAGAAAATTAAGATCTTGGAGAACAAGTGTGCGTGCACGCACACGCATGCACACTCACACTCAGATTAAGTGAAATCATGATTCGGTCACTACCATACATTGACTGATGCCTTTACTGCAAGACTAATTAGGAAGGAATGTCATCTAGTAGTGAACTTGTGGTTAGAAACTGGCAATGTGCAGTCATATCTTGGCTTAACAAACAGACATATAAATAAGTTTTTTACACCTATACATGTAGCTGCTTTGATCCTCCCTACATGAGTGGGGAAAACAAACCAGGAAGCTGCAATTTACCATAGGTGTCCATTACAACTGAACTGCAGAACTATGGCTGACTGCTTCTGAAACAAGCCAATTACCAGAGCTTCATATTCTGGCTTGCTTAGAAGGCATCAACCACATTTTCCTAGTTTGAACTTAATAGTTAATGGCAGCTTTCTGACTTGTCACCTTGCTTGCATGAAGGAAGTAGCAAACTGGCTGCAGGATGCATATCCACCTCCCAGCCAATTTGATAATCCAAACATAGCCAGGGGCATCTATCCATCCATGTTGCTATATTAGCCCTCTTTTATGCAAGTTTAGCATGTACGTTTGACTTTGCTGTTGATTAAGGCTATATTACACAGGCATTAGCACTGAAACACCATTATTCAGAGGCTACGAGTATAACACGTGGAACATATATAACCACCCAACATAGTACCCTACAGGTTGGGATTTGATAATAGTGGGTTAGGAAAGCATAAAATAATGCTAACTCTGGAAGTGTATACTCGATTTTGACCAAACCACATGGGAAAATCTGGTGCAAGGCCAAGCTTTGCAGTGTTTGCCCTGCAGTCAAGATCACAGATCATGTATTGCGAGACTGTATTTAGTATAGCATGGAAAGGGAGATTATTTTCAATTCTCATAATAAAGCTCCAAAAGCTCAACATCAGTTTACTCGTGGAAGTTATTTCAAATGGTGGGGAGAAGTGGGTCAAATTTGGGCTGGTCTTTGTAAGTATTTTTTGAGGCTTTGAAACTGAGTGAAAATATAAAGGACTCTGAAGCTGCAGTAAGTTCTTTGTCCAGTAGGTGGCTGTCAAAGAGCCTACTTAGGCTCTGCTGTGCCATCAAATTACAGCAGAAGCTGCTTTAGTTTTTTGAAGATTGTAAAACATGTGTGCAAAATGTTAATTCACGTGAAAGGACTTTGTATTTCCAGCTCTTGCATGTGTTACATTTTCTCCCTCAAGAATGCAGAAACCCGTCTCTTCAGTGATGCATCTGCACAGCACTCACTATAAATCCCTTCAAAACATTATTCACATGTAAGATATGGACTGAAGCAAAATCAGTAATTAGAGGAACGGGTTGGCTTCAAAGTGCTGAGCAACTGTGTGGGAAATGATTATACCACAAGCCTCTGTGGTAGGCTGATGTGTGGAGATAAAGGCCCAAACATCAGACACAAACAGCAGCTGCTGGTGGGTGGTTGATATTTATCAGGATTGCAGCAGCCACAGAGAAGAGATTCTTAACCCTTTCCTTCCCTGTGGTCCCAATCTGAATCTGCTATTTGCACTGGAAGAAAATTACTCCATTAGCAGCCGCGAGTGCCAAGTTTGGCCTAAGGATAACGAATACAGGGCTCTTATACAACAATATTCATGGTTCAGGGGAAAGAGTTTAAAAGAAATTTCTCAAACTTTATGAATCTGTACTATCCTACAGATTAAATTTAGTCTGTGGATGGTCTCAAATTCATCTTTGTCATTGCAGGCCCAGGTAGCCTCTTTAGCAGTTTAGACCCTGCATGACAGAAAAAAGTTATCCTGTCCCTGGTAATGTCTAGAACTGACTATTGGTAACATTTTGTAAATGGTCTGCCTTTGAAAACTGTTTGGAAAATGCCCCTGGCGCAGAATGCAGCTTCCAGGTTACTGACTGTCACTGGTTGTTTTTAAACATACCACACCAATACTTAAAGAACTTCACTGGCTGCCGGTTCACTTATTTTTTAAAAAATCATTTTTTTGTTAAGAGATTTTTTGTGTTTCTGAACCCAATTCAAAGATCTGGCATTTGCTTTTAAAGTTCTATGTGGCTTGAGGTCCAGCTACCTGAAAAAACTCTTATTCCTCTGTCAACCAATCTGTGAATTGAGGAAACCTTCAGCGGCTCTCCTAACAGAAGCCTCAACATGAAAGGCAACTAGAGAGAGGTCCTTTAGGATTGTGACACTTGGTTCCTAGAACTCCCTCTCAAGAGACAAATATTATCATAATTTTGGTGCCAGGCAAATATGTCGTTATTTATTCAGTCCTTTGCTTACACCGTTGCCTTAATATACTGTTATCTGAACCTTGTATTTTATTCAACTGCAGTAAATCACCCAGGAAACAACACCTAAGGATAGTATACAAATCCTTCACAAGTAAACAAACATAGCAGGTTGATTGTAGGTGACATTCTCAGGGTCAGCTAATAGATACATAATTGTCATAAAATTGACTTGCATGCATTCATATGGGAAGAAAATATGCATGAACTCAAAGCCCCTGAATTTCTGTTAACTAAAAAAAAGGTCAAAGGGGCTGTCTCAACTGTGATTGTGTTTAACCAGGTAACTAACTACCAATTCACAGACTAGTTTCTTCATGTGATCATAGTCAGTTTGTTAAATTCTGTGGCACTGCTGTATGTATAAGTAGCCTCCAATATATTGTTAATTTCTAAATAAAACTGATCCAAATTTCAGTGCACTTATTTCCTATACCAAAGTAATTACATCACCATAAAATGAGTATTGTCACAGACACAGAGATGTGAGATTCTGTAACATCTTATTTTATATTATAGGAATACTTTCCAATACAGTGGTGCCCCGCAAGACGAATGCCTCACAAGACGGAAAACCCGCTAGACGAAAGGGTTTTCCATTTTTCAATGCGCTTCGCAGGACGAATTTCCCTATGGGCTTGCTTCGCAAGACGAAAATGTCTTGCAAGTCTTGAGATTTTTTTTTCGCCCCCCCCCCCCTTTTCTAAGCTGCTAAGCCTTTAATAGCCTTTTAGCAGCTAAACCGCTAAGCCTTTATTAGCCGCTAAACCGCTAATAGCGCTAATCCGCTAAGCCGCTAATAGGGTTGCTTCGCAAGACGAAAAAACCGCTAGAGGAAGATACTCGCGGAACGGATTAATTTCGTCTTGCGAGGCACCACTGTATAGTAGTCTCCTTTGGAAAAAACAGAATTACTCATCAAATATTCCCATCAGTCTCAATGGGACTACTCCAAGGTAAGCTGTTTAAGGATGATAAACTGACTGGATTTTGGATTCTATTGAAGTTCATGTCACCCCTTTCTCACTGTTCAATCTCGCCTTGAACCTGTTGCGCAATAAACTTGGATCTTCTGCAGTTTGCTCCTGTCTCCGGCTGAGCTCATTTTTCTTCCGCAGGGACCCGCGGACTTAGTCCGACGAGCTGGGTGGCAGAGTAGCCCCGCACCCAGATTTTACCGTAACACTATCCTTGTTTGTTCCCATAGCTGCTTATTCCACATTTATATTCCCACCCTTACAAGCCATGTTTTTCATTCTACAGTTCTCAAAATGAAAGGGATAGGAAATCACAAAAATAAATGATTAAACAATAAGACAGGTGTTTTTAAAATATAAAATAATTCCTTGAAAGGATAATCCTGCAAAATATTTTTGCATCTTTGAAATATTAAAAGGGGGGGGAGAGAAAGAGTAATGAAACTTGAAAAGTCTGAGATTTCTCAGTATCTTAATGCAAAGGAAGCTTAGTCAAAAACCACCAGTAAAGGATTAACTGTTACAACATACCGTTAGACAATGTCAGCAATAAAATAAAATACTTTAACTTCTCAGAAGTTTAATTCCACACATGATTTCCCTTATTCACCTTCTGAAGTTCTTCCAGGAGCCTAACCTAAAGCTCTCTCAATTGTTGGTAGTATTCAAAATATAGGACATATAGAATATGTATGCATTGGTTGCTATGGGTATGTTATGGCGTCACTTGCTACAGATTCTACAAGACAGGAACATTCTTTCTAAACCCTACTGAGAAAACCTCAAGACATGTTTTTATTTGGTATTCAAAACCATGGTACTTTTAAGTAATACCTCAGTGGAACAGCTTGTCTCTGGAGGCAAAATTGAGGAATGGTAAAATATTCAGGTAATTTGATTTGCTGGGGCAAAATCGTGAAAGTTTCAGGGGTGATCAATATATTGCCCATGAACTGCACATAGGTCTTAAACCACCTTTAGAGCATTCCCAGTAACTCCAGCTTTCATTTCAACACAAAAAGCTTGTAGCTGTTCCTTGTTGCACTGATAAATTCTGGAATGTTGAAAACAGGATGTCCCAATATTAAGGGTTCAGAAACAATGAAACAAGCCCAAATAATTATAGAAAGTCTCTTTCAAGGCTTGACTCAGAGGAAACAGTTCCTGAATAGTAATACTTGTCATGGGCAAATGCATACTGGCATCTGCTATGTTCTTGACAATGTTGCATAAATTTTACTATTCATCAAAATATGATTTTTTTCTTAGCCTCCTCTCGTGACATATTTGTGAGAAAGTTGCCTGCCTTAGAGTCAATATAATATAGATAGTATATCAACTTCTCAGGCCATCACCTCCATCACAGTTCCTTTAGTTTTCTCTAAAACCCACATTCCAACTAAAATTCACAGAATACGGGTTGTTCTATATAAAATGACTATTTACCCAGCTCTGGGATGGGCAGCAGTTGTAGCCCATCATAGCTTCCCCTTTTCCCCCTGTGGAGCAAAAAGCTTCTTGGTATCGGCCAGTCATTGGGTCCTGCCCTAGCAGGGCACTATGAATGGCGGGATAGCCCACCAATGCCAAATTTGAACTGCCCAATGAGGGGCAGGCACAGGGGCAGAGCCTGGGTGCAGATTGGAGTGCAGAAATCTTTGCTCCGGTCCACCAGCCGGGAATAAAAGCCTCCTGAGCCGAGTCTTGCAGCTCAGTCAGCCAAAGAGCATAAAATATACTTTTGCTTCAGAATGCAAAGTAAGATGTTTAGAGACTTGCAGTATAACATTTGCTTATTTTCAGTTTTTCCATTCTATAACAATGAGATAACTTTATAAAATGGTGTTCACAGTGTTCTTGAAAATGGATTTTAGTAAAACACCATGCGGGTCAAAATGTGATTTGGAAACAGTGGCATGATCAGACTTTTTCTACTTGGCACTGAGATTGCCCACTTAACAGTATAGTACCATATTATAGTGTAATAATAAAAGTTTTGAATAGTGATGAATGGCATGGTTGAAAATTCTTTTCTGTGGTTCCTCCCTCTCAGCCCCCTCCCCTAAACACCATACTTCAGATTAATAGTGCCACTTCAAGATACATTGCAAATCCCTCATTTTAATTTTCTGCTATCTGTCAGTGACTTTGACTCACTTAATAACTATGATTTTTTTAAAGAAAAAAACCCACAAAATGTTAAGATACTGCTTGGAGTTTTCAGTATAAATCTTATACAATATATCATCTTATATAAATCATATAACATTGAATATGGGTATTAAGGTTGCATACTCACATTTAAAGCACATCCCCCCTCAAGAATCCTTGGATCTGTTGTTTACCCCTCACAGCACTACAGTTCCCAGGATTCTCTTTTTGGGGGAGGTGGGGATGTACTTTAAATGCATAATGCATAAACAGCCAAAGAAACAGAACAGATGCTGCTTTACAACAGTTCTAGAAAAGAAAGTATTAGAAGGAAATTCAGCTCCAGGTGACAAAAATAACTGTATATAAGAAAGGTAAAAAATAAGGATTAGTAGAAGAATAGTGTAATTTCTTCCCATAATTAAGCTTATGGAATGATGTCACTATGCATAGCAAACTCAGGTTAACAGTTACACATTTTAACTTGGATGTTTTTATCACCCCTTTCCCTTCATGTTCAGTTGAAACATACAGATGCTTATTGCATTTGCTGCTCTCTGTAGTTCAATCTACGGTTGCAGGAGTCTTTTTTGGTGTAAGAAAGTTTGGCTTTACTGTCATTCCTTAGACCTCCTTCGTGAACCTCTAAAATATTACTAGACACTATCAAAAGTTGACACAGAGGTTTATTATAGACTTAAATGCTATGCTGATTCCTGGGCACGATGGCAATGCCTTTGCAAAAGCAGTGATCCATGAACTTTCCATCTGGAAAGATCAACGTCTTTCCATCTGCACTCACAGTCTGCATGTCCTTTTCCTTGCATAATTGCAAATTTCAGAACTTTTCTTGACCAACACCTGAATATACTATAGCTAACAATGCAGCAACTCTAGTATTTATCTTTTCTTTAGTTGCTTGTGCCATATCAGCACAGTGGCATACATAAATGAAATGCTGCACGGAAGAGCATGCTATGTAGTATGCGCAAAGGTCGCAAGTGGCCATGGTTTTGCAGAGAAGAGAGATAAGCTCTAACAAAGAAATCAGAGATACAATAATTTAAAAATTAGTTCATATTCTCTAAGGAAGCTTTGCTTGCTAGCTACTTAATACTGACTATATTAAGGTCCTCTCCTTTGTTGGTAGAGTAGAAAAAAGAAGATGACCCATCAAAAATTGAATTCTACCTCTGTGTCAAGAAATCCAGTTGTACTCAGTGGTCTTTTTTCTTCCAGCACTACTGTAGCAGAATTTATAGCCCAATCTTTTACTAAATCTTTCTGGCTCTCGTTGATAACAGGCCTATTATAATCCTGGCTGTCATCCACTCCAAAAACCTGAAAATAAAACAAATAATCACACACATTAACTGAAAGCCTTCCCAATTAAATTAAATTTGAATGTATGGGTGATCCTCTAACAAATCAGTTAGCCAGTTAAAAAAAGAACAGAAACTTGAATATCTTGTTGTGAAGTATAAATCTTGCCAACAATTTGCTATTAAAAATAGAGTTTTGCAAGCAGAACTGCTATGTTCCAGTTCTAGGGAAGGTTCAAGTAAGTTAACTATTCTTATTTTTCTAATGTTAGACTAATATAAAAAGAAGAGGGATGACCTAACTGTAAAAATAAAATAACTTCAAAATACTCTTTGAGGATTTTTCAAGCTTTTAATTTGTATATAAAGCTATGTTTATGCATTATTTGCTAGCATCATGTGGATTATAAAAATCTCACTGGGTTTAAGAAAAATGTAGTCAGTCTTGAGATATCTCCTCAATGTGCACAGTTACATATCAATTTACTTGTGTTCCCTTAAAACGTGGTTAAGTGTGTGCGTGCCTGCCTGAATGCAACAGGCAAACACAGCCCCCAGCAAGGAAGCTACCATCAAGAGAAAACAATTACGCAAAAATCAATGGTAATTGACAAGAAGGGGATATCAGTCTTACTAGTAAAGCGAGTATGAGGTGATGGTGAAGACAGCTGCAGATTCCTTCTGCACTATGAGGAAAGATGTTAAAATACTTAAATTCTTTAATTCTATTGCAGAAACTAAAATGTGCCATCAGCACCCACAGCAGACAAACATTACTCCTTAACACAGCCTCCAACTAATACCACATATTATTATATTAACTCTACTTTGTACTTATTAATAAAGTTCCCACCCTCTTCTCTTCCTTTTCTGCTGACTGATCTACAACAGAGTTTACAACATCAGCTGAGTATACCATTTACCTATTTCTGTGTTTCTGTCATAGTACCGGCTACCTTGTCCAACTTCCTCTACTCCACGGCGGGCTAGGGACAAAGGTAAGAGCTGTTTCCTAGTTCTGCTGGATCTCTCAGCAGCGTTTGATACAATCGACCATGACATCCTTCTGCACCGTCTAGGGGGCACTGTTATACAGTGGTTCCGCTCCTTCCTCCTGGGCCATGCCCAGAAAGTGGGGGGGGGATGAGTGTTCAGACCCCTGTGCCCTCACTTGTGGGGTGCCTCAGGGTTCTGTCCTCTCCCCCATGCTTTTTAACATCTACATGAAGCCGCTGGAGGAGATCATCAGGGGGTTTGGGCTGGGTGTCCATCAATATGCGGATGATACCCAGCTCTACCTCTCTTTTAAATTGGAACCAGTGAAGGCAGTGAAGGTCCTGTGTGAGTGCCTGGAGGCGGTTGGAGGATGGATGGTAGCTAATGGATTGAGGTTGAATCCTGACAAGACAGAAGTACTGTTCTTGGGGGACAGGGGGCGGGCTGGTGTGAAGGACTCCCTGGTCCTGAATGGGGTAACTGTACCCCTGAAGGACCAGGTGCGCAGCCTGGGAGCCATTTTGGACTCACAGCTGTCCATGGAGGTGCAGGTCAATTCTGTGTCCAGGGCAGCTGTCTACTAGCTCCATCTGATACGCAGGCTAAGACCCTACCTGCCCGTGGACTGTCTCGTCAGAGTGGTGCATGCTCTAGTTATTTCCCGCTTGGACTACTGCAATACGCTCTACGTGGGGCTACCTTTGAAGGTGACCCGGAAACTTCAACTAATCCAGAATGCGGCAGCTAGACTGGTGACTGGGGGAGGCTGCCGAGACCATATAACAGCGGTCCTGAAAGACCTACATTTGGCTCCCAGTACGTTTCCGAGCACAATTCAAAGTGTTGGTGTTGACCTTTAATGCCCTAAATGGCCTTGGCCCAGTATACCTGAAGTAGCATCTCCACCCCCATTATTCTGCCCAGACACTGAGTCCAGCGCCGAGGGCCTTCTGGCGGTTCCCTCACTGTGAGAAGCAAAGACAGGGAATAAGGCAGAGGGCCTTCTCGGTAGTGGCGCCTGCCCTGTGGAACGCCCTGCCACCAGATGGCAAAGAGCTAAACAACAACCTGACATTTAGAAGACATCTGAAGGCAGCCCTGTTTAGGGAAGTTTTTAATGTGTGACATTTTAATGTATTTTTAATCTTTGTTGGAAGCTGCCCAGAATGGCTGGGGAAACCCAGCCAGATGGGCGGGGTACAAATAATAATAATAATAACAATTTCCAAATTCTACTTACCTTTAAAGCTCTATTCATATGCTATCCATGCATAGAAGATGCACGTACATAACAAACTAGGGCCATGCTTCCTGCCCCTGAGGTGTGCAGCTACAGCATGTGATGCTGGAAGGAGCATGCAACATGACCCCCCCATGTGTTGAATCCATGTCTGAGTAAGGCTCAATTGTCTCCATTAACTCATTCCTTCTTGTTGATGTTCTTTCAGTTAAGCAGACTTCATCTCTCTGCTTATTTACCACCAGATAGGAGAATGCCCCTCCTACATTTTATTTCCCCCCTCAAGATATTTTCAGAGCCACCACAGAGTTTTTCTGGGTCATCTGACCAGCATGACTAAACCGCTACTGGCGCACAGAGGACTGTGACGAGTGCCAGAGCGCACAGAAACGCCATTTACCTTCCAGCCACAGCAGTACCTATGTATCTACTTGCACTGGCATGCTTTCGAACTGCTAGTTGGCAGGAGCTGGGACAGAGCAATGGGAGCTCACCCCATCACAGCGATTTGAACCGGTAACCTGCCAATCAGCAAGCCCAAGAGGCTAGAGCCAACACCCCAATCTTAGATAATACTTTCTACAGAAGTACAAATAACAAAATAACCTTTGTTATAATGGATTCAATGATTTCTTAAATAAGGATTTCAGGCTGTATCCACTGCTGTTCATGCATGAGCAGAAGAGATTTCCAGTGGGACTTCACAGTCGTCTCTCTCTCCCCGCCCCTTTACACAACTTGCTCTGCGGGGCTGAGGGGTTATCCAGAGTAGATCAGGGTAGTGCATGCAGGAGGGTGAGGAAGGTGAAGTTCCATTTTGTGAACTGAGAAGGCCATCTTATGAGTCCTAGTACTCCTGGCATTCTCTGGTGATGGCACAACAGAAAGGGCCTCCCAGACAGATCGAGTCTTTGGCAGAAAAGCAGAGGGAGAAGCACTCTTTCATGATGATGCTAAAAATTAAAATGCATGGGATATATACTACTCAACCTTTTCACACAAATGTTTGACCAACCTGCAGTAACAATGAAAATGTTATTTTCAATCTGTTTTGTCTCTGAAAAAATCAGCACATCAACATGTCTAAATAAGATAAAAAGGAAAATTAACACTATGGTGTGGGCTTCCAATAGCTGCTTAAGCCAGTACAAGGAGCTTGGGTATCCCAGTGGATTTTCTTTTTGTGGTTGTGTAACAATGTTTTACTTTATTGACAGCCAACTCCCTACCCCACCCCCAATATCACAGACTGCTTTTAGATCTTACAGGTTTCAGAAGAAGCTTACCAGATGCTATGAGGCTCTCTGAGAAAAACTCTGCCCTGGGATTAATGAAACTTGTTACATTTGGATCCTGACCACCATTTTAAAGTGATATTTAACATACTGAAATAAATTATTTGTCTACAGACAAGTGCCATTAAACATTTAAGAAAAAGCAAAAGGGTACATGTTATTGAAGACTATTTTGGGAAAGATTCCTGAACACGTTAAAGGTGAACACAAATAATCTACTCTCTGTTTTTATAATTGTATAGTCTATTGTTATTACTTGCCTTGGGACCTTATGGTGAAGGACAGGCAAGAAATCTTAAGCATACATACATACATACATACATACGTACATACTAACTACAATGCCCTGAGCAAACCATCTTCATTTATTCCAATCAGCTTCACTGAAGATCAGTTTGAAAAATTCACACATTTAAACATTTGGAAGTTGCATAAATTATTTTCTCTAATGTATACTTTCTGAATTATAAAGTTATATGTATATGGGTATACAGTTCTCAGAAAAGATCCAGGTAAGAACACCTTGCATACTGTGATCTGGTCCCAAGAAACTACACCAAAAGTCAAAAAGCCAAAGGGTGATTTAGACTTCAGTTTCAAAATATGTTTGCCATGTGACACGGGGCAGGTATACTGTTCATGCAAAAGTGGCCACTGTCAAAAGCAGTTTGACATGGCATGGGGGATCAGTTATTTAAAACAAAAAATTCTACTTTGTGTAGCCCTCTCTGAGCATGCCCCAAGTAGCTCCTTGAATTGCAGATCAAGTTTGCTTTTCGTTGTCTGGCAAAAGTAGTGGTAGTAAACTAGGCTGAAACAAACCAAAACAATCAATTGCTCAGGTCACAACCCTACACACACTTACTTGGAAGTTCTATTATTGAAATATAATATAATTCTGATATAAATTTAAGATTGGGGTACCACTGATTCAAGTAATTTGATACAGACCTGGCAGAAGTCCGTCATCAGCCAGATCAAATTGCCTCAGGACTCTCAATTTAGCAAGCCTTTAGAAAATATGAAATTTCAACACTCACCTTCAGAACCTGCATGAGCCTTAGCATTGTAAACAATGCACAACAGTGATGATGCAGCAGTCCTAACACTATTTCAAGAATTCCAACAGGTCTTCTAACCCCAAAACCTATAAATCATTGCAAATAGTCTGCTCTGTTCTTCCACCACCAGTCATTCATCCTCTCTTGCTCATGATTACTATTTCTTGCCTCCACCTCAGCAATATTATTGTGCTATGCCAGCTGAAAGTGTGCTGCCTAAGTCCTATTCTGAACAGGAGGTAATGGCAACTGTTGTGTGACTCACATATGTGTTGCTGCCTTTTAAGCCTTCTGGGGGAAAATTTGCTCCCTTCTATTTATTTTTGTAGCTCATGCCTCAGTGTTCTCCTGGGCATGCCTGATTATCTTCTTTGAGTGTGGGTGGTCTGGTTTTGGCTCCAATCCAGTTGCTACAGTATCAGAAGGGGTGATACATAACATCTAGATCTTTTTATATTGTTTTAATTCAACTAGTGTTTAATTACCTTTTAATGAATATCCTTTCTATGTTTTAGCATTTTCTATTTTATCTGTGTCATTGTATTTTTATCTGTACCTCACCTTGCAAAAAAAGGTGGGGTGCAAATAAATATAATAATAACAACAATAACAACATCTAGAAGCCAGTTTCAGAAGGCAAATGGCTGCACTACTGTAAGACTAGAGAATTTTAAAAGTTTAAAAATGTTAAGTTTTATTGTGGATTACTTCCTTTCTGTGACCAATGCAAGAATAAGCCCATGCACCTAGGGTTGCCACATGGAAAATGGAGCAAGTTTGTTTTCTTCCACTCTTGAAACTAGAACCAATGGATTCAATTTACAAGAAAGAAGATTCCGATGAAACATAAGGAAGAACTTTCTGACAGTAAGAGCTGTTCCACATCGGAAGGGCTCCCTCAGGAAGTGGTGGGTTCTTTTCCCTTGGAGGTTTTTAAGCAGAGGTTGGATGGACATCTGTCATGTATGCTTAAGTTGAGGCTCCTGCATTAAAGGGAGTTGGGGTAGATGAACCTCAGGATCCCTTCCAACTCTACAAATCTATGATTTCATGATCTGGTGGCCTCCCACCACATTGTGCAATCCTCTTCTAGTTTTGTTTGAGAGTAGGTCACACTCCTAAAAACACATCAAACTAACAAGTTATTTGGAGGGACCACAGCATGTACTTATGTTCTGTGAAGCAGGTGATAATGCCAAGGAAAGTGACCTAGAACTGCAGGATGAATTTAGGGTGCAGACCAGACAAGTGCAGTGAGGTCTGTGTTCTTTCAACCAGAAATCTCTCTCCATCCAGCACAGTTTCCTTCACCTGTCATAAGCACAACTTGACAAACCAATAGGAATCTGGTAAGTGAAACTTGTAGGGAGACTGTAAAACACAGCTGAATCTAGGCTTTCAGCTTGCCACTCTCCTACTTGCTTAAGACAGGCAATAACTGCCCCCCAGGCAAGCAGCCAAGTGGAAAACTGCACTTGCTTTTCTTTCCACCAGCAGAGCAGTTTTTTGCTGCAAAGGCAAATGCTGCACTCATATCTCTCTAATTCTTCTGCTCTCTGGATGCTGAATAGAGAAAACAAAGGGAGAGCCACAAATACATCCCACAGCATTACACTTAGTTTTCTTATCTGGGGAAATGCAACAGCACAGTGCCTGCACGCACCTCCTCACTGTTGGCATTAAAGACAACAAAGACAAAGAGAGTATAATGTTGTGCTGCTGCAGTTGGAGAAAAACAGTGACTAAGTACCAACCACCAGTGGGAACTCTCTACTGTATTGTTCAACTCTTCTATTTCTGTCACCCACGTACAGATGGTATCCCCATCATCTTAAAATGTATATTCTAACTTTAAATATGTTTTTTCTTTAAAAAATCTCAATGACCTCTTAAAATGATCAAGTATAAACATTTCTACCCCACATTTTGTTTAATATCATTTCAAAAGTATTTCTGGGAACTATCCAAGGTCTTCACACCAGGGTCAACATTTGAAAATCAGTCACATACTATATGTTATGGGGATGGGTGATCACTTCTGTTTCAGATAGTAAGTTATAATAGTTGCTTGTTACTTTCCCTTTTCACTGAGGACACAAAACACACACTTCATATCAATTGAGAACTGCAAAGAACACACTTTCAACATGCCACATTTTGTTATTGTTAAAATAATCTATTATGATGATGGTGAATTCCCAGTGTTATTTCTCCTATGTAATAAACTCCTCAATTGAATGAAAATTACTTTAGAAGTGCACCTGACGCCACAATCTTGGGGCAGCAACTTGCTTTACGTTTTGTTGTTTGGTTCAAATACAATGCACGTTTCATTTATATATCAGTACCAGCTGAGCATGGTGCATTCATTATTCACATTGTTATGTACTGAATTAACTTGAAAAGAATTGGGCTCCAACTTTATACGAATTGTATCACGAATAGCAGAAATTTAAAATGCATATGCATCATTTTCTTGACCTTTAACATGCTATTTATTCATTATTTCAACTTTTATGCTGCCTTCTCATATAAATATGTAAAAAGCAGCATGCAGTAAAGTAACATGTAATTAAGAATTACTCATCTGTTGAGAAATCATTAAAAATCACAAGTTCATACACTTTTACATAAAATAGCCAGAATACAGAAATCTTTCAATCCAACACAATCCATTGAACCAATGTTTCCCACAAAGTGAAACATTCCTCTTGTATTTCCTGTTATCTGCAGTAGTAAGAATTTATTCAGTTTCTCCAAGAGTGAATAATGGATATTTTATTTGGCATGATTCATTCCTGAAGCAACTGGTTCAAGTTTTGATCCAAAATAGGATACTGATGTGTTGAGTAATTTTAAAACAAAACAAAATATCTAGAGATCAAATGAAGTTCCTTTTCTTTGAAACGAAAAGAGGAGCCCATTTTCCTAGTCCTAAATCTGCTCACTTTGAAAATGAAAGTAGCATGGAAGTTACTTAATAAAAGTTAAGTAAATTGAACTACAGTGGTACCTCGGGTTACAGAAGCTTCAGGTTACGCATTTTCGGGTTGCGCACCGTGCCGAACCCAGAAGTACCGGAAAGGGTTACTTCCAGGTTTTGGCGCTCGCGCATGCGCAGAAGCGCTAAATCGTGCTTTGCGCAGAAGCGCCTAATTGTGTCCCGCACATGCGCAGACGTGGCGCTGCGGGTTGCAAACGTGCCTCCCGCATGGATCACATTCGCAAACCCGAGGTTCCACTGTACTGAATTAAAAAGATACAGAAAAACCTACAATTTAAAATCAATAAAAGAAATTGGATGCTTATTTAAAAGATATTTGCCACCTGAAATTTCAGTTAGATTATGCATCTCTTAAATTAAGTAACCTGGTTTAAAAAGGAAATGTGAATCAAATGTCAACATTTTAATAATAACATTTTAACTATAGCTAAATTTGCCTGTTATACCAAGCCATAGTTTAGCAGAACACCCATGAACTGGAGGAAGCCTGAGCGAGCCTTAGGCTCATGTGCTCCCCTCTCCTCCTACCATGTGGCTGGGAGCAGCAGTTCAGAAGCTTTTGCTTTTAATTAGCCATCAAACTATTACTAACATCATCTATAGCTGATTTCAAACAACCCAATTTCAAACTGGTTTCTGAAGCTGGCTTGTTTAAACGAATTCTACAATACATAATTGGTGTAAACCAACATTCTAGATCTGGCTGACACAGCAAGCTATGGTTAACCAAAAGTGGGACTGAAATGTTCTGGACTCCTCCTCCCAACTGTGAAGAAAGGAGGAAACAAGGGAACCAGAAGAGGGGTCGAGTTTGTTGCAGCTGTCATAATAAATTACAGTTTAGTATGACATACAAACATGACCTTTGCCTGCATTTTGATGTAAAATTCTGAACCAAAACGTATCTGATTTGAGGTCAAGCATCATACTGGGTGGGGAGCACAGGCTTAGGGACCGAATGCTGCCCTCTGGTCCTCTCCATCTGGCCCCTGGGACTCTCCCCATGTCATGTCTGGCCTCCTTTGTGGGCCACACAGACCCTCCTTGGGCAACACCCATTACTGGCCCTGATCCACATCTCCCATGCTGCTGCATGACTGGAAAATGTCATTAACTGTGATGATGCCTCTTGCCTGCCTGGATGAAGGCTAAAGAGAGTATATAGAAAGGCATGTGAAGAAACTTTTGACTTTTGCACAGCTGGGATTTAGTCCACTGTACATGATGCTGAAAAACAACAAAGCTGCTATGACTAATAAGTTCCAACCCTGGCTTCCAAATGTTCAAGGCTCTTAGGCTTCAGGTAAATGATCCTGCTTAGTATCCTTACTATGTTCAGAGAAAGCTAAAGAGAAATCCTTCACCATTTCTACCCTAAGCAGATATACAGAAAGGACAAGGACCAGAAGGTTTGGTTTATGCTTTGGGGGCTAAGATAAACTCTACTGAGTTGTAAGCCAACTCAATAAAGAAGTCTAGAATGTAAGAATGTAGGAACATAAGAAGCGCCTGCTAGATCAGGCCAATGGGCCATCTAGTCTAGCATACTGTTCTTACAGTGTCTAACCAGATGTCCATGGGAGGCATGCAAGAAGGAGCTAAGCTCAACCACTCTCTGCCCACCTTTAATTCTCAGCAACAGGTATTCAGAGGCTTACTGCCTCTGACAGTGGAGGTGGAACATATCTACTAAGAATTAAGTCCTATTAGGATTAGAATTGGTGTCTAAATGGTTATAGGAATTATAGCATGCATGTTTAGGAAACTTTCTCACTAAATTATTTTTTATATATTCCTTGGGTTGCATCCAAATTTGGGAACCATGGGGATCTGCTTTTGCTAAAGGAAGGGGAATGATTTTTTTGTGTGTGTTTTTTGGCTATTTCCTTCTTCTCCTTGCATCCCCCTGTAAATCTACTGTGGGTGGTCAGGGACCCTTGGTAGCAGCACAAGTGGTGGCCCTGCCAGTGGGCTGCAGAGGGTCAATATGGCCAACGCTCACAGCGCTACTAGTCTCTTGTACCGTTGTTCATTGTGTATGTGAGGTCATCCATGGCTATCAAAAGGAGAGCTAGTTCAGTAAAGTTGCCAGGGAAAGAAAATAACACCAGGAGAGAAACTTCTGGAGGATGGCAGACTTCCTATCTCTGCTTTAAATGGATATACTTGACCAAATTATTACGGTTCTTTTTTTAAAGGGTGAGAGAAGAATCTTGCTAAATATTAGTGCTGAACTTTAATTGTTGCTTAAAAGTTTGTTTTATTACAAACTTGATACAAGACAGGTGGATTATCGGGCAACATAATCCTTGCTTCATTCTTTTCCCTGTATAGCCATCAACATGGTTGGAAAATAGAAACATAGAAACTATGTTTAACACATAGTTTGTATGTACTCAAGAAGTAGGTTCAAAATACCCTTTTGCTGCCTAGTACATAGCTTGCAATGAGGGATAAAATACTACGAGTTCAAAATGTGGCTTGAAAAATAATATATTTTTAAAAACACCCTGATTTATTAGAATAATTGTAGTTACTAGGACCCCACCATAAACACCATGGATTGGGGTTTTAATAATGGCACTCTTATTTAAATTGCTTACCTTATCAATCATCTTGCGAGCTTCTACTTCCTCAGCATTGGGGTTTTCCAGTTCAATAGTGTAAGTACCTTTATCACTTTGGTCATCCTCCTCCTTTTCAACAGCCACCGGAACGACCGGGCTTTTAATCTTTTTCTCCATGTCCTCAGTTGTACTTGGTCTATTCCCAAGACTTCCAGAACTTCTCAATAATGCAGTTTGTAAGAAAGGCAGTGCAGCAGAAGGCTCTTCTGACTTTTGCTTCAGAAGTTTTGCATGTACTGCTCTTTGTTGGGCGGAGCTATTCTGGGAAGGTGGTAAACTGCCTTTGGAGTCGCCTGATGCAGGTCTCGCTTTTTCAGTTCTTGTAGGGGGTGCCGGAGAAGATGTTTCAGGGAGCAGAACTCCCACGTTTTGAGAAAAGGAATAAGATCTCCTCTTCCGGGAATGGCCTTCATCAAAAAACTCAATCATAAAAGCAGTCTGACTAACAGTTGGCTGGTCTGAATGTTTCTCTGTGTCCTGGGATTTTGTGTGCAATTTTTTCTGCTCAGCATAATGATGCCTTAACTGTTCTTCAAGTGCTGCCCGTCTACTGTAATGCCTGTGTGCTCCGGCATTTTCTGAATCGCTCTGTGTCCCATCGTCATGTTTATTTCCTGCAAAGACAAAACAAAACATAGAAATCTAGCTCTACATGAGCAGCAGTAATGCGGAAAGAACCTCCGAAAGTTAAGTGAATACAGAGACAATATTTGCTTTTCTGTTAGAAGCTCAACTGTCTGTTAGTAACAAGCTCTGCAAGCTTCCCATAGCAACAACAGACACATTCAGACTTGCCATGCACAATGGAGTCTTTTGCCAGCTAATCAGTGAGGGAGATGCATTTGAATTGTCTTATTCAGAAAACAGTCAGTTCCCAATCATGCTGGATGATGAAATGCGAATGTGCTACAACAGCTATACCAAAATTAGCAGATCAGTATGCCTTCTAAACTGTATTAGTACCTAGCTACAAATAACTCAGGAGCCAGAAAACAAACCTTTGCTTCTAAACATATTCCATGAAGGGTAGAAAGTAAAACAGGAGGTAACAACTGTACAGTTGCCACTATCAGTGGAAAGCTTTTGGCAAAAGCTTAGGTTTGGAACATTAGAGTTGTTTTCCCAGAATAATTTTCCAGTTAGTTATCAGTGTGGTTTCCGGAATACAATTCTTTATTAGCAGCAATAAACAATTATGGTTTTTCCCCATATAACGAATGGAGGTGGAGCAAAATAGGGCAGATTTAGACTTTTAAAAGAACCCTTTTATGACTGCAGCTCTGTACCCACTTATCTGGGAGTAAGTCCCTTTCAACTCAATGGGGCTTAATTCTAAGGAACCATATTTAGGATTGTGCGATGCCTAGAGAAAAAGTTCTAGGTGAACACTGAATATTTGAAAGTAAAGGAAGTTTGAATGTATACAAAATCAAACATTGTAAGAAAATATATATTTAAAGAGATTAACAAGGTCTTACTGTAGTTATACAAACAACAGAATGTCTCAAGGTATGTCCACATAATTTCTGGTCTGTGCAGTGCTGCACCAATTCCTGTCCCTGCAGGGCTACCTCAGCACACCAAAGGCATACTTGGGATTTGGCTATTGTACAGCCTTCATTCATAACCATTCCTAGCCAGAAAACACAAGCCCTTTGTAGCCTGCTTTTGACCAAGAACTGTTGTGCCAGGTTTGATCTGCTGCAAGCAGTCATTACACAGCCTTTTGTCCATGCAATTAGTTATCTGGAAGCTCATGCTGGTTGAAAATGGCTGTGGACTGCACTGCTAATCTTCAGTATAGTTAACTGGTGCAATATATTTATGAGTATAGCAGTTACAAACTGAGAAAATCAAAAAGCCCAGAATTGTAGTTAGATGCAAAGATGCTCAATTTACAAAGTACGATAAGAAGGTAGTCCATCTTCAGAACACTGTGATCTTCCTGGGATATGGGCTCTTCAACCTGCTGTTCTAAATTTATATTTAGTAGTAGAATAAATGCTGATTATGGAAATTGCACTAAAATTGGCTTGAGAATTCATTAAAACATGCTAATGGTATCTTATGCAAATTTTGCTCCTAAAGAGCAACCTTCTTTTAATGCATAATATGCAGAATTACTTACAGGATACCATTTAAAGTTTTGAGTTAATTAGTTACAGTTCTGGAAGAATTTTCAAATAAGAGTTCTAACTTATATGAATTAGTTACAGCATTCTATTTTACATTGAGTGTGCCAGAGTAAGTTCCTTAATAGAAGAAATAAAAACACGTTTCAGCTGAAATAATTTAAAATATATACTTATTTGTGAGTGTGTATACTATGTATTACCATTACAGACTAAATATCACTCATAAGATCAGGCAAACCATCCTGAGAGATTTGTATGAAGTATAATAATATAACTGCCAGTCAGTAGGAAGATGTGGGTGAGGAATAAAGTGAAATGATGTTTTAAAAATACGAGATGTAAAGGACTTTGATTTAGTAAGGGTAATCTGAAAAGCAAACCAAAGGAAAGTTTTTCAGTCAAACTTAATTCACTGAGCTGATAAAAAGGAATCAGAAAATTAGAAAACAATTTAAACCTGTTAAAATTATTAAGTTGAAGTCTATGACCTATATTCACCAGCTTTATAAAGCTTGATGAAATGTTCATCTGCATTTTTCTTATGTCTGCCCAAAACCCATTTTAAGCAGCTTGATTCCCCCCCCCCACTTCAACCATTCGCCACTTATTGAACATTAAACTTTATTGAAAAGAGATGCTTGAACATGGATGCATTTTTAATCTTTTGTGAATACAATATTAGCAAGTTTGCTTTGGTATTTGTGTTTTGTAAATGTACCAATGCTATAACATCACAAGCTTTGAATAAAAAGGTACAATTTTTGGGGGGGGGTGTCCTGGCAGAATTGGTTGTCACTTGATGCTTTGTCTAAAACATTCTGGTCTGTAAGAATTCTAACAGAGTGTAGTAAATGTGTACAGTTCCAGTTAGCATACTTACGGCTGAATATTCAAGACAAAGGAAATAAATACAGCTGAAATTATTTGTTTTACCTTTCAGTCTCTTCAAGTAGACTGGAACATCACTCTTAATACTTTTTGAATCTTCCTCTGTTGATTCCCAGATCATTGTTGGGGGATTGTTTTGTGCTAACCAGTTTGCCACTTTGCTCTCCGGGGCCATCATCACAGTTTGAAGCCCAGGAAGATCCTGGGCACCAGAAGGAGAAGGCTTCTTAGATTTGTGGCGCTGATCTGGAGTGAATTTTGTAACATGATCTTTGATGGTTACTTTTCCTGGGGTGCTGTCATCAAATTCAATAGTAAATGAAGCATGCCCTGCCCCTGCTATGTGTGTGTCTTTTGTTGGGATCTCATGAATAGTACCCTCAGGTATTTGGGAATGTTGATGGAATTCCTTTGTAGGGATTTCAAAATAACTTGGCTCCCTACAGAAAGGATAATTTTCTTCTTCACTTGCAGCTGCAGATTGCTCCTCAGCTTGCTTGCCATCTGTGCTGCATCCTATTAAGAAAAACAAAGAAATTGAAATTCTCCAATATTGCAAAAGCCGAGGCTTCAAGGAATTTCAGAGTTCACATAAAAGCCAGGAGACAATTCTTGGGAAGGACATAAGAAGAGCCCTGCCAGATCTGATCAAAGGCCTATTTAGTCCATCATCCTGTCTCCCAGTTGCCTGTGGGAAGCCCACGAGCAATGCAGAAAGACGGAAAAATATAGCTCCAGAATTGCAAGTCTTCTCTGTTGATAGTTCCATATTGAAGACAGGCATGAAAGTACGCACATCTAACCAAAAGAAAGCTCACTAAGAATGCCAAAGAAACAAGTTCATGGGTATCAAAAGATTACACAATTGAATAGAGCCATGGGGAGGGGTAACTTTGTCTTCTTCATCTGCATGAAGTCCTGAAGAGTAAATATGAACTTGGCTTTAATTCAGATTTGAATATATCCCTGTCAATGGAAGCAAATAAGCTAGATTGCAGTGACTCAAGACACTTCTGAAAATCCAATGCCGAAAGTACAGTGCAGGAAAGGAAGATAAAATTAAAATGGAATGTAACGTCTATAAGCAGTAAGAAACATGCAGAAGTTTGTAAATATCTTGCTTTTTGATGGATAAAGAAGCCGGAGAAGAGAGGAACAACGTACATTCTGAATAAATGCTAAATCCAAGCTTTTGTGGAGCTGCTAGCAAAACATTATGCATTCAGCACAATAAGCTTGCTTGCCAAGTATTAGAGATTTGAATGCACCACAAGCAACTGCTGCTGAAGTGAATACTGGTAAGTCGATTCCAATGGTTGAATGGAGCAATATCATTTATTTTTCAAGATGCACATAAAGTAACAAAACAGATAACTTTAAAACACTAACACATTTTAAAGAAATCTACTAACATATTTACTCTGTGGATGAAAATGGTACAGTGTCATGCAAAATGCATTTTAAAATGGGCAGCACAGCAAACAGAATATTCATAATGATTTTCAGGAGTCATGTCATTTAATTTTACTATCGTTTCTTTAGAAAGAAGCAGCTAAAAAGCTGGGGCTGTGTTTCATGTTAAAGTGTTAATGAATTCCAGCGCAACATACAGCTGAAGTCATTGGGGAATGAATGTTATTGGCAAGGGATCAGAAAACTGGTACACAGTATCCTGTGATCTTCAGCCTCAACAGAAAAGCAGCCGATGAGGTTTACTTTGTTTTACCACAGTGTTAAAATATAAAATGCTTGTCCAATTTTAAAAGATTATTCCAATTAAGATTCGCAGTTTTATGCAACATCTCCTGCCAAGATTAAATAAGAGCTAGGAAAATTTGCTCTGGAATGCACATTTTTGCTCCACTTTCTGTGTGAAAAGATAGGTTTTTAAATTACTTTTAAACTGTCTATCTTTTCTACGGTAATTACCTTGGTAGAAACCAGTAAAGAGATTTCCTCCACCTCCCTTGCAATTAAGATCTATAATACATCCACTTAATTAAGCAACAAAAATTGCTCACACAAGAACGCATACATTGGCCCAGATCAAAAGTGCTCATGTGCAACTTCTCATGCTGCTAGGTGCCTCCTTCCTGCTTCAGCCCACATTTCCATATCCCATATTATTCTGGAGGGTACTATAACATTCAGGAGCAGCTTTACAGGGGACTCAGGTGGAGAATGAGGTTGGAATCCCCTGTTGAACAAGTGACATTCTGCTTTTGTATCTTTGGCTTGAGGCCACTCTATAAAATGTCCTAGATTTTTTTTAGTTATAGCACAAGAGACAAAAGCTACCAGTATACTAACTTTGGTGGGTTAAAAAGTCAACTTCCTCCAATTAGGTTTTTGGACCCTGAATTGATGTTGCTGTTGCTTTGGAGAACTGTGCTAAATCACTTCTTAAGAGGGAAGTTGTTAATAGATTTTAAACATCCTTACCTTTTCTAGTAAGCACTGTAGCATGCAAAGAGTTAACAGTTCAAAAATGAGTTCTCTGCCAGGATACTGTGTACTACAATAGTGATGGGAAACAAGACAGGCAAGTTGCTTAACTACCATGCAATGCAGAACTGGATGTACATGAAATGAATGGTATCTGTACAAGAATGACAAAATGTGAGCATCTACGGATTCGAAATCAGGAAAGTAGCCGAGGTTTCTGGAGATGAAAAACAGCAAGGTTTTGCTTTCAATGGAAAACAGCACAGTGAAGGAAGCAAGAAATGCTCAGGGCAGAAAGCTGGTAGGGAACAGGAGGATAATAAGAGCAGGTGTTAACAGCAAAGCCAGGAGCTAAGAGCGAAGCTGGGTAAAGTAGTAAGGGGTGGCCTGCAGGGAAGTCCATGGAAGGAAGAACAAAGACAGAACAAGTCTGTTTTGATATGTGATGCTTTCGGAGAAGCAGTTAGGATGGATTCTGAATTGAAGGAAGTAAAAGTGCTTGTTTATATGAAGGAGACGGATTCTGTAGGAGTGGGAGCTAACAGACCAGAAGTGCAATGATACTTATCATCTCAACTGTTCTAGGAAGAATTCAATAGCTGGAGATTGAACTATTAGCACTGTGCTTTATCAAATACACTCTGTTACAATATATTGCTTGGCAGCCAAGTTATTTCCAACTCTGCTATCTTCTTGTAAATTCTTCACTATTAAACAGGCAGCTCAGTGCTCCCAATATTGGGGTGTGTTCATAGTTAAAACCTGTTAAAAGTTTAAAGAATTACAGTGCAATTTACTGTTTAACATGTACAGTTTCATAGAATCCGGCAATCATTAAGAATGCAAGTAACAGAAGCAAAGAAAGCTGTAGTCAAGAACCAAGAAAACCAAATCAAAGAGATCTAGCTGGAAATAAATTATAAAAAGTTTGCAACCAGCAGTTCAATAATTGTTTCACGGGTATTTCTTCCCTGTAACAGATTTTTAACTAGTCAGAATGTATAAATGGAGATTTGTTTCAGAGCTCTCTGGATAACCACGAGAAACAAGAAATATATAAATGGCACAGACATATAAGCATAATTAATTAAGCATGTTTTGCTGTTGGTTTTTGTTTTGTTTTGTTTTGTTTTGTTTTATTAACCACCAGTACTTCTAAGTTCAAAAGTACTCCTAAAGTGTGTTTGCAACTCCCCATACCCAAGTCAATTAGAAAATGTGTTTTGATAGAAAGTTAATAGCATAAGTGAACCTACAATAAAAAGCTGCTATGTAGACTGCTCTCATTCAGGATTCCTGCCAACCAGCCATGCTCTCTCCTATGATATTACATGTGTTCCTCATTTCCCCGATAATCAGTCAGTATTTGACGCACAATAAGCATATTCAATCCTCACTCCACTGTATGCAATTTTTCTCCAAAAGCAGGGTTGTGGTTTTAGATGAGCATTTTTATACATCTGCAGATCCTTGGATTGCACTGAGCTGATACCGCTTCCTTGTGTATTGATGGTGCCATTTTGGCTACCTAAGGAATGGCACAATTATATATGATGAAATTTTACAAATGTGTGCTGGGGGTGCATTGTCACTGTTCCTCAAACATTTAAAGTGATGATATAAAGCTAGCAAATCTACTCAGTTAAAACATCATTAATCTATAAGGTAGTACAGTGGTACCTCTGGTTACGAACTTAATTCGTTCCAGAGGTCCGTTCTTAAGCTGAAACCGCGCTTATCCTGAGGTGCACTTTTGCTAATGGGGTTTCCCGCTGCGCGCGTGCCTCTGGCATGTGATTTCTGTTCACATCCTGGTGCAAAGTTTGCAACCAGGAGCAGCTACTTCCGGGTAGCGGAGCTTGTAACCTGAAGCATTCATAACCAGAAGTGTTTGTAACCAGAGGTACCACTGTATTTCTTTCATGGGGAAAATAGTAGTTTGATATCTGAGATATACTTTCACAAAGAACAAAAAAGGATTATGCTATAAAGACAAGATATAAAGACTGAACATTTTAACAACTAGTAAAAATGGCTCAAGCGGGCATACAAGGGGAGACAATCAAATTTCAGATACACATTTAAATCTGGAAATCTTTGTTCACAATCCCTCTTATACTTACTATTAAAGAAGCTTGAGCCTTTCAGAAAAGTCTGATATTTATAAATAATGCGTTACAGATTTTAATCTAGCTCCAGTTTCAATGCACCAAAATGAAGAACAGTATATTAGCCTCAAAGGTCACAGACTTTTGTTTGCAACTCTCCAAATAAGGTAGGTACAATTAAAAATGGATTGCTCAGTAGATTGATTTTGTTTCAAAACCACAGTCTAGTCAGCCATACTTGGGACTGGAAAAGACTTTTCCTTTGAATTAATACCCTAGATTGCATGCAATGGTCATTTCATGGACAGCATGGAGGACTGCAGTAGGATCAGCGTAAATGGGGTGCCACAGCTTGCACCAATGAGAGCACTTTTCATTAAGACAAAGCTACCATTGGATACAACCCACTGAATTTTCTTGTGTTGCTTATCATGCAGTGTCTGTTTTTCCCCTGCAAGAAAATCCAGTTACTATTATTCAATATTTATCCCAGTCTGAAACTAATATCAATCTGAAAAATGTGCTGTAGGCTTTGGAAGGAGAATCCATTCCAAGAAGTGACTAATGCAACAGATAACTTATATACCTCTTTCATATTCAGGACCATAAATCATACCAATATTCTTTTCTCATAGAACGGAAGGCTTGAATCAGCACAATCCGTTATAAACTTGAGTTTTTGGAATCAACAATAGACTTCAGCACTCTTGGGAGATCAGATCAGAGCACACCATATTGATGTTTATAGAGTACCATATTTAACTGCCAAAGATAATTGAAAGCTTATAGCCTTGAAATAAAGTATGTTACTAAAAAGCTAGAAACATTCAGCACACTGAGGTAGGCATTTATTTTTTGTAAGGATTTATTAAAGTAAGATATAAAAAGTAAGGTGACAAATAAGAGTAGTAGGTAGTTTTAAATAGTACATTGTATGTGTATCTGCACCATCCTAAATCATGTTTTCTGGATCCATAGTAGAGAAAACAGATCAACATTACCAAATATACCAAAAGTAAAGTCTATAACACCTGATCTGAGCCCACTGAGGTTTGCTTGCTGGAACATTTTCCATTACAGGTTTCTACTAAGGCTGAAAAACAGTAATACCAAAATAATCTTATTAACTTAAGTCTATAAAGGCTAATTGTATCTAGTTGGCTTAGCAGAAACTAATCTCCTATATCAATCTCCTCATTAAACCATGCCCCATCTGCTATATTATATACGTTCTCTTCAAAATAATACCATTTTTCAGAAGTGCAAAGTGGTGAAGCAGTTTTGGTAAATTGAGTATGCCAGTTCAGGCTTGTTTTAAGTTACTTACAAAAATTATTAACAAACAACCAAGCCCTTAATTTATAAACTAGCTGCTATGAAGTAGACCAAAATCTCACATTGAATGCCATTAAATCTATGCCCAAGAAAATATATTTTCTTATCATATTTATATAGCAAACTGCATGCAAACTCCAATGTAACATTTATGTTTCATGAAGAAATGACAATGAAGGACCGATTACATGTGAAAAACATAACAGTGGAATAAAAATGAAAGTTGATACTGCAGATATATTTGTATATAGATTCCGGCTCATTCCTACTCATGGAACTTTCATCCAAAATGCAAGATAATTTTTCTTACTATTTTTTACATGGAGGAAAAAGACTATGATTACTGACCAGGGTGACATGCACAGCCTCAATTGTCAACAAATGCTAGCGCTCCTGTTGATATCTTAAGCTTGTTATGGAATGAAAAGGAAAGCTACTGATGTGATTGCTCCTGAGTGCCTCTCCAATCTGTGGAAACTTGGTACTCAGATGAGCTCCATCCTATGTAATGGGTTGGACAATGGTTGGAGCGCAGGTGGCGCAAGTCCCAGTGTGAATGGAACCAAACACTGATTGGTGATAACTGCACTTGTAGAAACGTAATTATATCATTATTTGCTCATCCCACTTGCAAGGGGTAACCAATGAAACAGAGCAGTGGGCAAGGATATGCTAATATGGTATTGTTTTCCAGCTACATGTTAACTGTGGAAACACCCATAAGCTTGGGCTATGCCAGATGAAATTGGACTCAACTCGATAACTGCTCCAGCTGATATGGCCAAGAGTCCAGGATGAGCTCTGTAGTCCAATAGAATTGAGGTGTGGGGAGTATGGGTGGCATAGGCTCCCACTGCTAGGCTTTGCAGTACAATCCTGAATTTTTCTACTCAACAGGACTTACTTCTAGGTAAGTGACTATACGATTACAGCCTCCCTAATTCACCAGAAAAGAACTCTGTAACTATTTTTTATAGCACAGGTATTTGAAATACTTAACATTATAAAAAAATAATAATACAGTAACATGCTATAGAAACTGTAGACAGAAGCCATGCACAGCCAAAATCCAAAATAAAACTATTTTCAGAAAAAGTGCTTTGTTTTCCCAAATATGTAACAAGAGACATGTCTTTCCAATGCATACATTTTATTCACATACACTTTTCATTGCATAGATTTAGTAGTCTATATCCATATCCATTTTCATTACTTAAATGTCTACTACCAAGTGGCTAATATTGTAAAATCAACTGGTTTGTAAAAAATGTTTGGATCACATCAAAAGTATACAAATGGAATTCGATTGAGCACTCTCTCAATTCACTGGAGTATCTGAAAGGTACAAAAGCCAGTGGCTCAATTCCATCTTTGGCACATTAGTTCATGACAATATAATTCCTAGAGGAAACATTTCATATCTTTTAAGTTTTGTACAACACAAAAAAAATACACTGAATCAGAACAGCTCTTGGGAACAGACAAAACTTGTTTTCACTGAGAAACTGGCTTTATAGTTCCTAGTCCCCAATAATACACTTTTAGGTTGCAATCTTATACATATTTTCCTGGGAGTAAGTCAGTGGGACTTACTTCTGAGCTGACATGCATTGTTAATTTCCCCTAGATAAGTGAATGGCTGTCATTAACTCCTATGGAGGGGAAAAAACAAATCTATGACATTTGATATGACTGGCACATTGTGACCAAAACCTGCCACCCGGCCATTGCCACTGACTGATCCAGCCTCCACTGAAAGATGCCAATATGTACACAGACACAGGGCCCCACAGTTTAGTGATATTTTCTTCTCCCTCCCACACCAGAATGGCAAGTATTTAGTTAGTTTACATGAATTTTATGCTTGAATTTACTGTAGACATTGTTCTCTTACCATTATTTTCTTAGGCATGTGGACTGACTTAGAATATATACCAGGCCTACCAGATGTGAAATGGAGGTGGGGAAAAGCTACAAATGGATCTGTTTATAAATAACCTTACCTAAAACTCCAGCTTCTTGTATTTTCTCCTCAGGTTTACTATCAGCTTTGTAACCATTCTGTTCTTCAGCTTCATCCTCACCCCACCATGATGGTTGCCCATATAATGGTGTGCCCCGAGGCATGGCAGAAAGATCTATATAAACAAACAAAATAGATTATTCATTTGGAGCAGCAAGAGTGACACTATGGAAAAATGGTAAAGAATAGAATATGGATTGTGGCTAATGTTCTGTTTACACTGCTTCCCAAACCAGGATGCAGAGTACACGGGAGCGTGTAAACAGTCTAAGCTATCTACATTCTGGATAAAATGTGCTAACATATTGCTTGCCTAGCTGCTCACACACATTTAACTGAGATGTGCTCGTTTCCTTGAGGGGCAGACGGAGCTCATCAACCTGGAATCCTTCTAGGAGAAGGATAATTCTGATCCTAAACCTCCACTTCCTTGTGGGATATTTTGTGGGATTATTTTAGGGAGTAAAACCTACACAAATCCGGAGTGGAGTCCGGTTGGATTGTGCCTTGAACGCCTGTTTCCAACAACTCCTGCAGCCAATTGGTGCCAAACATATTGCTCTGCTTTCCTTTGGGCCACATCAGTGAGGCTGAGAGGGAGGTCTTCTTGTCCAGCCAGCCGAGGACCTCCATACACATTGCCCAGGCTTGTGACCTGGGGAGGATACTTTGGTGCTGCTATTGCAGCGGTTTGACTTAACCCTTAGATGAACACTCCATTGTGTATCCAGACAGGTGGATGCTAACAAGGAAGGCCCCTTTGCTTCACAATGAATAATTATTTTCCACTTTCCTTCTTTTAATTTTTTTTAATGTCTCCAAATATGCTAGTTTGGCAAAGAAATACTTGTTTTCATAAAAGTAATAAATCATTCACTGGACTTCAAAGCTGCTGCAACAAAATTTCATTCACTTTAAAATGAAAACACTTACAATGTAATGTGTCAGATAGCAAAGCCAAGCTGATTTAAGAAATACAAGGGATCTGACAGTTAATTGTAGCTTTTTGTTTCTATTTACACCGTAACGGCCAGAAAAGCACACTGTTAAGAGGCAAGTGATATAGAATGAGGAGTTCTTTCCTATTAGGCCACTACACAGAATGGAAATTTCTTTGCAGAACTGTAACAATTAGGTACTATAACAAAGTAAGAGACAATCCTGGCAATTTTTACAATGACATATGAGGCAATTAATGCCCCAACTCCTTTATACCTTACCTAACTCAAAACATCTTACATCTTACAGTGGCTTCTCCAAAGCTAATATATTTTAGTAGCTAGAACTGACTGTACAAATTCATTTCTCTCACCTGCCACTTTCTCTTCAGCTTTCAGTGTGTCTATAACTTTGTGGTGCACTTCAGCAATGGTGTCTTGTACCTTTGGCGGTGTAGCTTTGGCACTGGTTAGCTTTGATCCTTCTGCCTCCGAGGATTTTTGGGATAGCTGCAGTTGACTTGTAAACTTCTCATGCTGTATGTTAGATAATTCCCCATCAAGCAAAGCAACAGAACATTAAGTATTCAACATTAAGTTTTAATAAACTACTATAAAATGAATCAATCAAGGTATTCAATATAAGCCATATTCAAAGCAGACCCACTCAAATCAACAAACGTAAGTTACCTAAGTCCATTGCTTGTACTGGATCAACTTAAGTTGGGTATCACCCAATATATTGATTCTAAACCAACTGGTTGCATTTGCAGATAATACCAAGACACAGTTTGTGTTTCCTAGCTGTGATCTGTCTGAATATATGAACCTGGCCCAGGAAATTAACCATGGTTTATTTACAGAAAACATACCATGGTTTGCTGTTGACTTATGAACTGCAGCTCACTTTAACTATGGTTTGTTGTTAAGTCAGAATCCAGGATCCTGATGTAATACTTGTTTGTGTTGACACCCCAGCCACTTGCTTGACAAGCAATTAGAAAAGAAGGCATGAGGCAAGGGTAGCTAGAAAATGAAATTGTTCCCTCAGCTAAGAAACTGTGATTGGTGCATTTCTGCAAGTAGCCTTCCCTCCTTTCCTGCTTGACAACAGACTCCTTTGCCTGCTCACCTTCTCTCTGCCAAGCCCTGCTTTTCAAACCAACTTTCCTAGCTTTGCTACTGCTTTACAAAAAAAAGATACACTTAAAGGGACCTCCAAATTACTAACATCTATCCAGAACTTTATGGTGAAAACACAATTCATCATAGGAGGTTAACATAGTTGTTACACTTATGCAGGGAAACAGAAATAACTTTGAAAAAGAAACCAAATAAAACTAATATTTTCTATTTCACACTTTAGGGTCTCCCCATACATACACACACGTTATTGGGAATTTTTTACTCCTGACTGCAATGTAACCCCAAACATTTCCAGCTCTATTTAACACAACAGGCAAAACAGCAGTTACTTTGGGGGCTGGTTGGGTGAAGTGATGATGACTCATTTTTGCTTGCTAGGAAATGTTCAGGGAACAATTTGGTAAAAAGCCTCCCTACTATGGACTGGAGGTGCTGGTTGCTAATGTGGAGTAGATGTAGGGAGAATTTCCTTCGGGGCATGCAAAAGTGCCTACAGGGAGGCACTAGTTCATTTGAACTGCAAGCATAGCAGCGGCAAGCAAACAGCAGTCACACAAGCTCCCCAAATGCTTGCATGGGGGCTGCTGCTTAGTGAGAACCAGGCTTCAGGAGTGCAGCAATCTAACCCGAGAATCAATAAATACGGGCTATATATTTTTACCTTAAGCACTTATTTATTATTTATTTTTTAAAAAATTTTTATTGAGTGTTTTCAACATAAGATACAATAAAAACCAAGCTAAAAAAAAGAGGTAAGAAACAAACCAAAAGAAAAATACAGGAAGGAAGAAGAAAGAAATGTAATACTTGCATGTAATACCAAGCCCTCTATCACAATTATATATTAATCCTTATTTCACACACAGAAGGGTGAGCTCTCCCCGCTCTCACCTGGGAGCTTCCCCCACTTCCCTCAGCCTCACACCCTGAGGAAACATATCTGGTCTGCCTCTCATGGAGGTGCTTTTCTCTTCTGTCCACCACCTTCCTTTGTGTATCTTCATTTATGCCAACTATAAATCTTCAGAGAACCAAACATACATATAGATAGAATGAACAGAGAGCTATCAAGAGTTAAAAGTGACAGAAAATGCATACCTTAAGGGCTTCTTCAGGAACTCTCATCTCTCCTCTGACTACAGTAAAAAGATTAGTATGTATAATGCGATAAGGAAATTTAGTGATATTTGTCCAAGTCCATTAGAAACTTCAAATGTTATGATAAGTATAAGGTTTTGGGGAGCAAAATATTGCTTGCAGCCTCCAAGTTTTAGAATGACATTGTTCCTATTTATGAATTAAGGGGACTGCATTCATAAATATTCTATTATATTGTTCTTCATTAATTTATGCTAGCAAATTTATTTGATGTGAATGTTTAGCATAAGCAAAATAATTCCAGTTACTGTCAACCAATGACTATGTATGCCCATAACAGCAAAATATAAGAGCATTTTAGGTATTTGCCTAATTTTGACATCAAACCAAACCTTAACTTGATTCGAAACATAAAACAGGTAAAGTTGAGAGTTGCTTGTTTGCTCCCCCCCCCCCCCCGGTCCCCTCAATATTCATAAATTTAGTCCCTTCTTTATTGTGCAGCAACTGTAAGGTAGAGGAGAGGGGGAAGTTCTGTTGCATGAGCAGAACCATAGTGTTGGCTACAACCTCGCGAATCTGTACGACTATGTGGAAAACTCTTCAAGTATACCTGGCTTCTGTCAGTAAAGCCTTAACATATTGCTACACTAACAACCATGACAATTCATTTTTAGTTATCTCAACATTTCAGAGATAAGATTTTTAATCCATTTCTTTCTGCCAGTTGGTTTGTGAATTCCGAAATGCACCTCTACTCTCTTATTATTGTTATTCAGTATTTACATTCACACCCCACTCTTTTACAAGCACCCAGAACAGCTTACCCAAAAAATTAAATAGAATTGTTAATATGTAAATTCAGGAACAATAACTTTTTAAAAAGCCAAACATAGCACTAACTCCTTCTTTTAAAAAAGGATATCATATCCAAATCTTAATTTATCATCAAGTTTTAGAGTGATGTATGTCTGTTCTGGAATTCGAACATCATTCACAAATGTCTGGTGGAAAAAGAAGAAACATATTATACCTTCTACCAGTAATGAACTTCTAAATGTGAATCTAATTCTTCTTGTAAAGTCATGGTACCACATGTCACTATTCAATTGCTGAAAATATTACAGAATCAACCTTACTTGCCCAATAAAAAATTTAGAAAGGATATGTGAATATATAGAGATCTGGCTTTATTTAATGCCAACATGCCCTGGGCCTATCATGAATTACTTACAATGAATCTGCTAATGAAATACGCTATAAACTTGCTGTGTTAACACAAGCTGTTCCCACAATAGCAAGGTACCTTTCTCAAAAGATACATGACATTTATTTTTTTGTTAGACTGGATCTAGGATAGAACCCCATGAACTGGATGCTTCTGTGAGTGGAATGTGGGTGGGGGGTTTTTGGGTGTGTGTTTTTTTGCTGATTCCTGCCTCCTTGTAGACATCAAAGATCTGCTTAAAGGTTAAGCCCTGCCTTTCTAAAACTGCGGGGTGCTTCACACACAATTTGTAATATACCATAAGGGTATAGTGTTTAAAGTCATGATTCTTCATTTCTTTCAACTTAAGTCTCCATAACAAAGTAATCACAAATATTTGTTCAGAGCTCTCTAAATTGTTAAAGCTGAACTACATCCTGAAAACAGAACCGTCACGTTTATCTTACCCCATTCAGACTGCCTAAATCCTTTACCAAGTGTTCATCAGTAGAGGCATCATAGTTGACTACAGCATGTTGCTTGTCCACACTACGTGACTGAAATATTTAGAAGATAATATAACATTGTAATTCGTATTAATATAAATATGCATTAAAGTAAGGAATTAAGAAATCCTAGTTGTTTCAAAGGACACCATGAAGCTACTAGGAAAAAGTTATGAGGCTAATGTTGTGAAGGGCTTTTAAGGTTAGAGAAGGGAAATTTAACCTGATACAGGGGCTAAAAATAAAAGCCAATGGAATTGTTCAAAAACAGCTGACAGTGACAATTACCAGAAAAGCTGTTTATTTTAAAGGCTGAGATTTGCATAATCTGCAGAGAGGTAGTGTGACTATCAGGAAGCTCAGCAAAACAGTGAAAATGGTCAGATCTGGAGGCAATACTTCTATAGCTAGCTGTTCTTTTAAAATAGATAACTCAGTAGAAAATAGGAAATATTCGTTGTTTAATAACCTTGAATAGTCATGAAAACAGGTTTGTGGGCAATCAATTATCTAACAGAAAATCAAGAATACTCTCTAAATAGTGTTCTCATCAGTATAGCATGTAGTGAAAAGGGTAATGTGAACTTGCTTCCTCTATTCTCCCAGCTATGCAGATGAACTGAACATACTAAATTTTATTTTAAAAAAATATTCAGTAATTGAACCAGAATTTTTACCCTGTTGGTGTTAATTTGGAGTACCACATTGGAACAAATTTGGAGACCTTGTCCAACATCCTTAACAGCAGTCTAACCTCCAAATTTTGAAGATTCCCATAACCTGAGATATGAACAAGCCTTTATCACATGTGCACAGCCCCTTTGTTTCTCTGCTCTTATGAGCCATGATTAACCAGGAAGCATATGATTAATCACAGCTTATCTCATCAAACTGTAAAACTTTGACTACCAGCTTCAGACCAAGACAGGATATTAAATACTCCCAATTTCCCAAATTGGATGAAAAAAGGAAAGTGAAGACTTCCTTGTTTGCTCATGCTGCAAAGGGGGAAACAAGGTGCACATGGAAAATGTTTGTTCATATATTGACTTATTAAGTTCATCTCATCTGAACCAGTTCTGTGCCAAATTACTTGTATGAAAACATCAGGTAATGCTCAAAAAAGTAAAGGCTAAGAAGCTTGTTCATATTTCAGTGTATTAAATTGATCGTCTGAACCTGGCTGAGATTCCAACACAGAGTAGTACACGGCAACTGTTCTGAGAAACAAACTTTGAATCTGCAATACCCTCAACGGAGATCTATCAGTCATGACTAAATTGCTTAGCCCTAAGCGGCTGACTAGAGTACCATCCCTCTGATCTGGACATAGCTGAGTACCTCTATGAAGTGTAAATAATAATAATAATAATAATTTTTTATTTATATCCCGCCCTCCCCAGCCGAAGCCGGGTCAGAGCGGCTAACAACAGTAAAAATAACACAGTTTACATAAAAGCACAATCAATTAATTGAAATACATTCTAAAATCAATTCATTCTAAAATCAATTCAGAGTCAAATTAACGGCAACCACTGGGCTAGAGTTCTATGAGGATTACAGAAGGAGGGGGTCAGACTGTGCCTTGGTCAAAGGTCTGTTGGAACAGCTCTGTCTTGCAGGCCCTGCAGAAAGATGTCAAGTCCCGCAGGGCCCTAGTCTCTTGTGACAGAGCGTGCCACCAGACTGGGGCCACGGCCGAGAAAGCCCTGGCTCTGGTTGAGGCCAGTCTCACCTTCCTGTGGCCTGGGACCTCCAAGATGTTTTTATTTGAAGACCGTAAGGTCCTCCGTGGGACATACCAGGAGAGGCGGTCCCGTAGGTACGAGGTTCTATCAGTGATTCAGTAATTTAGAGAAATTAGAAAATGGGATTCTTACTTTATAATTCTAAGACTGTAAGTGCCTACCTGAAAATATGTGTTTAACTGGCAACAGCACAAATCTGCTTGAGTCAAATCTAGCCACCTATAGATCACACAGATTGATTGCTGCGAGTTACTCAGACTATACTGCACTACACTGATGGTGGCTGCGTGTGCTCACTGAGTGCAGTACTACTAGACTTCCCAGTAGCCTACACAGCTGCCTAGCCTAATTTCAACATTCCAGCAGAGACTGGTCACTTAATATTTTTACAGCTATTTATCCATATTAATAATTTATATTTCTTTGTCGAAGACACTCAGATGTAGGTAAATGCTTGCTATGGAACACTGCTTTTGATGCCTTACTTAGATGGTGATTCATAATTATAAAAGCTACAAAGATGCTTTTAGTACAGAGGTGATTTTAATACAGAGTATGTTCTACTTTAGGGGATGCGGGTGGCGCTGTGGGTAAAACCTCAGTGCCTAGGACTTGCCGATCGCATGGTTGGCGGTTCGAATCCCCGCGGCGGGGTGAGCTCCCGTCTTTTGGTCCCAGCTCCTGCCCACCTAGCAGTTCGAAAGCACCCCTAAGTGCAAGTAGATAAATAGGTACCGCTTTATAGCGGGAAGGTAAACGGCGTTTCCGTGTGCTGCGCTGGTGCTGGCTCGCCAGAGCAGCTTCGTCATGCTGGCCACGTGACCCGGAAGTGTCTCCGGACAGCGCTGGCCCCCGGCCTCTTAAGTGAGATGGGAGCACAACCCTAGAGTCGGACACGACTGGCCCGTACGGGCAGGGGTACCTTTACCTTTACCTTTTATGTTCTACTTTAAACATTTAAGTGGCAGCCAACTTTACTTCACAAAACATGTGAACTAAGATGTAAAAAGATTCAGTTTTGAAGTCATGGAAAAATGCTATTTTCCTATGCTTCCCTCAAAAAAAATGTACTAGGAACATGAAGGGTGGGAGACAGGGTAGTTGCTCCATGAATTGAAGAGTTGCACTTCTGGAACTACCATTAGCCTAGATCTCCTTGCAAAGCTTCCGGACGACAAGTTATTCCAATAATCCAATCAAACACTGAAGCCATGTCTATAGCACTACTAATTTGTTTTGAAATTTGGAACAAACAGATCTGCAGCAGTGTGTACTGGATATACAGTGGTAACTCGAGTTACAAATGCCTCAGGTTACAAACACTTCAGGTTACAAACTGAACTAACCTGGAAGCGTTACCTCGAGTTGAGAACTTTGCCCCAGGATGAGAATGGAAATCGTGTGCCAGTGGCACAGCGGCAGCAAGAGGCCCCATTAGCAAAAGCATGCCTCTAGTTAAGAACCGTTTCAGGTTAAGACCTCTGGAACAAATTAAGTTCGTAACTAGAGCTACCACTGTATAACAAAGAGCGTTGCTGCATTTTACAGACAAACAGATGTGTAGCCTACAGTCTCTAGTTCAGGCATAGGCAAACTCGGCCCTCCAGATGTTTTGGGACTACAACTCCCTTCATCCCTAGCTAACAGGACCAGTGGTCAGGGATGATGGGAGTTGTAGTCCCAAAACTTCTGGAGGGCTGAGTTTGCCAATGCCTGCTCTAGTTCAAAGGCTTTGAAAAGGGTTCTGTTTGACAAATGCTTAAGATACAATATATCTGCTAGTCTCCATACTGCTACAAAATTAATATATGTACTGTTCTGGAACTTGCTACTGTGTTAACAAAATTACTTTTTAGAGCTAAGTGTTTCATTATTTTAAAAAAAGTGTTTTCAGATTTAATTTTTTTCTATTTCAGGACTTGAGGAAAGGGCTTAATCCTGATTTTTTCTAGACCTTTACATTTCTATGAGCCTCAAACTTGAATCAGGAATTAATTCACAACTATAATGTAACTCAAATATTCTCATATTGCTACCCAATTTCCTGCTTGTCTGAAGGCTAACTCTGTAGACAGAAAGAGAGGTTATGTTCTCACTTCATGATCAGAATGGTCCATAGGTCTATACGTTTATTACGCAGCCACATGTCAGACTCATGCCGTGTGCACAGGTCCACTAACTAAAGCAAACTAATACTATGCAGTCACTATAATCCTGCTCCACAGTGTAGAAGAAAGATTAATTTATTAGAGGTTAAAGACTGGAGCAGCAAAACACTTAACATTTCAAAATATAATCCTCAAAAAGAAATATGTATCAAGGGTATAAAATCCCAACTTCCAGCATTTCACAGTTGGGAGAACTGACACAATTACCTGCAACATCAGCTCACAGTCATCTCTTCCCACAAAAATCATCTCTCGTGGCAGCCTATGACGGGTGCCTCCACTGCTCACCAAAAACCAAGATGTTAAGCTCATTTTCTGCTTAGCTGATAAATCCTCACAAGGCTACGTCATCCTGCAATAAGAAACAGATAAAGAGAGAAATATTTTATAATAATAATAATAATAAATTTTATTTATACCCCGCCCTCCCCAGCCGAAGCTGGGCTCAGGGCAGCTAACAACAATCAAAATAATCCAACATTCTAAAAACCTTTCATTATAAAAATTAATTAAAATCAAATTGATGGCAACCATTAAGCAAAATTCTGTGCAGATTGCCAGAGGAGGGGGTCAGACTGCGCCCTGACCAAAGGCCTGGTGGAACAGCTCTGTCTTACAGGCCCTGCGGAAAGATGTCAGGTCCCGCAGGGCCCTAGTCTCTTGTGATAGAGCGTTCCACCAGATTGGAGCCGCGGCCGAGAAAGCCCTGGCTCTATTTATTTTTATCTTCAGTTCTTGTTCCTAATAGGGTTTCTATATTTTCCAACACAGAGAAGCTGGACAACACAACTAACACATGATTTTCAGATTTATATCAGCTATAAGGATAGCTTCACAAACTGCCTTTTCATACACAGATGCAAGGAAATAAACATGCACACCATCATGTGTGAAGGACACCCATCTATTTTTCCACGTATCACACACTGGGAGTCTGCTGCTATCAACCACAGCTGCCCAATACATGTACATAAATATGGTACATGAAAAATGTACACATTTTCCCCACACACTATTGCATTGTGAATAGAGATGGGAAGGCCTGGAAAAGAACCCGGAAAAATTGGGGGGAGGGGACCAGGACCAGTCCCGTCCCCCCATTCCCCCCCCAACGGCTTTGGGGAAAACCTGAAAGAAACCTGGGTCCCCCCCCATTTTTCTGTCCCCCCCCAGGCTTTCCCGTCTCTAATTGTGAACATCATAGCTATATCATAGCTTAAATTTCTTATTATTGTGTGGGTGTAGCTGGCATGCATAAACATGAGACAGTTTCTCCTTATAGATTTTTTCAATTTATAGGGATGAATGAAAGAAGTTCAGTAGCTTTACAAGGCTGTAAAAAAATTGATCATCGGTTTTCAGTAAGCAGATGATGTTTTAACAACATATGGCAAAATTTATTTCAAGTAATGATTTCTGCTTCAAGACTTCTCATGCTCTTGAGGATACAATTAAAATGCTACCACTCACACACAAGAGAGGTATCAGTACACTTGGGATAGTCCCAAGGTTTTCCAAAACTCCAAAAATCTTTAGGGAAAAATACCTAAGGAAGGAAACCCAAAAATAGCTCCGTACAAACTCAATGTCATAGAATGCTTACTGACGAGAGAATATTTTGGAATGCTGCCTTACTTGAGAAATTGACTAACAATGTTGTGACTACCAAAGGCAAAGCCAAGCCAAGTCAGAAAAAGATTATGGCACCCCTTTATTTTGTACACTATGAGTTCTGGTAGGGGAAATGGAACAAAGTGGCTAGAGAGGGAGGGAACACACATACAGATTTCAAGAGTTTAGAACTGCTTTTAAAATTTTGAATAAAGTTTGTTTAAAAAAGAGAGAGCAAAGACTGATCTCTCTCATTATCAAGGTAGGTCATTTACAGATTGATGCAGAGACAGAAGTACATCTACCCCACAGTATCCACCAAAATCATATACAAATCGTTGAAACAGGCCCATGAGAACCGATCAGGCTCAGTCAGCATGCAATGCTGAGTTTTGGATGGGGTAGGGAGGAAAGCTAGTATAGTAGGGATGAAATGGAATGAAATGACATTAACCCTGAATAGAAGTGTGCCACATGCTACAGTGTTGCTACAGGGGCCCATGTGTTTTGCTTACCAACTAGCCTGATTTTGGGACAGCTCAAAATCTTGCTCACTACTGTATGGCATTTTGGTTGACCTAATAAAGGTATTCTCCTACTGTGGATTTTGAAACAAATATTGTGCTGTGACTTAAAATAGAGCAGAATCTAAAAGATCTGGAAGAAGAACACAAACAAACAAGCAGACTATACTTTTAGCGATCAGCAAGATTTCAAAAATACTAGCACTGAAACATATTAAATCTAAAAATGTAAATCCAAATAACATTATACATTGAGATTGAACAGGAAGGTTTTTTAAAAATAAACAAACAAACAAACAAACAGAAACAACTAGGTCAGGACTGATTAATCAGAGCACTGAAGCAACTGTTGATGAACAGAATAAATTAAAACACCTGAGAAGGGTTTGTATATTTTTTGTTCCTGGCAGTCATAGTAGCTTTAGGTAGCACTTGCAGAGATAAAAGGCTGACAGCAGACTTTAACTTTACTGCTACACCTAGCAATAAGCAAACTGGCAGAATAGTGACAGATTTGCAACCCAGATACATATTTTAAACGTCTTCTTAGAACTCTTATCAACCTACTGTATAAAAGCTGGTTGAATGAGAAACCAAGAACACAATCCTATGCATAGTTACGATTAAGTAGGTCACAGTGGTACTTGTGGTCCAATCCACACCTGTTCAGTAAGATTGAACCATAGAACAGGTGGGGAATCTCAGGATCTGGAGCTGAATTATCAGGCACTTGAACCCTCCCCAGACCACACCTACGTTCCCCTAGGACACACTCCTCCCAGGTACTATGCCTTGTAGTTATTTTGCCTGGCTGGAATGTGTCCTGAAACTGTGCTCATTCTTCTAGCACATGCTTCTAGCACACACGGATGGGCATGTGTGTGTGCACTATGTGGGCAGAGGTGCAGGAGTGCTGGATTGGCTCCACTACCATGCATATACTGCACCAACCTCCTCACCCAACAGCAACCCCACTGTTGGCAAGCCAGGTTTGTTATATATAAAACCCTGTGACTGAAATGTAGTCTACTGTACAAAGGTAGGTGTCATATCCATTGTTCTGTCCACTTTTTTGTCCTTGGGCTGAAAAGGTTTCCCCAGTTCTGCCAAGTAGGTTTCAATGGAAGAGTCAAGTCCAATGGAAGAGTCAAGTCAATTATCAAGTGCAAACATGCATTGCGAGGAAAATACTAGATGGACCACTGTTGTCACTCTACAGAAAATTGAAAATTCCTAAAAGAGATATATTTGGTTCCCTGATAGAAACAGTAACATAAAAATGCAGGTGACATCACATTGAATTTAAATACCTAACATCAATGCATGCACACTTTTAATGGAATGTACTAACCTAATAAAAACGTGTTATATTTTGGCATGTATTGCAGTTTTCATTTGAAGGGCGGGGCACTGTTTTTACAGCTTTGGGAATTACATTCTTTAGCTGCTTTGTACATAAATTATTCTATTCAAAAGTGTGTCAAACAGATGATGCAACAGCTGCAAAGCTACCAATATAATCCACATAATTCAGAACTTTAACTCCACATTCTGTGGGTGTAACCCAGTTTGGAAAGAACAGCTTCTCTGCCTGCCAATATTTGAGCTAAAATATTATCAATGAAATTATTAAAATATGAAAACACCACCACAGAATATGCCTGTGGTTGTGGTTGGGGGTTAGAAACAGCAATTACCCCACTCCCAACACAAATACACATGATCAAAAGTCCACAAGCCTTGAAGACAGGTGACTTAGTGTGAAGCAGCTGCTCCTATTACTTTGGAGCATTTGGTGCAGCAGCAGCAGCAACATTTAGGACCCTCACCAAAAATCGAGTTCTACCTAGCATTGAAACATGTAAAGTAGGCTAAGCTAAATGTCACCTAATCAACTTTACGCCTATATGAAAATTTGAACCTCAGTCTCCATAATCCAGCACTCTATGCATTATAGGCAATGGCCCGAATCACTGATGATCGCTTATGCTGTTGTCTGGAGATACCTACAAGTATAGTCAGGAGAGTACCATTGCTCATGACTGAGCAAAGCTAGCAAGCAAGCTATCTTCACTCCTGCCCTAGGTAACAAATGGCAGAAGACAGTTGTCTCTAGCCCTACAGCAGTCAGGGGCAAACATAAAAGCATGGCGATATCTAAATAAAAATAGGTAAACTGTTACCTACAGAGTATTCAGGGTAGATTTGACTGCTTCTAATAATGACCCATAAACTGACTACCCTTCAGTTTGACTGGTGTGCAGCCCTTACTGGTAATGACTAGCTTCAACAAAACTTACACAATTGCAAATCTGTTCCAATTTGAATCACATGCCAGTACAACTATCCAGAAAGGCAGGAGTGAGGGAGAAACATGTTTATGAGTTTTTATTCTATTAGGCAATATTTAGCTGATGCAAGTACTGAGTAAGAATGCATATTTCTTTTACAAAGTAGTTCAGAAAAAGACTCTTCTCAAGGCAAATATTAAAACTAGCCTATTTCTTGAATTATAACACACACCGAGAGCATATGAGAACACACCCGACATCTGTTTTGAAGTATCTGGTTTTTTTCAATTATAGTTGACATCTCCTTTTGTTTACTGCTCTCATGACAAAGACTTCATCATTGGCCAATTATTTAAATGTATCCCATTTCATCTCTTAAGACCAACTCAAAGCCTATTGCATTCTCAGCTCTGCCTAAATTATTCAAGACCTGATTTTTTAAAAGCCTTAATTGGTAGATCTGCATCTTGAGATAAATTAAAGTGAACATACAAGGAAGAGGCACCTAAGACTTAGACCTGATACATGCATACACATTATTTGGGATTTAGGGACCAAGAGGCCAAGGGATTGCAGCTAATCCCACTACCCAACCTGGTCAGCTGTTGCTAATTCATGCACTGCCTTAATTCAGTTCTGTGGTATGCATGTGTGTTACTATTACCAAAACAAGTATACATAGAAAGGGGGAGATAGAAATGGTAAGGATGCATGATCTTGCAAACTCATTATAACTGCCTAAATTCATCATGCTTCTCTCTCGGGCCTTGGTGTCAATTTCTTGAAATAAAGATCATGCTCAATTTGAAAACTAATTTTAGTTCATGGATAATCTTTAATCACTTCTTCAAAGCAGAATTTGGGACTTACACAAGCAGATAGGAACCTTAAAATAATACTGTTCCTAACTATGTAAATTCTAGTTATGCAACACAGATTTGTTACTTATTACTAGCTTGTTTGCAAAATAATTTATATCTATCTAAATAAAAAAGTATCAATATTAATCACCAGCAAAATCTCACATACCCTGTTAGTTTGCCATTACGAATATTTTTCACCTTGTAGGTTGATATGAATCCACAGTATATCCAACTTTCCCCAATTTACCTTACCTGAAATACTTATCTCAATACTGAAAACACCTTAGAATGGATATCACTTCCATCAGTAATACATCTGTATTTCCCTGCTCAAGTTCGTAAGGTCAAGATTATGTCTTTAATTCTTTTCACTTAAATGCTACTGCATCTAAAGGTAATCAGATTACTGCATGCACATTGTGCCATGCAATGACATAATAAGCTTTCTTTCAATTGCCCAAGGTACATTTCCACCTGATCTCTCATTGACAGGACTAGATTATGTTTCTTCTATCAAATTAAACAAATATACAGGGATTTTCATAACTTTATTTCTTTTGCACCAAATGCATGTGTCCACCAATATTCCTCAGTAATATAGGAACAGTGTTTTCGAATTTATTTTGAGGTTCTTTTCTTTTATTTCCCTTCCAGTTTATGTGATATGCATTGGCCTCAATCCACCCGACACAGATTTATTTGTTGTTGTTTTTAATTCCCAGACCAAGTAGTACCCTGGACAGTATGGACAAACAATCTACAATTGAATAATTGAGATGATGCACCAGCCACCCCATAGCACCTACTTCTACACTGCCTTGGTCTGAGGATGTGGCTCTTACATAACCCTTGAAGTCCTAACAATTATTCTCCTGAAGCGTCACCCACTCCTGCTCCACAATAATGCATGAGCGTGTAACTGAAGAATAGACCATGGGCCCTTAAAAAATTGCAAACAGCTCTCACAGGGGAGGCAGAACAACGGGAAGATCAAGCCCTGCCAGTCTTATCAAGGCTTCAGATGTTTCCAAGCCTTTGTTCAGACACCTTCTCAAGAACAGCTAGCAGGGCCCACTGGGAGCTGCCCAGGGTCCTGATTTACCTTACCTTATCCCAACTATGATGGGAAGAATCTTTGGTATTCTTTACTACTTTCTCTGAAGGTCCCAAGACCCAGAAGAACAGGATAATTAGGATAACCAAAACCCTTCTCACGTTGCCAGAAATTTCTAGGTGTAGAATCCCAATGCTTAACTGTACCAGACACATCTGATACCCCATGTCATGTTTTCTTGGCTTTGGCCCAGATACAAGCTTCAAGAGCTTGTAATACTCACCTCAAGGAAGTGCTGAGCACTGCACCCCTGCTCCCCAATAAATCTAACTGTGGGGTTAACTCCTCCTCCACCAGCAGTTTTCTTTTGCAAGTACAGTCTATTTGCCCAAAATGCTTCACCTGGCCAAATATCTGTGAGGCTTGCAAATAATCTGTGACTGTTCAATGTGTGTGTCTAAGATCAAATTCTCTAAGCTCAGAAATCAGCCAAGACATCCCAATTTTGGAGAATATTACCCAGATTTCAAACCTGATCTAATCTCAAATTTTAACACTTGGATTTTTTTACACAAAAAAATGGGAGGAAGGTATTTTACCAAGTGATATATCATTGTATTATAGATGTTGTAGTCTGTTGGGTTGAGCAAAAGACAGCCCTTTTTTTCTATGTTCTGGTCATTATTTCACCTACAAAGCATGGGATATGATTAATAAATAGGTTTCCTTTATGCCTACCAATAAGCCTTCTAGCTAGTATTCATAATAAACTAATTGAAGAAGGTAAAAGGTAAAGGTAAAGGTAAAGGGACCCCTAACCATTAGGTCCAGTCGTGACTGACTCTGGGGTTGCGGTGCTCAGCTCGCTTTATTGGCTGAGGGAGTCGGAGTACAGCTTCCGGGTCATGTGGCCAGCATGACTAAGCCGCTTTTGGCGAACCAGAGCAGCGCACAGAAACGCCGTTTACCTTCCTGTCGGAGCGGTACCTATTTATTTACTTGAACTTTGACGTGCTTTCGAACTGCTAGGTTGGCAGGAGCAGGGACCGAGCAACGGGAGCTCACCCCGTCACGAGGATTCGAACCACCAACCTTCTGATCGGCAAGTCCTAGGCTCTGTGGTTTAACCCACAGTGCCACCCGCGTCCCATTGAAGAAGGTACTGAAGCTTAAAGCACCAGATCATTAAGCAGAAGCTTAAGCAACTATTTTACAGTCCAATTTGAGCCAGAGACACAAAACTTCTTTATTGTCCCTCATAGGAACATGTTTTAGTTCATACAAGACCACCAGAATTAGAAAGGAAGTCCAGGCCACAATTACATCAACTCAAAAGCAGAAACTATGTTTAACTGCTGATGCCCACTTCCCTTCTTCTTTACAAACAAAAGACTGCTGCCCTCTTTGCCAACATCCCAGAACTTTCCCAAAACAGTGGCTGTTTCTGGAACCAGGACCCTAAATTCTGATGTTTAACTTAAAGCATTTCTGACCACATAGGAATGATGTGTTTCTTGGAGGTCCTCAAATATACTAGAAATGATGTGAAACAAAATTAAAAATCAGTCCCACCAGGGATGGGGGACAGAAAATTTCTCAAGCTGTTTTTAATATTCTTTTTAATGCTATAACCCACCCTGCGACCTTAGAGTGAAGGGCAGGTAATAAATAAATAAATCCCAGTACTTTCTTTTCACATGGAAATTTTTCTATTTCACAAATTCATTAAGAGAGAACAGATGCCAACTGCGAATAGGATATTAGACGTCTGACTTTCAAACTTTCAAAGTTTTTAGGTTTGTTTACTAAATGTAAGTAAAATGAAACATGCTAAGTGACGCACATAGAACAGTATGCTTAAGAAATAAACCTCTGGTATTTCTGCTGAATTTTAAATGAAGGTAATGTATTTACTTGAATTTAAAATTTGCCTTATAACTACCTTAAAGAAAATATTAATACGACACTAATGAATTAAAGTACAATATGTCCATTTATAAACATAATTTTAAATTTGCTTTTTTCAAAATATCAAAATAATTGCAAGCACAGCAGTGGCACTCACATCATGGTTTTCCTTACACCCACTCTTTAAATGGTTAATTTGCAAGATACCATAAAACTATTTTCTAGTATTTAACCAAATGATACCATTCTGGTTGCAAAATAGCCATCAACAATGAAGAATATATTTAACAGAAGGCATTATCTGTGCCTCAAGTTTTCTCTTCAAACTGTATAATCAATTTTTTGACTAATACAAAAAAATTCAGAACTATTTTTACAAATATATTTGCCCAAAGGTAATCATTCTTCCTAGCAGGACACAGTTCCTACTGAAAGACAGTTCCTACATTGAATGAAGTTTTTTTGGCAGCTTGACTATAAGCCTGAATTGATCACACTGCAAAATCAATATATGTAGCAGTTTATTGGAAAGAACGGATAAGGTTATATTGAAAGTTGTTAAGTCGGCAATGAATGGCCCATTAATATAACATAGCTATAGAAGATGAAAATAATTGAAAGCATGTTGAATGCAATCATAAAACCATCCTAAGAAGGCCATCACCTGTGCACAAGACCTGAATCACAGGTTGTGCAACTGTTATGACAAGGAATATTTATCAACTACTTGATAACTAATGAGGGAGAAATGTAAAAGATATATACTCCTAGAAGATAAATAGTGTGACTTGTGGGTAGATGAGAACATGAAGGCAACAGCTTTGAAAGAGAATATATTGTGTAATATCAGCATTTTTATGAAAAATAGTTCATAACTGGCTTTAGGGTCTATTTTTTTTGTAATGAGAGCAGGCTAAAGATTGATGGTGTCTTGGTTTGTTTGTTGAGAGATATATAACCAGCAAAGTTGAAGTAAGTAATCTATTAAGCAGGTAGTACAACCACTCATTATTTGGATTCCCAAAAAGCGACAGTTGTCACACACATATATGGACATGGACACATACACACACGCAGAGGTTTAGCTAATTCTGGCAGTGAATTCTTTCTGCTCAAATTCAAGCTACAATAAACTTTCTCTGAACCTCTCATTAACCAAAGGGTATGATATTGCAAAGACTGGAAAGAGAAGATATAGTAAAGCTTGGCTATATATTTCCAGGTATTACACTCTTTATTGTGTACAACATATGCAAAACCACAGTAATAGGTACATTCACAGTAAGACAAAATGTGTAACATGAAGAAAATTTAAAATATGATAAGGGATAATTCTGTGTTAGGGATCGTTAAGAAAGGGATTGAAAACTACACTGCCAAAATTGTAATACAAAAAGGTCCCACTTTACAAACAGTGCATTACCCGGAGATTGTTCATTGGTGGGTGTTGCCTAAAACTATAGTAAAAAAGGGAAACCATGATGTGATCACCTGCTCCCTTATACCCCAGGCTGATCACTGTGGTCTTTGTGTGAGTCCCTGTTGGTGGTCCTCTATGGCTCATGCTCACCAGGAGCTGTGTGCTCAGTGATATGGGACCATTTCTATGGAACTCCCTCCCAGCTAAAATCAGATGAGACACCACTCATTTGAACTTTCAGTCCTTGGTGAAGATTTCAACAGGCACTTTAAGCATTTTTTTTCTGATTTCATGGTTAATTTTAATTGATTTTATCTTTATCATATATTCTGTAACATTAGTGTACATCACTTAGAGACTTAGGGTGTTGGTATATAAATTGTTGAAATAAAATAAAACAAGTACGGTAACTCCAAACCATGGAATTAAGAGCTGCTTGTCTGTTCAGCATCCCCATCTCTGGCTACAGTGATCTCAAGAGGAAAAGCAATGACCATTACCTTCTGTTTATCACAAATTATGCTTTGCTATAATATCTGGCCGAATAATAATAAAAAAACCCTGGAAACAACTGCCTTGGCACTTGTGTTTCAGCAGGAGAAATTCTTCTTCTGAGGCTGCTTTTGACATGCAGGTCTGGACTCATTTTGATTTGATTTCTTCAAGCTCTCTAATTCTGTTGGAGTCTTGAAGTTTTATCAGAGTGCTGGTAACATTTATGAAGAGCTAATATAGCACAGTGATTGCAAGCATGAGCTATGACCTGGGAAGTCCCAGCTCAAATTTCAGCTCAACTATGAATTCACTGGGTAGGGGTGAGCATAACAGCAAGCCTTCTGGATCAAACCAAAAGACCCATAAACTGCAGTATCATGTTTTCCACAGCGGCCAAGCAGATGCTCCATGAAATACACAAGAAATGCATGAAACAACAGCCACTCCCCCATTCTTGTTTCTCAGCATCTGGTATTCAGTGGCAAAATACCTTTGAATATGGAAATCCTAAGCATAACACTCAACGCCAGATTGTATTTTAGAGCTCTATATCTGTGCCCTTAGGGTATTCGCTTGGTTCTTTACACAAATTGCCAACATGGGGAGCCTGTTTCCATTCTAGGGTCCCAATCCAGATGACCCCTTAAACTGGAAATCGGTGATTAAAACCTTGTACTTAGGGACACAGATACAAAGCAAGCACAGGGTGGTTTGCAGTAAGTTTTACTTAGAGTAGACCCATTAAAATTAATGGGAGTCACCTAACATGCCTCGCCAGAAGCTTGATGCAAGGACTGCCCTCATCTCCTCCCCCTGCACCCACCCCCCAAATTGGTACTGAAACAGCACACATGCGAGGAGAGAGATTGTTCCACAGGCAGAATTGTCATAGGGCAATGTTGACTTCCATCCAATGAACATTAATAAGTTAGGTGCATTAATTTCAGTGTGTCTACTCTGAATAAAACTTATTTGAATACCATCCATATTGTCTAGTTTGGCCAGTTCTCCCCATCCATATAGTTTGTGCTATACTAATGTCAGTAGTATATACACCTTACAGGATTGTAGTAAGCAGGGTGGGGGGTTTGCTTGTTTTAAAAAGGCTTTAATATTTCAATTATTTTCAATGGGTGGGATTCAACTAATGAGTCCCATCAGCAGAAATCATCCACCCTCCTCACTCCCTGAAATTGGCTCAAGTGGGATCTTGAGAACTCATGGAACAGCACACGGGGGTGGGGGTGGGGACTGGTCTGTCTGGCAAGCCAAAATGTTTGTCCTGACAGTATGAGTACCTTAGAACAACACTGTATTCCTCCAGTATTTTCTTTTTTAAAAAAGCAGTTTAAAAGGGAATTAGTATTTAAAACACATATATATCAAAGAATAAACATAAAAGTGAATCATGAATCATAGCTATCTATTAAACACCATGTTAACAGTGAGAGAACCATGTGGGGATCTGACTTATAAGATTATAAATGGCACTATAATTAATGTATTATATTTATAACTGTAGGCTTCTTATAGGACTGAGAGACTAGAAAATCACCAGTGTCCAGGATCCAAGAGATACTATCCTGTATCTTACTAAAACCACTGTTTGGAGAGGATAATGGGCTAGATGAGGACCAATGAAGTGAAGCTGGATGCAAATAAGGCAGAGGTTCTGTTGGTGAGGAGCTGCCAAGTTCCTCTGATTGGTAGACTGCCTGTTCTGGATGAGAATGCACTCCCCTTGAAAGATCTGCATAATCTGGGAGTATTTCTGGATCCATCTTTGTCACTGGGCGCTCATGGGGCCAGATGGACCTCCAGCAACAATGATTCCTAGACCAGGAAAGTCTTGCCACAGGGATCCATGCCCTGGTAAACTCATGCCTTTTAGTGTCATATATTACACCTATAATCTGTGATCTGCATGCCACCTATTCATTTTTGAGTCACATATAAGGTGTTGTGATTTACTTTTAAAACCCTAAATGGCTTGGAGGACAAATACTTGTCAGAAGAGTTTTGTCTTGGCGTTTGCCAGTCTTGGCATTTTGTCTTGGCATTTGCCAGCCTTGCTATCTGAGGGTGATCTTAGGTTCTGCCAATGGGTAAAGGGCGGGTGCTAAGGGTGGGTGATTTCTCTGTGGAATTCCCTGCCTTCGCAAGGCTCTTTTGCTTTCTATGACCCTCCAAGGTTTGAGCAACTCAGTTACTGGCAAACATACTTTCTAACCACCTCACCCCTCTATGACATTAGGAAAGCTTCAACAGAGGCTTCATCATCAACACTGCAAACAAACCTTTGGGTATAGTCTAAATTACTAATACACAGTACAGATTCTTAGTTTTAAGTACTTGTTCATGGAAAGGCAAATGTAAGATCTGTCACTCAAAACACATTAATACTCAAGCACTGGGCCTTGATTTGAGCCAATCAGAACCTAATTACAAGTATAAAATGCTATTTACCACAAACTTATATTAAGAATAGTACAGTGGTACCTCAGGTTAAGTACTTAATTTGTTCCGGAGGTCCATTCTTAACCTGAAACTGTTCTTAACCTGAAGCACCACTTTAGCTAATGGGGCCTCCTGCTGCCGCCGGAGCACGATTTCTGTTCTCATCCTGAAGCAAAGTTCTTAACCTGAAGCACTATTTTTGGGTTGGCGGAGTCTGTAACCTGAAGCGTATGTAATCTGAAGCGTATGTAACCCGAGGTACCACTGTAATAGTTGTGATAGTCATGAAGGTATAATTTTAAAAAGGGATACAGATATCAGCCTTTTTAGTGTGGAGCTGCTCTCTACCATTTTCTCTAGACAAAAATGGGAATATGTAAAGTCACACAGGCATTTAAATAAAAGAAGTACAGCAGAGACAATGAGATATGGTTAATATATAAAGTGGAAAGGAAAGGGAGGAAAGAAAATGACAACATTGTTTGTGCACATTGTAGGAAATTAGGGAGCTGCAGATCTCAAAACAGAACAAGACCTTCAAATTTATGCTAATTACACTATCTTTACAGACATTCTTTCCACCCCTCAAAAAACCGGAGACTTTATGAACTATGAGACCTTTTAAAGTTCCATAAAGATGAAGTATTCTAAAGTGAGACTACTAGTAAGAAAGTGAAGCAGCTGCTATCAGCACCCATGGTACAAATTATTCAAGCACTGTTGAATTTTGTTGCTGGATTACACACACCAGTCTGGCCAGAGTGTCCAAAACAACAACCAAGTTATTTAACAGATGTATATAAATAATCTTATGTTAAATATAATTAATTGCCCTAGAATACCCTTTTCAAGTGCAGAGTAGAGATACACCAGATCGGCACAATCCTAGTCATAGTTTAGGAACTTGAGTGCATTGCTTCAAATAAATATTTTATTAAGAATATCTTTTGCACTTAATGAACGTGAAAACAACTGAATCCAAGGGATTCCATTTTAGATAACACATTGTCTGGTTACTCTGAAGTTCTGTTCTGTTTTTATCAGCATATTGTACTTGCTTTTGTTATACACAATATTGTTGGAAGCACTTGCTTAAAATTTGTTTAAAAGCGAACAAGTAGCTCAAACAGCAACTTATTTACAATGCAATGACTGCATGCAAGTATCATATTCTGAACAGTTACAGCTCATTTTTAATGTATTTAACAATTTCCTGATCAGATGCTGAAGCAACATCATGCCTGATCCTGGAGACTAACTAGATTAAGTGAATCATAAATGCACCAGAACACAATTTTGAGCAGAAACACTCCTCTTCCCTTCCCCCATTTCTAGCATCAGGCTCCAAGCAATGAGTGGATGAGATCACAAAAGAAGGCTCATCTGTAGAGCTGTCATATGGTTTTCAGTCCAGTCAGCTTCCTCTTTCACAAAATACTGGATATTTGAAAACCAGGCTAAGATTTTTATTGCCTTTGTAACCAATCCATTTCACTTCCAAGAAAGCTGCTATGACTACACATATCTCACTCGTGCACAAAATGAATGACTTGCAATGATGCCTTCCACAAAAGGCCGTTACTTTCCTGGTCTGTGTAGTTTTCGAGAAGCCATATGCATTTCCCTAGGGATCCTTTTCATACACAGAAGACCACAACGGAAACGAATTCACAAAACAATTATCAGAAGGAACATCAGCAGAAGGGAGTGGGGGGAGAAAATGTGCATAGAAATGTAAATCCATGCCTCGTTTTAGATAAAGGCTGCTTACAGTCAGTGCTGCATGCCAGGCTGAAAAACAGAAGCTTCAAATTATTATTATTATTATTATTATTATTATTACTACTACTACTGCACACACACGCCTTTTCTATTTATCGGCCAGGTGGTTTTTGTCGTTGTTGTCGTTTCCTAAACGAGGGCCCGTAAAACGAATCAGACAGATGAGAATCCACAGTGGAAAGGGAGGGGAGAGAGAGAGAAAGAAGGAAACCGATCCCAGAAGAAAAGGCACAAAGCAAAGAAGCTGCACTCACGCCCCTTCTAGACATTTTTTCCACGCAGAAGCGTATGCGAGCTGACGAGAAGAGAACGGGCTCTAAGCCTCCACCCCACTGGAGAGAGCGCCCGGGGGGAAGGTTTGTTATCTTGGAGGAGGAAGGGGAGGAAAGAGGAAACGGTGGTTTTAGCAGCTCCATCTGTATCCAATCTGGGCCATTGCAACCCCCACCCCTCGCCTCCGTGCAGCAGCCGCAGCCTCCTATGTGGAGTCCCAGAGGGACAATGCTCAGCGGGCAGGAATAGCAGAAAGCCCCCGACGGGAAACGTAGCATTGGAAGAAGCGCCAGTGTCACTGAGGGGCATGCGAGGCACCCGCCTCCCCTGGAGGAGGAGGGCGAGGGCAGCAGGCGGAGCGGGAGGCATACAACGCGCCGCATTTAGGGCTCCATCCCCGGCCAGGGGAAGGGAAGGCGCCGCGGCGCTCGGGCGGAGGGGTCCCCCCGCCCGCAGCATCACTCACCCCGCTTGGGAAAGGCAAAAGCGCTGGCTCACAGGCCCACCATCTTCTCCACAGAGAGGAGGACGCGGAGGGAGGAGGAGGGGAAGGGCGCTCGCGGACTCCCCGCCTCTCAGTGCCGCTCTGGCTGTGTAAGCAACCGCTCGAACGTTATTCCCAGCATATAGCGGCTAACGGCGCGGAACAGGGGGAAGCTATTGCGCAGGCGCCGCCTCAGCTCGCCAGCGCGGGGAGAGAGCGAGGGAGAGGAGGGGGGAGGGGAAGTGAAAAGAATGGATTTGCATCGCCCCAGAACGGAACCACTGCGCATGCGCGATTCCGAGGGAGCAGGCTCGCACTGCGCAGGCGTCCTGTTCCAGACAATGGGGAGCAGAGGTGATAATAATAATAATTAATAATAATAGTCTCCTCTCCATTGAGAAATAGAAATGTAGAGTTTGGAAGACGAGACACATTATATTTTGTCCTATGCGATCGCTGCACACGCCTTGCTTCTGCGGTGGGCGTGAGCGAAGAGTAAAAAACGCGCCCGAGCGCGCGGTTGGGTTGCGGGGGGATGTATTGTGCGCGCGACCTCAAACGAGGATGAACGCACCTATTGTGGTACCGCTGGCAGCCGCAGGCGTATTGTTCTACGTTGTTGTGGTACGAAACAACTACAACTCCCAGAAGCAACTGCGGCGAAGCCTTGTGGGCGTAACGCCATAGTAATGGCGCGTTGCATGCCGGACAGGGGGGCCTGGAACGCTTTCTGCCTCTTTAGCGCCGCGTGAGGCGGCGGGGCTTCCCGTCTGCTTCAGGGGGAGATGTCGTTGCCGCCTGTCGCCAGCTTCGTGGCCGGCCTGGGCAGGGCCTGCTCGCCCTCCTCCTCCGTCACCAAGCGGGTCCTAGAAAAAGACCGTTGCTTGGTTGTCTAGCAACGAGCTTCCTCGTGAGAGGCGTCGGAAGCGCGCCGCTCCCCACCCTGGGAGTTGTAGTCCCTCCGCGGTCAGCTTTCCCATACTGTTGAGCGGTAGTAGGAGCAAGGCTGGACTACAGCGACCGAGAGCCACCGGGGAAAGCCTAGAAAAAGGTTTACCTCACACGCCTCCTAATGCAGGAGTCTGTCGGGGCCACGGAAAGAGCGGCGGCTTGTAGCCCGAGACCCGCCTGGGGAAGCTCGCCGAGTTACTCTGCCTCCATGAGGGAGGCCGGAGGGGAGTCGGGCTTGGCGGAGTCTCTGGAGCGGTGTCAGCAAAGCCTGCACGGTGAGAGAGCGAGAGGCGGGAAGGCAGGTTGGGCTCGCGGGTCCTCCTTTCAGACCCCCCCATGAACTCCTGTCGCCCCTCTCAGTGCTGCTCAGCACCCACAGATGCGCCTTGCAGCGCTTCGGGGATGCGTCTCTAGAAATGTGCGCCAAGCCCGTGGTGGCCCTCTGTGGGGCAGATTTCTGCAGGCGTGGTGGGGTGTGCCGCTTTCCACTTCACGCAGAACTGTGTGCATTAGGCTGAAAAGTAGCGGATTCTCCAAAACTGCAACTGCCAGCTGCCGGGTATTTGGTCTGCCTTGGGTTCACTGGTGCATTTTGTTTTTTGTTTTGTTTTTAATCGCGGTGACACCTCTTCCCACTCTGTATACCCCATATCCTGACCCCTCTGCCCTTATGTGAGACTCTCCCATGTCCTAAAGGCTCCTTAAAGGCTCTTCAGGGTCTCCCTTCTGATAAATGCCTTTTTATTGAGGAAGATGATTGAGCTGGTGGTTGCTGTGCAAGTTGCATCAACTCTTCAATGAAACTGATTTTCTTAATCCTTTTTTGGCCTGGCTTTGACACAGAAAGTTCAGTAGAAGTTGTGTGACCTGCTGATTCTCCTGAACCTCTGTGCTGCTTTTGATACCACTGACAATGGTGGCCTATATAGGCTGACCAGATTGGGAATTGGGAGGCAGCAAGTGGTGGTGGTTCCCTTCAGAAGTTTTGCTCCTGCTTGGATGATTTCAGTAGATGGGCTGCAAGTGGGAGGCAACTGCTTGACTTCATTATAGTAAAGTTGTCACCCCTCCCTGCCCCACACACTATTTAACATCTAAATTCAACCACTGAATGTGGTCATCTGTACCATCTGTACAGTATGACATCATCTCTGTTTGTTCTCTTTATCACACCCAAGTGATGCACGGGAAGTATTGAATGTTTGGAACCAAAAGTCAACCAGGAAGGTGGTGTTCAAGCTGTTTGGATAGTGTTGCACTTCCTCTAAAAGAGTGGTCCCAAACTGTTTCCCCCACGGACCACTTGAAAAATATCTGAAGGTTTTTCGCTGCATGTTATAGCAGTTGTAATGTCCTATGTTAGATACAGTAGGATTTTAAACCGTATTGTTATATGCTACTCCAATTTATGAGCAGTATGAGATTCCAGGGTCCGTGTCTTTATGATATATGGTTTATTTACACACATACACAACCTGAGCCTATGAAGCAGGGGTTCAGAGCACCCTAAAAGGGCTTTGCTTCTGTCATAGCTGTGGCTTTAGATTCAAACAGAAATCAAGAATTGCGTTTGGGAACCCTTGCTGTAAAAGAGCAGGTTTACTACTTAGGGTACCAGTAGATCCACTGTTTTAACTGGAGATGCCAATGGCATCTGTGGTACACCAACTTTGCTTGGTGCATCAGTTGTGATCCTTTCTTGTAACCTCTTCACTGAACTATCACAATGCAATTATGCAAGGCTAACTGGAACTGACTTTGAGGAACATACTGTGCTGATGCTTAAATAGCTGTGCTGGTAACTGGTCCCATTATTTAAAAGTTCATACTATTACCCATAAACTCTTAAATGGCTTGAAGGGCTGCCTTTTTTGACATGAGCTTGCCTTAATATTTTGTTCATTAGCAAAAACCTCCTGCCATCTAAAGTTAGGTGGATGATGACTGGCGGGGAGGATATGTTTTGTTGTGGTGATTTCTATTTGCAATGCTGTCCCTAGGGAAGCTCACCTAATACCATCTTTGATGTCTGTGATGATTTTTTAAAAAATCTGCCCAGGCCTTTTAGTATGTTGTAAAGTAAGTGTCAGTACTATCTTTATAGCACCATTGAATTTTATTGCTGTTTCTGTGCTTTCAATGTTTTTATGTGGAATTTTTGTTGTATTTATTGTTCTTAAATTGAATATCCCAACTGGAGTCTTGCACTGATAGGTAGTCTATGAATTAAGTTTTTAAAAGTGTTCAATGTTCACCCTTTGAGCACTTTCACCAGATCTGCTATGCTTCTGGGGTGACCGTTTTTCAAAACATTTGGAAATGGCAGTTCATTCATTTTGTTTTTAGGCAAAAGTTCATCTAATTAAGCTACAGGAACATGAGGTTGTAAAAAAGTGATAACGCTAACTTAGAACGAGGTACTTGGCAAGGCCGCCTGCTATGTCCAATGCTGTTTGCACTCTTTCTGGAATCCAAAGCTAATCTCATATGAAATAATAATCACATATCTTAGTATCAAGTATGGCAATGAAGAGTTCAAAATTGCACTTTATGCTGATGACAGCAGTGATGGAATTTTCATTCACTGCCTTTGTGAGTGTTTTTAGCACCCTCAGTGAATCCAATTATAAGTAACCCCAACCGAAAAAAGCAAACATTTTCTTATACAAGCAGAAAACAAAGGCCATGCAGAATAGACACTCAGAAGTACCTAAGACATACCACCAACAAGAAAATAAGTTTCTTTTTTTTGCAAGTGCAAAACTGTTGGAGGCTGCTCCTCAGGTCTGGCACTGCGATTATTGATTTCCTGTTCCAATTCCCACTTGTTCCTGCAACACTGCTAATGACTTCCACAGTAGAGGAACTACTGGGGCTTGCAGATGAGATGGATGCAAGTCAGACAGGTGGGCAGTAGATTGGCTATAGTATGCCAGTTTGGTATTATATAGGTTGGGTATCTAGCAAGCCAGAGTTAGGGGGGCTAGCTGTCAGTTGAACTGTGTGATGTTGATGCAGATTTTATGAAGCAGCCAGCCACCCATATTCCTGAGTCCTTTGGAATATTGAGCTGCTGATTTTAAACTAGAGTGGCTCCCTAAGCATAATTTGGCTGTTGTTGCAGAGCCACGTAAGATGCATATATGACACTTTACACACATACCCAAAAAAAGGGGGGGGGGAGAATACCTTTTAAAAAATAGCAAAGATTCATAGTTGCCACTGGTGCATTAGCAAACATCTTTGTGGACACCTACCTGTGCTGTAATCCTATATCTCCTTAGCAGAACTCAGTTGGAATTATTTCTGAGTAGACATTCTTAAAATTTGCATTGCATAAAATTCTGAAGTACTTTGAATTTTAATCCTCTGCACTAACCAAACTCAGTTGAACTCAGTCTTCCTTCAGCATATAGGCACAAAACTAGTTTTTATCATTAGAATATTTCTTCCCAACTCTATAGGGTTGCCATATTTCAAAAAGTACAAACCAGGACGTTGTTGAGCTTTTTCTAGGAAGACTCCCAAGGTGGGATTTCTCTGTTTACTTGCCGAAGATCCAGGACATACCATGTTTAGAGTAAGAGAAGGAAGGCAAGTTTACAACTGTTAAGTGGGGGAAATGAAGTATATTTATAATATACTTGTGTAATAAAATACAAAAAAAGTAAACCCACTTATTTTCCTAATCATATTATAAGCTATTTAAGCAATATATACATCCTGTATAGTTGTATATTACTATTGGAAATAAGCTTTTTTTATTCTAATATTTTTCTCTTCCTTAGTTGTTTGTGTTGGTTTCTTCTGTGGTTGTTGTATTTAAGTATTAACTTTGCTAATTTCCTTAGGGTTCTAATGGTCAGCCTCATTACATATGTTAGAACATCAAAGAATGTCTATATAATTATGATTATAATGCTGCTGTTCACAGACCGCGCTACTAAAAGCTACGCTCAATTGAAGTATGCCTTCGGTGAAAAAGATCTGGCAATGGGAGAAGGTGCTCAGTTATTTTCTAATACAGATCCTAATGAGAGTGAGAATAAAGCTTGGCAGGAGCTACAGCACAACCATGCAGGTTTGAAACTTACATTTTTGGGTTTTGTTTCCATTTACAATGGCACGATTTATAATTTACCTTGCCGATTTTTTGCAGTTAATCAACTTAAAGCTTTATTACGACAACAAGAAGAAAAAGAGACTGAAACATCCCCATCGAGGAGGAGGAGAATGTCACCCACAGTAAGCATTATCCTCTTTTTTCTTTTTAAGGAAACAAATAATTACATGCCTGATGGCAAAGTATCTATAGAAGTAGCATTTATGCTGTCACACTTGGTGAATCACATAGACGTTCCACAAGGCATTAATGGGCTAGTTAAATGTGTTTATTAAAGATGTAAAGTTTTATATTCATTGCTGTCTAGCTTTACTTCAGCCCCATAAATCTGGCCAAATGTATGCAACATGCGCAGAGCCCAGCAGCAGGAAATATATGGAAAGCAAGTGATCTGTATTTACTGTTATTATAATATGTGAATAGAACACCAACTAAAGTCTGATGGTGTTCAAGGCAGAGGTGATGGAGTTCTGAGCTGCTCATGAGAGCCTTTTCATGCAGTTAAAGATCTGAGAGCCCATTCTAGTGTGTGTGTAATTATTTATATTATATTATATATTATATTATTTGCTCAGGGGGTAGAGGCTGTTTGTAAAATGTCGTTTGCAGGTTGTTTAGAAGAATACTTAGACCTAATTTTTGCTCCATTGGAGCAATACTCAGCCTATCAACAGCAAGTAGACCATGTTGTCCCAGAGCCAGAGGTCTCTCAACAAGGATTGCTTCCATCTTGTCTGGATTCACTTGCAACATATTAACCTTTATCTATCACCTGAGAGAAGGAAGCCTGCTTGTATAAAAGTATTAATATCTGAGGAACAAAGGGCCAGGTAAAATGAAACTAAAGTCAACAAATGAACACTAGTGCTGGCATACTCTCTATTTTAAGAGCTTATCCTAAGAGTAAAGTATTTATGATCTTCTAAGCACTCTTAATGAGCACAGAAGAAAATCTGGCTTTGATTCAATAATCTTACTAGATATCAATTGCAGATAACACTTAATGTAAGTTATTTAATTTTAAAGCATTTGTTCAACATAAACATTGCTGGAGAGGGGCTTGCTTATAAATACTTACTGTGCCTAACTGATTTATTTCCTGCAGAGAACATCTAATGCTACAGATCAAAATTTGCCTGCCCTTTGTGATCTCATTTCTATCATTAATGACCAGTCACAATACATTAACCACTTAGAAGCTGAAGTAAAGTTTTGTAAGGTATTGTACATTGTTCTTAACCTACTTATTACTTGTTCTGTCATGTGGATTACATTGTGTACATTCAGAATTGAAACAAAACACAAGATAGATTATGCCATCTATTTCCTGTTGGTTAGAAGCAGACCTCAACCAAAAGATACAATTTATCTTCAGTCAAACATATCTTAAATAGGAACTAAACACATAGAAAAAAGGACTGTGAGCATTATGTGACAGGATGCTGGTACATTTCTGTTCTTCAGCCTCTTTAGTTGCATCCTTATCATGCTAATTGCATATCCAATTGCACACTTGCCCCACAGCACACATGTACTTGCAACCACATATTCCTCAGTTGCACACATGCCATATACATGCCTGTCACTATGTTCACATTTAACACTTGCAGACTCGCTGGCCTTCTCCAGATGACCCATGAGCATTTATCCTGATTTGCTTGCACAAATCTTATGTGGAGGTTAGACTACATCAAGCCTGTTTGTTTGTTTGTTTGCAGGGCAGTTATACAGCAAGGAGCATTCATCCTGATTTGCTGGTGGGAAAATCATATGTTGAGCCCAAACTTTTCAGTGCATTCCCTGACACTTTCCAAGCCAAAAAAGTCTGTTTCTTTTTTTAAAGTGGATCTGTTACGTTTAGGCAACAGAGTGCTTTAATCCACATTAATTATTCTGGCCTAGTATGAGGTTGAATCCCTGATGCAAAATACTGACAGTCTGGAGGTGGCCAGTGAGTCACTGAAGTAGACATGTTTTCTTTGCAGGTTGCACTTATTACTTCTTGACCTTTTCGACTAAGATGAAGTTAGTGTAATTTGCGCTTGTGAGTCTTTGCCTCTTATTCTCTGCTCAGCCCTAAATAAGACATGCTTCTTCAGGTTATATTCATGACTTCTAAGGGTTTACTGATTTTGAGCTCTGGATACAGAAGGTTCTGTAAAGCTACCTAAGCGCTGCCAGAGTAACTTCAGATAATAGAAATATGCATTTTACAGTTTTAAGGAATGCAAAGTATCTATGCCTGGGCTGTTCTTGTTTTCAACATACTTTTTTTTATTGTGCTGCAGTCTGGTAGTTGAGAATAATCCATTATATTCCAGGTAATGCTCTTCTGGTGTAGAAACCTTCCATCCATGTTGGAATTAGCCTCATAAGTGACTGAAATGTCTGACATTTGATAAACAATGCTCTCCCCAAGCAAAAACATGTTTCTTCACTATGTATTTAATCAGATTTTATGCAAAAGTGGACATTAATCTTTTATGCTACAGTCAAGGGGACCTGAACAGATTTGAGAAGAGCATTTCATTGCCACGTTTAAAACAATTTCATTACCATCCTTTTTACAGTATACATATTTGACTTTATAGGAGGATTTATCTGCACTGAAGTCTCAAATATGTACAGTTGTGCTTGAAAATGAGAAACTCCATGATAAACTGGAAGTAACAGCAGAGCACACTTTGAGAGAACAAACCCTTCTGGATGCCTCAGTAAGTTTTCTGGAATTTATATATGTCAGTTTATATTGATTATATACAGCTGTACTTCAATAACTAATCTTTAAAATATATGGAACTTGAAAATACAAAAAAAAAGTATAATGTGCAATAGCCACACAGCTTATTTTACTACAGTCATACCTCGTGTTGCGTTCCGCTCTTGTTACGGACTTTCAGCTTACGAACGCGACAAACCCGGAAGTGTTTACTGTGCAGTTTAGTGTGCAGAAGAGGCACTGTAGTTGCGGACTTTTCAGGGTGCGAACGGCACCCCGAAACGGATTAAGTCTGCAACTAGAGGTACCACTGTATTTGTATTTGTCATGATCTGGTATGCACAGTGTTTTTATTCTTTTTACATAGAAGTGGTATGCACTGAAAATAAAAGTGACTTTTGCTAGCCATAGGTGAGTGCTAAATTAAACCCACCCACCCCAATCACCCTTTGTTCTTTCTAGCTATACTTTTTCCGACTTAGAAGCAGAAGCACATAATTTTCCTTCCGATCATTGCACAAGCTGGACGTAATTTCAATTGTTTGGCTTTTCTGCCCCATCTCCCCAATACAGTCCTGAACAATTTCTTCTGGAAATCATGCAACCTTTAAGAAAAGACATGGGATATGTTGCCAGGGTGGGTTGCAGTAGAAGAGGGCAGCTTGTGGAAGTGTACTACTTGCATAATATTTAGATGCAACACAATGCTATTAACATGCTCTTTGTGTAACTTCATAGGATATCCCATTTTCATATATTGTGTAATGTTTTTGTTCGATGTATGTATAGATATGAAATGGGCACAGACACTGAAAAGCTATTGTTCCTGTTTCAGGGAAATACACAAAATGCCGGTGGTGATGATTCTCATGTTTGTGAAACTGCCAAATCGTCTCATATCAACGAGCAGGCTACAGCAGCTACATTTCTGGTCGATAAATGGCAGCTAGAACTGGTCAGTGCCTATTAGAAACCCACTGAACTATTCATATGGCATTATTTTATTTACTCTTCTGGAATAGGAAATTACTTAAATGTCATCACAGAGAATTATGGATAAAACAAATACTTTTAAAGTGACCAACATAATACAGTTGGATCCACAGCTTGCAGAAGGGAGCTGGCAGAAGCTGATATTTCTGTCTCCTCCTTCCCCAAGCATCTCTCCAAAGCCTGAGGTTTGAAGACCCTGCTCACTTGGGTAGACGGTGGCTTGGAGGCTGAGGAGGAAAGTCAGAATGTCGGAATTCCAAAAATCTGTTGGAAGCTTGCAAACAGTGCCCAAGAGAACAGAGGGAGGGAAAGTTAGCTTCTGACAGTCACTTTCTTTGGACCTTTCTCTCAAACTAATCAATAACATGGAATGTAGCTTTTGAGTTGGAGAGAACTCTTCCTCTGTATACAACTGGAGAGTTTCCTTTCTGGATCTGTTCAATGTCCTTCAAATTCAGCATTCTGGTCTCTGGCAGGGGCTGATCAGATGTGCCTGGAAACCTCACAGACATGATGCTTGTCCTCCATACTGAGTAACCAAGATACAGGGAGGAATTCAACATTGTGCATCTTCTGATCAGTCCATCAGTGCAAGCATTTTAAGTTAATTGATTTAATGAAAAGAAACTATTTGCCAACTGTTGCTTGATAGAATGTTTTAGCAAAGTAATAATAATAATAATAATTTTTATTTATACCCCGCCCTCCCCAGCCAGGAGCGGGCTCAGGGCAGCTAACAACCAATAATAAAAACAAGTTGATTGAAATACAACTTAAAAAACAAAATTAAAATACAAGTAGTAGTATCTTTAATAAAATCAAAGATGTTAACACATGAAATTTATTTCCACATTAGTTCAGGCATGTTACACGGCCCCTTCTGACAGTGTCTCGCCACACCCTGCAGTCTCCCCCCTTCTTTCTATTTTTTTGTAGTGCCCAAGGCTACAAAACAATTGCATTGTTACTATTTTTGTCATATTTTTATTACGCTTGTTTTAAGATGATAATAATAATAATAATAATATTTATTTATATCCCACCCTCCCCAGCCGAAGCCGGGCTCAGGGCAGCTAACAACAATCAAATAATCCAACATTCTAAAAACATTTCATTATAAAAATTAATTAAAATCAAATTGATGGCAACCATTAAGCAAAATTCTGTGCAGATTGCCAGAGGAGGGAGTCAGGCTGCGCCCTGACCAAAGGCCTGGTGGAACAGCTCTGTCTTGCAGGCCCTGCGGAAAGATGTCAGGTCCCGCAGGGCCCTAGTCTCTTGTGACAGAGCGTTCCACCAGATTGGAGCCGCAGCCGAGAAAGCCCTGGCTCTAGTTGAGGCCAGCCTAACCTCTCTGAGGCCTGGGACCTTCAGGATGTTTTTATTTGCAGACCGTAAATTCCTCTGTGGGACATACCAGGAGAGGCGGTCCCATAAGTACGAGGGTCCTAGGCCGTATAGGGCTTTAAAGGTTAAAACCAGCACCTTAAACCTGATCCTGTACTCCACCAGGAGCCAGCGCAGCTGGTATAGTACCGGATGAATGTGATCTCGCAGCGAAGACCCTATAAGGAGTCTCACCGCAGCATTCTGCACCTGCTGGAGTTTCTGGGTCAGTCTCAAGGGCAGCCCCACGTAGAGCGTTACAATAATCCAGTCTGGAGGTGACCGTTGCGTGGATCACTTGTTACTTACAACAAAGATCTGTTGTTACTGTAGCTTCCTCCAGTATTCCTTATTTATTACTATCACGGGTCTCCTCGGTTACTTTGGTTTTAATATGCCTTTTAGCAAATGGTTCATTTAGAGCCTATTTTTCTGTTTGTGTGATTGGTATGCCAGCTCCAACACATTCCATTATGACCCTCATGAATATTCATTGCTATACTGCAATTTGCTGCCCACACCCATTTATAGGGCTGCATAGAATGTATGTGTTCTGTGTTGTTTTCTCCTTCCCATAGTCATTCCTCCCTACCATCTTTACCTTTTTCTATTGTGGGCATGCATGCATGCAGGAAATACTTGTGTGTGCACTTGACAGGAAGGGAGGTCATGCCAGGTAGAATGGACAGATCCATTTCTGTAGTGACCCCATGGCTATTACTGTGTAAGCTCCTTACTATGATGCAATACAAACAAACTCCTCCTTGCTAGTTTTGGTAGGTGGGCTCTAAAAATGTTTTTGCTATAGGGTCTAATAGGTTGTAGCCTCTGTTTTTAATCCTGTAGTGTTATGACTGCCTGTGATATATTGATTTGAAATGTTTTTACTAATATTCTGTTATTGTCCTTGTGTTGTTTATATATGTTATATGGTCTTAAATGCTGTAGGTCATAGTAGGAAAATACTATATTTTGAATGGCTGTTAATGTATACAAAATTCATTAGAATTTTATTAAATTTAAAAAATAGGTCTTTATTATTATGATCAGATTTCTTGACATGTCTCTTACTTGTAGTTAAATAAGCCACTGTATTTATTTTGTTTTAAAGGAAAATCTAAAATGTCTCTATCAAGAACAGACAGAAGCACTTGAAGCTCAGGTTCTTTCCCTAAGGTAAAAAAAAATCTTTTCACTTCAGATTGGTATCTGCCACCTGAATGAATTTTGTTTTGTTTTGCCTCATTATAACTATCCAAAGTTTAGCATAATAAAACTTTTTTTTTTCCATCTCTGCCGTGCTAAGCAGCTGGTCCCTTACCTTTCTCACCCTGATCTTGCCACAGTGATCCATGCGACAGTCACTTCCAGGCTTGATTGTTGTAATTTGCTCAACGTGGGGCTGCCCTTGAAACTGACCCAGAAACTCCAGCGGGCGCAGAATGCCACGGTGAGGCTCCTTATGGGGCTCTTGCCACGGGATGATATCCATCCAGTGCTATACCAGCTGCACTGTCTCCCAGTGGAGTACAGGGTCAGGTTTAAGGTGCTGGTTTTAACCTTTAAAGCCCTATGCAGCCTAGGACCCTCGTACTTATGGGACCGCCTCTCCTGGTATGCCCCATGGAGGACCTTACGGTCCACAAACAAAAACATCTTGGAGGCCCCGTGCCTCAAGGAGGTTAGACTGGCCTTGACTAGGGCCTTTTTGGCCCTGGCCCCGGCCTGGTGGAACGCTCTGTCACAAGAGACCAGGGCCCTGCAGGATTTGACATCTTTCCACAGGGCCTGCAAGACAGAGCTGTTCCCCCAGGCCTTTGGTCGGGGCCCAGTCTGGACCCCCCCTTTTTTTTTTGTTATAAGACCCAGTATGTAAGTGGCCTCCCTAACCCTTTGCACTGGCTCATGTTAGACCAGCACAAACAGTTGGGCCTGGTGAGCACTCAGGTAAGGGGAACTCTGCTTCTGTCTCTCTGCCATATTGATGGTCTTTTATCCAGCCTTGTTTCTTGCTTATAGTGTTGTATGTCACTTCCTTTCTAGAAAAGAGTTATCAGAGTCTCAAAAAAAGTGTGAAGATCTGAGTGGAAGATTAAAGCATCAGCATTTGCTCAGTGCAGCAAGTAGTTCCATCAGAGTTGGTGGCCTTTGCCTACAATGTGCACAGCACGAAGCTGTTCTTTCCCAGACACATTCAAATGTCCACATGCAAACCATTGAAAGGCTAACAAAGTAAGTAGCGGGATAGTTAAATCCGAAATTAAAACAAATTATTGCAAGGTGATTTTTAACAGTGTTTAAGTCATGATTTGGGTGTCATTTGCTGTGAGGTTCTGCACAAACTCCATTAAGTGCAAAATCCATTTTCTCCAAGGTCACCTTCCTTTCCACCTCTCTCACAACAGTGTGCTTTAGTTGTTTGCTGAAGTCTCGGAGGAGACTTCATGAAGAGAAATTTAAAACTTTGGATAGAATATCGACAAAACACATTTCATGGGTGTTTCTCTTCCTTCTTAGCCCTCTACAAAACCATGTTCCTTGAAGCATAACATAATTGTGCTTTTATTTCTGTGTGGCCAGGTAACTTTTATAGCAAAAGCAGGAGAATTCACTTCAGTACTTTGTTTATGTTGTTTATTGCTTTGCATCTGACTTGAAACCCATTTCCAGGACTTCAAACCCCTGTTGTGCTTATCGGTCATAAAGCTAGTATGAAAAGGATTTTAGAAAGGTTGCTGGTGAGTTACTTCAGATATCTCTGCTCCACTCTGGGAATGCTGAGCCATTCAGGCTGCCAGACTCTCTCCATCATATTTGTGCGTCTAGGTTTTTATGGTCCCTAAGCTTATTTTTCTTACCTATGGTTCTTTTCTCTCCCTTGATGCAACAAGAAGTGTTCATACAACATCTCTAGCGGGTAAGAACTTAATTTACATAAAAAGACCCAGTGTCCATCTGGACACCTAACAAGAAGATGGGAGAGGCATCCTAAATGCAAAGAATCCAAATTGTTAACTTTTTCTGTATACTTTGAGAATCACATTAACATAGGATTGCACCTTGAATGTAATAACTCTATCTATGGTAACCCAAGAGAAAGTTCCATTGAAATAAGTGTGATTTTCCTGTAAATTTAGATAGGATCAGTCTGTCAATTACTGACTAAGGGCTTGCATGAATAACCATTCACCATCTCTGACATGCATATCTAATAGTCTAGGTCAGAATTGTACATTTGAAAATGTGCATGGTAGTATTGCTTTAATCACTGGCAACAAGCATTTTGCCTGCCTTGCATGTGTGGCTTATTCCTGTTCTTCCCTCCCCATTAAACATACGCTATACATCACAGAGAATAGTTGATTCCCTAGTTTACATTCTGTATGCATTCCTTTTATATTACTCTCTTTTAAAGTCCTAAAACAGAAGCAGTGAAGAATCCTAGACTTTCTGGTTCTGTGCTGCAGATTATACAGCCTAGGGAATCTGTTCTAGAGTTGAAAAGATTTTCAGTGCAGTTGCCCATATTCAATACTGTAGCTTAATGTGGGATCCATTCTTTATCATTGCCATAATCACGATTCTATTTTGCTAGATGCATTGAACTTCATGTATTTTTTTTTTCTTGACTGTGTGTGTTTGCTATATTGTGTTCTGGTGGGATGCTACCCAGTTTGCATAAATTGTGATGTACCTGTTACTACTACTCAGCACATCGTGAGAACTCACATCATAATATAAGTTTCAAAACGTTGCTAAAATGAAACACTGATACTAATTTTAAGTGGATTTTATTTCCTTGGTTAATTCATATATTTATTTCCTTTTTGAAAAAAAAAAACAGTGAAAGAGATGAGCTAATGGCAGCACTTTCTTCAGTCAGAGTAAACCTAAGTGAAATGCAGCAAAGGGAATCTAATGCTTATGAACAAGTGAAGCACGCTGTACACATGACAGAAGAAGCCAATTTGGAAAGAACTAAGGTAAAATAGCACTACTTTTGGCATGCCTAAGGATATACTTCTGATTATCACTTGCTTGGACAAATAATAGAGAGACAGTTACCTTCAAGTCTACTGTACCGGAGATGTCTGGCTGGCTGCTTTACAAATCAGAATGCTGGATTAGATGGGTCTTTGGTCTGATGTGATAGGGCTGCTCTTGCAGTTTTGTTGGGATTGTGAGCCTTGTTAGATACTAAAGCAGTGACTGACTCTGCTTTCCGGATGTTTCATTATCCCTAACTAGTGCCTGTGCTGGCTGGGACTGATGGGTATTGGAGCCTAGCAACTTCTGGAGGCCCATGAGTTAGCAACCCTTCGCACTATAGCAAATATTACCGAGAGAGAGATGCTACTAAATAAAAATTACTGTGCTGCTCTGGCATAAATCAAGTGATATTTCCTTTCTTGCCCATCCTTCAGTGAAGTGCCTGTATTCTCCCCCCCCCCCCCCATGCTCTCTATTGCATCTCTCACTCCCCAAATGTTGACTACTACAATACTTCCTTTATGTTTGTTTCCTTTCCTATCCAAATAACATTTTGATATGGAGGGGAAATGGGCATGGTGTATTATAAAAGTTGACTTATTGAACAACTAAGTTTCTTACACCCAACAGAATAGAACCGGTCTCAGAAATATATGTCTTGGTTTTCATTCATCTTGAGAATTAAGAAAGAGTGTGTGTTAAGTTGGTTTTGCCTCCCAATGCCGTATTTCAGATAGTCTCCACTCATATTCCTTACAGGGCAAGTATTACAGTTTTCTTAGAAATGCTACTCCGTTAAGTCCTCTCTGTTCAAATCGGGTTTTATGAACTTTGCTTGCTGTTGGTCAGGTTTCTAAGCTTTCAGAACTCATACAAGCAGTGAATAATTTTTATCATCTATTTTAGGGTGCAGCGTGAATAATATTAAACAGCTTTAAAAACATTTATGGTAGTGAGTTGTCTTGATAATGAGTGCCATCTGCTGTGTAATTAGTGAATTACCTCTAATTGTGAGAGGTTTATAATCAAACATAACTTTCATGAGAGAGAAGATTATATTGTATAAACAGGAAATAATTTTCCCATACTATGATTTCAAATAAATTCTGAAAAGAATACAACTGGCCTCAGTTTCAAGACTTGAGGTTTGATTGTTTAAAATATTTATAAATCATTCAATGTTTTTAAATTCTTTTAAGTGTTCTACATAAAAATAGTAAACAATAACTTTAAAACAAAAATGCAACATCGAACAGTATTATTGTTGGCATCTATCTGTCTCCAGAGACAATGGAGTGCACCTCCGGGGTGAAGTCAAACCACTGGAGAATCGCAGCACCTGCTGTGGCTGCAGAGACCAGTAACCCATAACTGCTGCCTCCCGCATTGTTTTTGCTGCGTTAGCAGCACTGAAATGACCTCTCCAGGGCACAAGCCTGGGCAGTGTGTTTGGAGGTTTTGGACTGCCCAGACAACAAGACCTCTCCCCTCTCAGCCTCGCTGATATGGTCCAAAGGAAAGTAGAGTAATATGTTTGGCACCAGCAGGAGTTGCCAGAAGGATTGAACACTATCCAACTGTCTTAGGGAGTCCACCCTGGATTTGTTTAGGGTTTACTCTTAGTATTTTTGTTCCCCGAAAATGTCCTGCAAGGCGGATGCTAAAACAGTATAAAAGGATATAAAAACAGGAATTCATGCAAATAAAAACAGGATCTGATCTTATTGGTCAGGGAGAGCCTAGGCAAAAAGATATCTTTAGAAGACTTTGAAGCAACCAATAGTTGCTGCTTCATATACGGCTGCAGAAAGAGCGTTGAAGAGTAGAGGAGTCCATTTTCAGGTCAAAGTACTATGACATACTGGAACATGCAGTACCATGAGTAGAAGTTCTGCAAGTGATCTAAGTAATCTTACATGTCTATACAGTGGCAGACGGTCTGTTAGGTAACCTCGTCCTGTTCAGGGGTTTATATGTTTACACCAAGGCATTAAACATGGCCCAATGGCTGATTGAGGACTCTGTGCTTCATCTGTGCAAAGGAGCTCAGAGTTCCTTTATTTTGAACAGTTGTGTACAAGAAGGTATTTTTACTTCTGCACAATAAACTAACTACCAAAATTTCCTGTTGTGCGTTGCTTCTAAAAGGATATAGGAGCTCTATTGTCCTTTGCTTTAGGTTACCCTAAAGAGAAGCAAAAATGGGGATTCCCTAGTGGGCATTAGGAACCCCCTCCCAGTGGGTAATGTGTTATTTTTATTGCCTGATGCAGGAAAAATGTTGTCGCGCCACAGGAAGCTCTGCAAAGACCGCTCCCTTGAAGTTTCAATTCATTTCTCTTGCCTTGCTTATATAGTATTTACCTAGTTCCTGTTCTAGCTTGCTATTTTTCTCTTCTTGCTCATTCTTACTGTTTTTCCTCACGGTTTAAAAGAAGCTAAGAAATACCTGCCTTCCCATTTAATAATTACAGTCATACCTTGGTTCTCAAACAGAATGCATTCGAAAACCAATACGCAGCTTCCGACTGGCTGCAGGAGCAGCGTCCTGCAGCCATTCAGAAGCCACAGAAACCACACTGGATATTTGGCTTCCGAAAATCATTCGAAAACCAAAACACTCGCTTCCAGTTTTCGATCGTTCAGTAGCCGAAACGTACAAGTTCCAAGGTGTTTGGCAACCAAGGTACGACTGTATTTTAGAAATGCTTGTTTTTACGAAAATGCTAGTGTCACAAAAGAAAATAAGATTTGCTTGTCAAGACTGCAACTTCACTAAACTTGCTCTGAGATTGTAACCAGGCTTATGCTCTTAAGAAAGCATTGCGTAAGAGTACAGCAATTACATTTACGCTCAGAAAGTAAGTTTCTGAGGCTGCAATCCTGTAAACATTTACCCAGATGTAAGTCTCATAAAAATCAATGGAACTTATACCTGAGTAGACATGCGAGTCTAGTTTTCATTGCATGCTTTCAGTGAGATGTACAGTAGTACCTCCGGTTATGTAACTCTCTGGTTACATAAACTTCAGGATGCAAAAGCGGCAAACCCAGAAGTATTTGACCGGGTTTCGCCACGCGCACATGCACAGAAGCAGTTCTCAGGTTGCAGAAAATTCGGAATCCGACCGGACCTCCGGAACGGATCCCATCCGCAATCAGAGGTACCACTGTACTTTGAAATTCACAGTGAATATTAGCATACTTGCAGCAAAATCCTGTTAAGCATATAGTCCATTACTGATCTAATTCTGTTTGGCAGTCACAGTGATTGGTTCTCTCTTATGGTCCAAGTGGTTCTTGGGAAAGATTTACAAAAGTTATCTCTATTCTTCAAATATACTATGCATCTCTATATAGCCATATATTAACTTATTTAATAGAACAATGTTTAATCTAGAATTTTTGCTTGTCACTTCTACTTTTTCTGATTTAAATCTTGTTCTAGTTTAAAAAATGAGCTATTAATTTCAGTCTTTAAAATATGACCATTTCCACAGGCTCTAGTCCAATGTGAACAACTTAAAAAGGAGATGGAGAGAAAGAGAGAGCGTCTTGAAAGGGAATTAGCAATACAAATAGATAAGAGGGCTGAAGAGCGAGAAGCAGTTCGTGAAGAAATGAAGAAAGAAAAAGAGAACTTGTCATCGTTGGTATTTTAAACATTTTCTATATAAGCATTTTGGACTGTAAACAGTTATGCATTCTGCTCTGCTGAAAGGCAGCAAAATTTTGGACCTTTTTTGCCTTGTTTCATCCCCCCCCCCATTAAAACTTCATAGCTAGTTTTTAAAGGGTGGGGAATCAATTGTGATCTCCACAATCAGGATCAGCGGAACATAGCTGACTTCTTGTGACAAGCATGTGGTTGTCTGGTGGAAGCGGGGAAGCAGCAGTCACTTTACACTTAATTTTCACACTAGTCCAAAAATATTAATTACCCCTGATGTGGACTATCTCTATATATCATAGTGCACATGTTTCCTCTATATTTCAGCAAATAAAATGTGTGTGAAGCAGCCCGGAAGTAACACATTTTCTGCATTTGCAAGAGTTTATGTATTGTTATTGTAAGCTCTAGGTTTTGGGCTTCTTCTACCTTTTAAATAACAGTGCATTGACCTTCAGCAGTCTATGAAAGCAGTGTATTTACCATTTGAAACATAACAAATTTTAGCTTTGTGCTATCATTTTACTGGTTAATTAAGGGGTTTTTTTTGTTTCAGGTTATGTCTTTATCTCAGAATGTGGCTAGCTTGGAGGGTCAGGTTGACAGGATTACAAGGGAGAAGATCTCTTTAGCCAATCAGCTGGAAGAAGCTCAGAAACAAAATGCTTGTCATGATATTGAGATAAATAAGGTAGAAACGCATTATGAAAACAAAGTAATCAACTGACATTGATATAAATAGAGAGTGGTTTGATGCCTTGTACATTATGCATGCTAATTGGGCACACTTTTATGATTTAACTGTTGCAGCACTCTTTGGATAGGTTTTTTGTTCACAAAATATGCATATGTATATTGATAAATCCTTTGTAGTACAGTCATACCTCGGGTTACAACGACCAGTTCTGTGCCAACCAAGAGCTGCTTGTATAAGGTAGCTTCCTTGTGTCCTATGTATAGCTGTCAACGTTTTCCTTTTTTTAAGGGAAATTCCCTTATTCCAAATAGGATTCCTCACAAGAAAAGGGAAAAGTTGACAGCTATGTTACAGATGGTTCGGGTTGTGCGATTTCAGATTGCGCACTGTGCCGAACCCAGAAGTACCGGAACGGGTTACTTCCGGGTTTCGGCGCATGCGCAGAAGCACTGAATCATGACCCATGTGTGCGCAGACGTGGCGCTGCAGGTTGCGAACGTGCTTCCTGCACGGATCACGTTCACAACCCAAGCGTCCACTGTGCTTTTTATTCTTTTATTAATTAGAGGACAGTCCCTCAGGTTCTGATCTAATTCTAGTGACAGCTTCCCATTTCTACATGTGGGAATGGGAGACTGAATGTTTTATTCTTTATTCTGTAAGCTACTCACAGAATGTGTCAGAATCATAGAACTGTAGAGTTGGAAGTGGCCCCAAGTGCCATCTAGTCCACCCCCCTGCAATGCAGGAATCCATGACAGATGGCCATCTAACCTCTGCTCAAAAACCTCCAAGGAAGGAGAGTCCCCAACCTCCCAAGTGAGACCGTGTTGATAGAGAGCAATCAAATATGGTCAATAAATAAACTTTGTGGAGAATAGCTATTTCTTAATAGACTCCGTATTAATTACACGAATTAATTAATTAATTGCATGTACTATGTGACAGTAGATCATTGCTGTAAATGCAGAAGACGGAAAGAGTCTTGTTTATAAAGTTAAAATGAAGCTTTACGCTTGACCTATCAAGCAGCAGATCATTCTTACAGGACAGGGGGAAGGAGTATGTGTGCTTGTATAATTTTTTAAAACTGGTGTCAGAGATACTGTATTGTGCATGCAGGCATAATTTACACAGACACTTTCCACATGGCAATCATATTAGAAATAATGGGTGATATCCAGCCACGTCATATGGGAATAGACTCACTGAAATCAATAGAACAATTACATTGATTTAAATTGGTCTACTCCAAGTATGATTTAGTTAGCTATCACCCAGTGGTACTAGAAAAAAATATGTTGATGTTTGGATACTTGTACAATGCAGTATTTCCCACAGTTAGGAGCAACTCAAATATAAAGCAAATGTAATTTTGAAAAATTAATTGATTATGGCTATACCAACATGGAAGGGGGGAGGGTTGAGTTGTAACACTTGGGAGGTATTTGTGCCCCACGAAAAGTGCCCTGTTGCAATTATTTCAGAGAAGAGACTTTATGGACATTAATATATTGTAGCTTGTATTGAAGTGAGTGGGGAGGAAATGTGTTCCTATTGCCAATTCTGCAGGGACAGCACTTGTTTTCTTGCTGTGCTGCACAGTAATGAAACTACCGCAGGACAGCAATGAAGAGATGTTATTTCTGTTGCCTCAGTAATGGAATGTGTGTTCCTCCCTTTCCCACTGGCACCCACTAAAAAGGAGGGAATGCAGCTTTGTTGTGTCCAGCAATGCCACCACTTAGTGACAACATCACATCCAACATGTGATCCCCTATTTGCTGGGATCATCTGGATTGATAAAATACAGAAAGAAATTGGCTCAAGGCAGTAGCAAATAGGGGAAACAGTAGCTGCGAGCAGTTGTGAACAGCCATGAAAAAGCATAGGATTAGGAGGCTTTTAACCATGTGGGCTGGTGAGTTTGCACCACTTTTACTTTGAAAATAAAAGTCTGACTTAGCCCTAAAATAAACTACTAAACAATAGATTTTGAAGATAACCAGCAGAGGGCATCAAAAGCTCTCCTTGTAAATAAATATTGCTCTGTATCCTGAAACTACACACTGTTATCTATTCAATCTAACAGGTGTGTGGAGAAGTACGCTATCAGTTGAATCATGCCAAAATGAAGAAGGATGAGGCAGAAAAGGAACACAGAGAATATAGAATAAAAACTGTAAGGGAACTTGAAATTAAAAACCAGGTAAGAGACCATGATCAAGCTGTTGTTAGAAACTTGAATGTGTTTATTCTTCCAGTAGTGATAACTAGTTGTTATAGGTTCTAAATGGCAAGAAACCAGCTATTCCTAATAAAGAAATTGTATTTTTTTCCAGAGAGTTTTTATCCTAAAAAAGTTGTAGGTATAAATAGCAATGCAGTACTTAAAATATTCCATCGTATGCCATGTGTAAACCAACATGCTCTGTGTATATATTACAGTGGTGCCTCGCAAGACAAAATTAATCCGTTCCGCGAGTCTCTTCGTCTTGCGGATTTTTCGTCTTGCGAAGCACGGCTATTAGCGGCTTAGCAGCTTAACGGCTTAGCGGCTATTAACAGCTTAGCGGCTTTAAGAAAAAGGAAACAAACTCGCAAGAACTCGCAAGACGTTTCGTCTTGCGAAGCAAGCCCATAGGGAAATTCGTCTTGTGGAACGACTCAAAAAACGGAAAACTCTTTCGTCTTGCGCGTTTTTCGTCTTGCGAGGCATTCGTCTTGCGAGGTACCACTGTATGTAATATTAATTTATATACATTTGTTTGTGGTCTATCAAAAGTTAAGACACAGTAACCACTGTCTAATGTTAACAACACTGTTTTTAAAAACATGAGTTAAAATACATATTCTGCTCTGTCTTGCCTTTCTAAGAACTTATTTTTATTAATTAGAAATTTATAAGAAATCCAAAAATAAGTTACTGCTCATGTAATACAGTGGTACCTAGGGTTACATTCACTTCAGGTTACATACGCTTCAGGTTACAGACTCCACTAACGCAGAAATAGTACCTCGGGTTAAGAACTTTGCTTCAGGATGAGAACAGAAATCGTTCTCTGGCGGCGCAGCAGCAGCGGGAGGCCCCATTAGCTAAAGTGGTGCTTCAGGTTAAGAATGGACCTCCAGAACGAATTAAATACTTAACCCGAGGTACCACTGTATTGGCAATTTGTAGGCTTACTACTTGGTTGTGTCTTTCAGACTAGGGAATTTAACACTGGTTACCTGTTAGAATGCATTCCTTATTAGTAAGCATTTAATATTGGGATAAACCACTACTAAATTAGGAAATCGGACATGTTTATATAGAATCCTCTGAAATCCCTTGTTATGCTGTATTTTTCGCTCTATAACACGCACCCGACCATAACACGCACGTAGTTTTTAGAGGAGGAAAATCCGTAGGCATGCCACCCGTAGGCATTCCCTCCATAACACGCACAGACATTTCCCCTTACCTTCTAGGAGGAAAAAAGTGAGTGTTATGGTGCAAAAAATATGGTACTTTGCCTTTCTGCCAGTTTCAATTTTTACTGGCAGCACTACAGAGCTTTGTATTAAATCCCTGTTCTCATTAAAATGCACATATATGTTATGGAACATGTAGTGCTGTGAATTGAAACTGCTCTGTTGCCAATAAATAGCCATTAAAATATTATTCAATACAGGAATGGTGTGACTTAACATTTTTGTAGAGTTTGTGAAAGGAAACTAATCCAAAGATGGCAGCTCTCAACACTGTATCCAGTTCTGATCTAGAGGGTCCTTCAACCTCCAATGTGTGGGTGCCCCTTGTGTATGTGGAGGTGTTTTCTGTTAAGTCAAAGCCACCATTAGATACAGCTTCTTTAAATCATTTGGTTATCTCATATCAGTACAGGTGCCTTCAAAGTTTTTTGTAATCTTTTTAAGGCCTACAGAGGCTTAAAACAATTTGATATTAACTTGGGAGATAGTGCAGCTATATGAATTTGTATACTAATGAATTGAGAAGTATGAGCAAGAACATTTTGCGTGGCTCATAAACATGCTGATAAACTTTTGAGCTAATGGTAAAATACCAATTTGGAACTGGAACCAGTATTATTTCCCTATAGCACGCAGTCTGTGCAGACTGCTCTGTGTTGTCTGTTGGAAGCAGGGCATGGTGCAATGTGAGAACTGCATTCCTACAATCTGCTCCCAGAGTAAACAAAGGAGTAGGGCCTAAACCCACCAGGACATGTATGAATCTGCCTCAGAAGTGATTATGATGTCCAGAAGTTTGCTGTGATTCTAGTGTGGGAGTAATAATGACTTTAGGGAAGGGCCATAGTTTAGTCATTGAATAGATGCTCTGCGCGCAAAGTGTCCCAGGTCCAATCGCTGGGATCTCCAGATGTAACTGGGTCTGAAATCCTGGAGAACTGCTGCCCGTCTTCTCAGACAATACTGAGCTAAATAGACCGATAGCCTGGCATAGTATAAGACAGCTTTCTACGTCTGTAGCTTATGGATAACATAGCATCCTAATGTAACAATAGATTAGGGGCTGTATGCCAGTAACATAGCTGGAGCCAGTGACAGGCATGGCAGCCCCCCCCCCCCCCAGAGAAACACACTCCTTTTTGCAGCAGAGAAGGGCAGACTACTTATTACCCTTACAAGGAAAAAGAAGGGGAGCACAATTGTCCTGAACTCTTGGCCTACCTGGTGGCAAGTAAGTATGCCAAATCCCCATTCCAGGGTAAATCCACATGTCCAAAGTCCAGGACAAAGCAGTTTCAGAGATCCTGGAGCACCCAAGCCAAGGTTCATCAACATGGGCCGTTGAGCAGACACAGTACCTCAGCTGCCCTTTTATACTTTGTCTGCTGATTTCAGCATCTGGTCTTGATGAGGCATGTGACCCTCACCTGCTCCAAGCCTACTCCAGCTCTGGTGATGGGTTCTGTTCCTCTGGTTCCTATGCACTGAGCTCCATCCCCTTGTCATCCTCTGTCACCCTATGAGTACTTCATACACCAACCTCTCCTTCCCCATCCCCAGCTTGCCCCGGTATGTCCCAGCCCCAGCTACACTCCTCACTGGGATCCTCTTCCTCCTGTTCCTCTTCCCCATTGCCTACCAGTTCATGAGAACAGTTTACATGGAGAGGAATGTGCACAGGGGTGAGTTTCCCCATAGCCTCCCTCCCTTGCAGTGGGGCCCCCTCTGCTCCGAAGCCGCTAATTTTGGTGGCTAGTCACATGTAGGCCAGAGAAGAAGCAGCTATGGGATCATAAAATGGTGCAAATATGGAAGACTTTACTAAAAAGGAAAATTGAAATATAGGTATAAGCAGCCAAACAAGTGTCAGGAATCCCCCTTTCCTGGAAAAAAAGAAAGCCAAATGCCCTAACATTATTAAGTATGTAGTGGAGAGCCCAAGCTACAGAGAAAATGAAATGTTCTGCCACTTCTGGATCTTGCCGCTTCTGTGATCAGATTTGCATAGTAGAGACTGGCCTAGAGAATTCAGACACATATTGCTGTAAGCAGTTGAAAGATAAGAAACTGAATGAGCTCCAGTTTGTGCATTGCCTGTTGTTGGTGTTGTAAATTAGTGCTAGAAAATAAATCAGAATTCATTGATAATTGTACTGGTTTTTTCCTGATAATTGTACTGGTTTTATGGAATACGGCGTAGAAAAGAGTAAATGCATATATAAAACAACTTGTAGGAGTTGTTGCTGTTTAGTCATTTAGTCGTGTCCGACTCTTCGTGACCCCATGGACCAGAGCACGCCAGGCACTTCTGTCTTCCACTGCCTCCCGCAGTTTGGTCAAACTCATGCTGGTAGCTTCGAGAACACTATCCAACCATCTCGTCCTCTGTCGTCCCCTTCTCCTTGTGCCCTCCATCTTTCCCAACATCAGGGTCTTTTCCAGGGAGTCTTCTCTTCTCATGAGGTGGCCAAAGTATTGGAGCCTCAGCTTCACAATCTGTCCTTCCAGTGAGCACTCAGGGCTGATTTCCTTAAGAATGGAGAGGTTTGATCTTCTTGCAATCCATGGGAGAGTGACATGTAATGTCATTTGCATGGAAACAGCAGCTACCAATTTCAAGTGAAACAATGAATGAGAAGAAGTTACCAAATTAGCAGCAGCCAAGGGTGAGACCAGTTCAGATTCCAGCAGGAAAAGCAGGGTTCAAAACCAGAAGGCAGGCAGGAGCTTGGAGATGACTCCTGGTTGTGATCAAAGAAAGCATTGTAAGAGGTGGGTGAATGGAAAAAATAACAAAAGGAAAGCAAACAGGCAGTTCCTGCCCATCTCCATTACCCCAAAGGAAACAATCCCCATCATGGTCCCAGACTCAAAGGGCCAAGTTTGGGAGCTCCATTACCTGAGAGCCAGTGTGGTGTAGTGGTTAAGAGCGGTAGTCTCGTAATCTGGGGAACCGGGTTTGCGTCTCCGCTCCTCCACATGCAGCTGCTGGGTGACCTTGGGCCAGTCATACTTCTTTGAAGTCTCTCAGCCCCACTCACCTCACAGAGTGTTTGTTGTGGGGGAGGAAGGGAAAGGAGAATGTTAGCCGCTTTGAGACTCCTTAAAGGGAGTGAAAGGCGGGATATCAAATCCAAACTTTTCTTCTTCTGTCAGTACCATTGCTTATTGGTGGTGGTGGTGATTGTTTTAATGTCCCCTTGTGCCCAGTGTAACCACTGCTGTGCACGTGAGGTTGGGTGGGCAAGCAGGAACTGTTAGGTGGCTCTGTTACCTCTTGGAAGGAAAGAAAACAGAAGGAGTCATTGGTCCAGCGGAGGGATTCCTCTCATCCTGCAAAAATATATTAAATTAATAAATTGATATTTACATAAACATTGGTTTAACTTGGTGAATAAAAACTCATTTTCTGGGAAACTCCTTTCTGAACCAATTCCATTGAATGTAAGGTAACCTCTCCTCCAGCAGAAAAGATTCAGACACAGTGGAGAGAAGTGTCCCTAGTTACTTCAGCTAACATGCTGTCTACTCGCCGTAATTTGTGTTTCAGAAGGGTTTACATCCTGAACATGGAACTAGACTGCTGACTTGTATAGAGACACTTGTCCTAGGCAGACATTTTATCAGTGGCTACTAGTCATAATAGCTATATTGCCCCCAGTATAAAAAAATGCATGGCTCTGTATACTACAGTCATACCTCGGGTTGAAGTAGCTTTCGGTTGAGCATTTTCGGGTTGCGCTCCGTGGTAACCCAGAAGTAACGGAATGCGTTACTTCTGGGTTTCGCCGCATGCGCAGACGCTCAAAATGACATCATGCGTGGAAGCAGTGAATCGCGACCCGCACAGATGCGGGTTGCGTTCGCTTCAGGATGCGAACGGGGCTCCGGAATGGATCCCGTTCGCATCCAGAGGTACCACTGTAGCTGCTGCAGCTCATGTGCTGTTTGTGGCCTTCCTATGAGAATCTATTTGGCCACTGTGAGAACAGAATGTGTAATTGCACTTGCTGTTTGCCTTACCCCAGCTAGGGTGTCAAACAAACTTCTTTGAGACATCCCCACTTCTTCAGCTATGGGGTGGGAACTAGACTGATAGCAATGAACTGGCCCAGTCAAAACAGTGCTCCAAAGGTATGCATTTTACTTAGTTTTGAGATTCTATATTCCACCATTCAAATATTTTCCCCAAGGCGGCTGTACAGTAATGATGACAACAAAAGTAATAAACTGGTTGGAACTGGGGCCACAAAACCAATACTGTGACAAAAGCACATAGTGATAAGGACAGACAGTATCACAACAAAAAAGCATGTAATCTGCCAAGGCAGATCAAAAATATGAGCTCTTCAAGTGGAAGGAAGGAAAGACAACCTCAGCTCCCTTGTAGCGGAGTATGTCCGGGGACTCAATGACATATAAGCAAGACTGGCTGAGCCAAGAGACTCTGATGCCCATGGAATGGCAACTGTCATGGACTGGCAGGATGCAGAGGCGTGGGGGGGCACCAGCTGGGGAACCCCCAGGGGAAGAAGGCTCAGAGCCAGGTGATTGGTGGTGGGACAATGAATGGTCAGGGAGAAGAGGGAGCCTAACAGACTACACTATGGCAAAGTTTGGCCTTGTCATCAGTATTAGTCACCATTGCATCAGCAAGACTTGTAGCTGAACTTGAGCCACTTTCCATCACAAGGAACTTTTGAACTTTTTCACGGACAGAAAGATTTAGCTGACCTTAAAAGCATCTGTCTGAACGTGCATGATACCTTCTCGTCATGCATAGGACTCAAAAGGTGTACAAAGCAAGAACTAAGCCTTTTTGCAAAACATAGAATCTGTGTTCACATAATTTCACTCTACTTCTATGGACCAAAAGGCATCAGTGACCATCATGGCCTGGTGGCTCACACCCCTTTATTTCATTAGTTTACACCTCCCTAAAATTGGTCCTTTCTGAAGGCATAGTTGCCCATCTTATCTGGTCAGCGGTGGCTTGCACTTCCATTTTTACCAATGTTCCTTTACAGATGGTATGCAGGACAGCAACTGGGACCCACCAAATCTCTTTCACTAAACACTATAGCATGAATTTACTGTATATGCATCCTTGGAGGCAGCCTTTGCCAGGCACATTCTCCAACAACTGCTTCAGAGCAATTAGTCACCTATCTTCCACCCAGGAATTAACAAGGTTGGCTTTTGAGCATCCCTCTTGGTGATGTCCTTGTGCCCACTTGAGAAGGTTCTGAAAGGTGTTTCTGAAGGGACACTAGGACACTACCCAAGTCCATCCTATGCAGGCTATTATTTCTTTCCCAGTTAGTTGCTATAGATTCAACTGCAGATATCAGGAGTCTGTCATGTCACTATACTGTTTCCCCTCACTTGGTTGTTTCCTTTTCCTTATGCTCTCAGAATGTATGGAAGCCCGTATTCCTTTCTGTGCTCCATCAGAAGGCAAATTGCCAATGAAAGGGAGGGGGGAATTGGAAATCCTCTTGGCGTAATGACGGTTTTTTACAGCCTTCAAGCGATTGGTGGATGACAACCCACTTGGTGGTATCCCAGTTTCTTTTCCACCATGGCTTCATTCTTTAATTATCTGTTGCCTCCTTCAGTGGGTGGGATGTTTTAGTCCTGCCTTTTTTATAAAGATGAATATGTTTTTAGCTTTTATTCAGTTTTAGTTCTATGTTGGTTTTAATGTACATGCTATTTTTTGTAAGTCATTTTGAGTTACTTTTTGTTAAAAAAGCAACAAATTCAGTTAATAATAACAACATACTACAATACACTTAATTCAATAAATAATAATAACACTCCACTCTACAGGAAGCCTGGTAAGGCAGGTGCAATTGATATAGCCTACAATTACTCCCTTCCCCACAACCCTCAAACCGATACTGGTACTGCACTTCATATGAATGCAACTGGTATAGATCAATTCCTTTTGCCTTGTCCTCTCAAGTCTTGCTTATACAGGTCAACTTACCCCTGCCAGTTTGATCCTCACCTGCTGTATTGGTTACCACTGCCTCCACCCAAAGGAACAAACCCTTATAAGAATATAAGACAACAGACTTTGGATACTGTGTGGCTGTTATTATGTAGAAAAGGGAAAAAAACAGAATTTGCCCTGGCAAGATTTAACAAAAATGTATTGTGTCTGTAAGCATGCATAGAATCAGGTTGTTAAATTGAATTTTTCCATTTATTATTTAGATACATAGTGACTGAAAACATATTTAATTTGAAAATAGGTAAACACTTTATATGACATAGGAGGTTTTATATAACATAATGAATAAGTACATTCTATAACATAATGAATAAGTACATAATTTTGTGACGTAAAAATACATTGCTTATTATACATCTTAATTCTCACAAACTTGTTAAGCTGCATTAGAATTACACTAATATTCTTAGTGTTTTATACATATATCACAAGAATTGTATTTTTATTAAACTAAGGTTTCAATATATAATTTTTCTGCACTAATCAGATCCAACAAAAATATACAGTAAGCAACAGTTGATAGTAGTTGCTGGGCAAACCAGTGTTCTCAATGAACTGAAGTGTTCATGTTCTTCTATTGATAGGGCAATAAATATTTATAGTTTGAGTGGGGTTAAATGGGCTTAATTCTTTTCTGGGTTATGATCACTGTTAATAACAACCATAACTGATAACCACTTAGTGATGTGGGCTGCAAAAGGTGGTGAATTGTCTAACATTGCCTCCCTATCCATTCTACCGATAGAAACCCCTGCTCAATCAAAGAGTCTTCCAGCAGGAGAAGAGCACCACTGGATGTAACCCACTTAATATGTGTACTCTAAGAGGGGGCCACTCCACCAGGCTACAGCAAAGGGGGGAATGGAGGCAGGGCACTCCATCAACTCTGTTGAGAAATCAGTTTGTGCTTTCCCTCTCCATCAACTATCCTTCAGCACCAGCTACTCTATCAGGCTGCAGTAGAGGAAACAGCAATTTTTGGCTCCTCTCAAACTATTTTCATTTAAGTTAACTGAAAGAACTTGGTGGCTAAAAACTGCTGACTTGAGTTTGCTTCCCCACCCCAATCACTCCAGTTTCCTTTAGAGTATAAGCCTAAGTGTCTTGTTTGTTATTGATCTTATGTTATCAGCTCTGGAAACACTCATGGACAACTAGAAGGGTGAAAATGCTTTAAATAAATAAATAAATTTGCCATAGTTATTCATGTATGTGAGTTGAATATAGAAATTATATTTCCATAGTAATCCGGAATCCTTTTTTAAATATGAAAATTAGTTTAGGATCTGGAAAGAACATTAAGTTAGCGTTTTAAGTGTAACACACATTTCTGGGTGAAATTCATTTAAAATCTTTATCTTGGGATCTTGGGCTCAAACTAAATGAGAAGCTGTTTGCTCTCTGTACACAACCAAGATTAGCAGACATAGTATTGCCTTAAATCCCTAGGCTTAAACATCTGGCAGGTAGAGGGAGGCCATTTTCAGCAAAAGTCCTTTTATGTTGGAATATGCTTTTTTGTTGGTCCGACAGAACCCGAGCTGATTTATCTTGAGGGGATGGTATAAAGCCCATCTGTTCGCTTTAAATATTTCCCTTGAGAAAATAATGAGAGCTTATATTTATGCCTATAGTGTAGAATTATGAGGTTGTCTTGGCTTTAGTTGACAGTTGTCAAATTATGTTTGTTTTTCGTTTTAAACAAATGCCTTTTCGGGGTGTGTGTGTGTGTGTGTGTGTGTGTGTGTGTGAATGGGTCAGAATGTCAAGGGGGAACTGGGGACGGGGACTTAGAGTGATCAACCTAATTTCTACAGCCATAAACTGTTAAAACAGGAGTCCTTGATATACTTAATAGTTTCTTATTTAATTTAATTACCCTAATAAGAATATGGTAATTGTGGTGTTGGAATGTTAATAGGCTTATTTTCTATGCATGACTGCTGATACTGCTGCATTTATCTGCCTATTACAGGTAGTTACATAAGTTTGGGGGAGTTTATTCTAAAGCTAGTAGCACTGAATAAAAAATAATGAAATTAGTAGCTCAGTCTTTCTCATTCTCATTTCAATTTCTGTTGTAGGCAGGATTTTCTTTAAAGTGCCCTTTGATTTTTTTTGTTGTTGTTATAGAATGTATATATGTACAATGTTTGTGATGTATATAACTTCCTTTATTGTTATAATTGAATTTGCTGTGCTCCTCTGTGTGTTTTTAAGGAAATAGAGAAATTGCAAGTAGAGCTCAATGAATATAAACTGCGTTTGGAGCAAGCACTGCAGGATACAGCAAGAGCTAAGGAAGAATGTCTGAAACAAACAGAATTGCTGGGTAAAGCTGAGCACCAACTGCACCTCACCAGGTACCCCTTATCGTATATGGCCTTAGCACCAATTTCAATTTTATACTGCAAATTTTTCCCAGCAGCTTATCCACAGTTGTTAGAGATTGATCCAGTGCACAGCTTTCAGGCATATTAGCAGTGAAGATGTACTGAGCAAAACATTCAGACAAGATGAAGCGTGGCAGGGATTTAGTGATAACAAATCTATTCATCCAGAGTATTCTTTCTGTTCATCTAAAGTATTCTTCAAACAATCACGGTGTTAAATGTCATCTTAAAACAATTTGTAGTCAGTAAAAGTTATATACACCCAATTGTTCTTTCAAGATTCTTTGATGCAGTTGCTTTGAGGAACAATTGAGATTATATAGCACATTGCTCTCCAGTTCCTTATTGATATGTAAAAGCTGAAAATAGCTATCACTTTCCTAGTTACTGATTATAGTTAGATGCGTGCATGGCCTTCAGAGAAAATTGATGATCATGCATAAAACAGTCAATTCTATGCCAAAAATGTTTGTGTGGTAGACAAGCAACTAACTACACACACAAAAACTTTCTGAAGTTTGTGCATTTTTCTCTTAACAGTAGCCCCATTACTCTTAACACCTGCCTGCTCTCACTGAGCTTGATTAATTTAACACTTCAAACTCATTACTGTTTCATTTTTTTATCTATAGCATGAACTGCTTTCTGGAATGAAAGTCAAGATTTAAAAGTATGCCAGAAAGCATTTAGATTTGGAGTATTAGTTGGGTCGAGTACATGTATTGTGTGTGCATACAGACTCGCACAATGGATATGAATATGGGAGATTATAGTATGCTTCTTAAATGATCACACCATCTTTTTTTAAAGAAATGATGTAAATATAGATCATGGGCTAGTAGCAGATGGGAAGAAAAACACCCTTCTTACAGCCTGTATTTAGAGAACAAATATGCTAGAGGTTAATGAACTTGAAAAAAGTTTTGGGTAAGTTGTTAAGACAGCAAAAGTTTTGATTTTGCAGGACTTCTTTTATAATGATTTGTTGTGATAGTTAACCAAATGGTTTACCAATTTCCATCCGAAGGCTAATCATACAAGTTATGAAGCTGTGTGGTGTCTTGGAGAAAATCCAAATTGTAGATAGCTTTTCTGAAAAACTTCCACATTCTTAATAAGGTATACTAAGAGCTTAATTAAGTCAAGCATCCAAATAAGTGATTCACATTAATGATGAGACAATACTACTTCAGGGTTACATAAGCATGTAGTCTGCAGAAAATTGTTTCAGATGTTTGATTGCAGAAGATGGATGAGTTTAACAGTGATATTCGGCTTTGCTTTCTTATGGCTTAAGAATTGTTATTGTTGCTATCTTACAGCTTTCCAAAGTATAACTTGTCATGACAACATTTCTCCAAGTGATATTTTCCTCATATTCCCTTATCGTTCTCATGTTGGTCTAACAACTAGACTTCCTTATTTGTGATAATGTGAAATGGGTAGGGAACTGCAAAATCCTGGTCTGATGAATCACTCATGACCACCAGTCTTTTGTCATTGTTTGCTTTCCTGCGCTGTGTTTTCTTATCAATTACTTTTGTTATGGTTTAGCATCATATGCCAGTGTTATAGTTTTAAATTGTGGTCTTATCCACCTTGAGTCATAAAACGAAGTACAGATTGCATTTGTCTCCGTTTGTGGAGCATTGCTGTTTTGAAAGACGTACGTCATTTTTGTGGGTGGCTTTTCGTGTCTGCAGGTGTAGTTGTATGTTTGGCCCTTCTAACACAGCTGAAGTTTTATTAAAGTTGCACCCATAAAGAAAGTGAGGCTGCTTCTTTCCTCAGGTAGACAATTCAATGGTTAATTTTAAAAACAAAAGGAAGTTTAGGAACATCAAAAGCAACCTTATACCAAGTCAAAACACTGATCCATCTAATTTAAAGGTTCAGTTTATTCCCACATAGTATAGTATTTCTGACTGTAAATAACTAAATAATTGCAGTTAGATGTCTTGTTAACATGCAGATATTGAAAAATAAAACAGTGTAGGGGGGGAAAGCACAAGCATGCATGGCATCTGAACTCAGTTATAGTATAGTGACTTGAAAGACTCACACATCCTGTCTTCGTGGTCCATCTGTCTCCATTCTCTTAACCTTTTATCCACCAACATAACTAGAAACTTGCTTTAAAAAATAAGTGGATATCTTCGTGTTCAGAAACAGCTCAACTTCACACTAGGAAATGAGATACTGTATGATTGTGATTTCTAGCCTTTTGTAGATACAAGCATGATATAAATTTCCGATAGAAAGAGGAATGAGTGTTGTAACTAAGTGCAAATATGTATTGCTATTCCTAATTATGATAATTTATTTTAAAAAATCTGCTGCACTAAATTCTGTAACACCCCCCCAATATATTGCAGGGGCATATTCTCCCATATGAAATTCAGGTTTAAAACTGTCACCCGTCAACTTTTTATTCTCCAAAAATGACTTCTCAAAAATAGTGCTTCCCTCCACCCCCAAAAATAGTTTAGCTACCTGTAAAAAAAATATCGTTCGTATTTGGTCTTTGTTCTGCTTTTTTCCACTAAATTTGCAGAAGCATGTTTTTTATCTATTTATATTTCATTTATGTTTGTGCTAGTTTTGATGGCAAAAATTAGGCTCGTGTTTCAGTGGCAGTAAATACGGATTATAATTTTATTATGTTTTAGAGATGGTTGAGATGGTTAACAAAATAATAAATACTTAAAACTTCAATGCACTTTGTTTTTCTATAGAGTTTTAGTTTGCTGTGTTCCAAAAGTAGACTACTGTGTGTGATTCCTATGTTTCAGTCATGGGTCACTCTTATTTATTCTGTCACATTGGAATGACAGTCACTTGTCTGAAATGATGCAGTAAAAACATACATGGGAGTGTCATCCAATTACACTGCTTCTAGGTGTGTATTTACAATTGCTGTCAGGCATGCAAGTGGCCTTCAAATGTTACAAAAATATTAGGCTAATCAATGGTGGAAACATAAATGCCTATAATATGTGTCGTGTCTTGCTGACCCAGACTGTGATGAGACTTCTGTGGGCGGGAATTCCATATTACGGTTTCAGTGCCTACTAAAGATGTTTTTATTCAGACAGACCTCCCCAGAGGGGTAATTACAGCCATGCTGACTGTCAGTTTTATGAAATGGCAGAATATTATTTTATATTGTTTCTATATGTTCTTACTATTGTTTTTACTATTGTTTTTATAGAACTCTTGTTGAACATCGCTTTGAATTCCCCCCCAATATGAAATGATTCATAATTTTATTAAATAAATAAAATAGATCACACACACCCCGAAACCGGCTTTGTACATGCCCTTGCAGTCTTTGTTAGTTGTGCAGATGGTAAACTTGAAAGTGTGCTCTTGATCAAGCCTGAAGGAGGCAGTGAGACATGGAGTGGAGGTGGACAGAGCTTGCTTGACAGAACACAACATTAAGGGCTGCATAGGTTACTTTACTGCTGCCTTGATTTGGGCTCAGAAGGCATTCTGTAGACCTGTATCTTTAAAAATTCTCGATCATTTGATTCATGCTTGCATCTTTTATTCCTCAATCCAGTTAATATTTCTGTTGTGTAAACAGTTCTAAATATAATTGGTTGAGAGAAATCCATCAATACCATCCAACTGTTCTGATGAATTGGAAAAGTAAGATGGGTGATTGGCTGAACTGATGCCAGTTTGAAAAAATAGTGTTCGTTGGCTATTTATTTTTATTAAGAGTGAGTAAAATTCACCACTGTTCTACAGATCATTTGGATTATTACTTGCTCTGATACTCCAGACAGCTCCCCCCCCCTTCAACTAACACTGAAGTGTAGGTGAAGTGCCTAGCTCAATGCTTTGGTCTTGCTTGCAGTCATCCATACTCTGGTTGCTTCTTACATAGATTACCATAACACCATCAGTTTAGAGCTGCTCTTGTAAATGGTTTGGAAACCCCTGTTTTCTCCATGTCCTAGCAGGATAGGTTGCAGGAAGCAGTTAAAAGAATTCTTTTTTAACTGCACTGGGACCGATTCCAAGGTGTTGGTTATTATTTACAGAATCATAAATGTCCAAGTCCGTGTCTTTGCTCTCTTATTTTTTGGAAAGTGAAATCCTATAGTATTTGGTTAAGGCTTTCTCAGTTGTAGTGCCACAATTAATGGAATGCTTTGACAGGGGAAGCCTGCCTAGAAAGGCAATTAATTTTCAAAAATAACAATGTATATTAATTAGAACAACTTTTTCTTCTTTTTCCATGTACACAAGGAACTTCAGAACATAATGTCTAATGTTTCCTGTAGTCAGTTTATGGTCTATTCATATGTCTTCCTAGTTTGTGCCTAGGACAGAGGTTCAAATTCATACTGTTAGTCTTAAAGGGCTTGAAAACCTATCTATTGATTTTCAGACCATTTTGCAGCTTTTGACATTTACTGAAATGGTGGGTACAAGGTACTGGGAACTCCTAATGAGAGTTTTACAAGCATATGTTGATAGTTTTATACAACTCAGATTCGTTTCTGCAGAGCTTGTGCCTAAGAAGCTCCATGAGGATTGTGCCCAGTTTGAACAGTTGAAGTGTCAAATTATTCCATATTATTTTGCCGGTAATAGTTCATAGGGTTTACATTTCAGCAGAAGAGCTCAACGTTATTCCATGACTGAAAAGCAGAAAAATCATTTGAAAATTACATTTTTTCAAGACAATGGTTTTGAAGGACATACAAAAGCGATTAGCAACACCGCATCCATTTTAGCTTCAAATACCTACTGTTTATCAGTGCTTCTAGTAGCCTCTAGCACACTTTCAACAGCTTCATTGGCATTAATTGAAGTCCATGTATAATAAATAAGGCACATAAATTAAACCTGTCATTCTGTTGCCCAGGTTCTTGCAACATAACTAAGTTTCTTAGGTTATGCTTTTTTGGTTATAATGTTGGCAGCATGCTTTGCTAGAAGATTGAATGTATGTGTGTTCCTAATATGTACACACTACTGGTTTTCAAAAGAAATTTCTCACTGCCACTCATAAATATTCCAGGTACTTAATAACTACTGCTGTACTTCTAAATATTGTCTGCTACAGAGAAGCAGAATTTTATGGGGTTCTAAAAAAATATACTGGCATATGAGATGTTCACTCATATTTATATAATTAATGTGAAAAATTGTAACAGTCTAGATTGCATTACTGACAAAATATCAAATGAATACTCACCATTAAAACTAGAATCCATAATAGCACATATCAATGGGAAAATATACTTGGCACAAGAATGATTCTTAATTTTTTAAAATATGTAATTTCAAAAAGATTACCTGGAAACTTATAATTGAAAAGAAGTATAAAATCCTGAAATAAGATAACATGCTTAATAAACTCCTTAGTGTCTGTTTTATATGTTTAGTTTTCATTAAATTTAGGATTGCTTGTAGTTCAGTCAACATTTATTCCTATCTGTTTTTCATATACAAAGGCATTGGGATGCCAGGAAATAAACTGTTAACGGAGAATTAACTTCTTTGGCATGCTTTCACACTTATCTTCCAAATTAAAGAAAATGAAATGGGCAGAAGCAGAGTGTAGATTACCTCCTTTTTGTCAAAAAATGGTGGGAATTTGAAAATTAATAATAAAAAAGGGAACAGATGCAGTAACATGCCAGAGGGAGATTAATGTGGAGAGTAAAATCTGTGAGCAACAAAACTGAAGCAAACTGAATCAGTGGGAGGTGGTTGTACAATCAAAATCAGGATAAAAGAGAAATTACAAACAACCCTGCACTTGTCAAAGTAGTAGTAATGAAATCCTGACTCTGCCAGCAGTGAGAACCTGTGTTAGCACTTTGGGGTAAGGATGGTAGCCGGGTGCCAGGTAGGAGGGCAGTGTTAGGTTGCTGGGCAGCAGCCATCTTGTGTAGAACAGATGGCACTGAAAGCTGGCAGGGGAGGGGCTCCTTAGCAGAACTAATCAGACAGTAACAGATAGGGCAGCTGGGAAGACTGACCACAGAGAGGGAAACTGCAGGATAGCTGCAGAGTTCCATGATGTTTACAGTGGTGTGCCCATTGGTCTGATAGAAGACCTTGCAATGCCTTTTTACTGCAGAAGGCACAGAAAAACTTTTGTTAACTGGGCAGTTTATCGGAAAATTTTGCAACATAGGGAATGCATAAAGCCGGTGATGAATTGACGTTACGAATTCATGAAAGTGTTTGAGATATATATATATATATATATATATGCGCATACTTACATTCCTTTGGAGTTAGAAGCATATTTCAAGGCTTATATCCCAGGATCAGTACGTTTTGCTCATTTTCATTTCAAAGTGTGTTCATTTGAAATAAAGTGAAAGGAATTTGTGTTAATTCAGATTACATCCTGGTGTCATCGATACATGCGGGACGCATTAGGATTAGGAGCTATACTGAAATCAATACAGTTTGTAATATTTTTCTCAGTGCCATTTAATAAGGGGGCACCAGATTTTGCCTTCTGTGCATAATAATCACTGTGTCTCAGGATGTTAACTTTTAATCACGACATACATCGTTATGTTGCCCAGCCACCATTCAGTAGTAGTCAGGGCTGCTGGCTGACTTGTGGAAAAGAAATGTTGAAATAGTGAGGCCAAAAAAGGGGAGGGGGAGAATTGTGTATTAAAATTAATTTAAATGCTACTGAATATATTGACCTGATACAAAGGATCCTTAACATAACTAAGTGATAAATGATAAAAACACTTTGAACAAAATTCAATAGATGTGCATTATATATCTCTTTGTTGAACAAAGAAATTTGCGGCTCCTACTTCTGTTTTTCAACTTCTGTATTTTTCTCTTTGCAGAAGGTTTATGGCTTGGCTCAATTATTCATTTTGAGAGGGGAGGGGAAGAAACATTACAGGGATTTGAAATAGGTGGTATAACAGAGCCATATGCTATTTGTGCATCAGTTTCTGCAATATATCTAATTTGGGGCTGTCGGGAAAAATTAGACTTATTTGATATAGCAGCCTATTAGTAAATGACTCCGGTAGATTTGAAAGTTGCCATTTGTTCTCCTTAACTGAATCTTGCAAGCATTGTTTCCCAGAGCTATTCTGTGAAAATATCTTGGTTCTTTGTCCTGCAGCTGTACAAACCACAAATATTTCCACAACTGAAAAGAAGGTCTTGCTTCAGGTAATTTTATAAAAATGGGTTGGAACAATTAATAATCCTCTGTTGTTTTCAAACTGCGCAAATCTGGTTGGGAAACTTACCCATTCCCTTGACTGCCTAAAATAGTGTAACGTGTTAATTTAGTTATAGAGATGTAAATAAATTAGCTGCTCTGCATTATTATGGAAGGAGATATTTACCTGCCATCATTTAGCCCATACGTTGCTTTATGATGACAGATATCAAATGATTTGGAATAAATCGGCTCTCTTGTTTTCTGGCAGTGCCTGTAGTAATCATTACTACGTTGTACTTTATAAACTGTCAGTTAGCTGCTACCTTGTTATCTTCTGTTTTATAATTATTGTTCTTTAAAAAAAATGTAATATTTGAAATCACAGTGCTTCCAAAGCCATTAATGAAGTATTAATTGGAGAAAGAAATATCCTTTAAATTCTAACAGCTAGCCATATTGTGACCATGTTGCTATATCTTTAGTTTTTTTATTACTTGAAGGGGGATAGGAGATTTTATAGCCTGATTCATTTCCCCCCTAAAATGAGAAGGATTTATAAATGCATCTGATGATATAGAGCAGTTCATTTGCAAAATTTATGCTGATACTAGTCTGGTAAGGGAAAACTAATGCACATGCCCATCGGTTGTTGAAAGATGCCTGTTATCTATATTTATTACAGTAAATATTTGTGAGTGACATCCTATTATTATCCCCCCCCCAATTTGTTCATATGGGAGAAAGTTACTCAACATTTTTAAATTATAAAATGCTTTTAAGAGCATGTCTATCAGATTTCAAAGTTTTGACATTATAAAAATATATTATTTAGTCGTCGGGGCTTCCAGCATGTATTTTATGTGGCAGATATGTTTACAAAATATGGTGAAAACGTAAATGCAACCTTGTGGTGCAAATTTAAAATACTATATATCTATTGTGCTGCATAAGAGCAACTGGTGCCACTATAATTAAAAGACACATTTACGTTCTTTCTGTGCGAGGGTCATTAATTTCTTTCCTGGGGAACTGTAAACTACTAGCCTGAAAGAGATTGATTCTTCAAGACTTTAAATGAATGTTATTTATTTGAAAGCTGAATCATTGACATTGTTATAATCATGTTTTCTACATAAATAAATAAACCCTTTATAGACTCCTATATGCAAAAGGAATTTGTAAAAGAAAATGCTTTATTACTTTACCCTGGATCCAGCCCTAACATGGCATAGAAATAAAGATGAGGAGCAGAAAAACCTCAAATGAGCAGTTACTTATATCTTTCCCATCTGGTAACTCTCTTCCGTCCCTGGTCTATTTGATTATGACAGGGAGCAAACTTCTTCCCTGCTCAATAGATGCAATTTATCCATGGCAGCATGACTGCCACATCAACTGTCCCACTACTCTGAGTCCTGCCTGCCTCGTTCCTGCAGTCTGTGAGCATTTTGCAGCAGTGCAGCTGGTATATGGCTTCTTGTCCTGACTATGGCTATTCCATGTTGCCAGCAGAGCGTAACTTGTAAGAAGCTCTAAAAGCAATTAGGTGCATAGGTAAGAGGATAGGATGCTATACAGCAGACCTTTCTGGAAGAGTTTGAACCTTCTTATTCCCTTGGTCTTCTACTAGGGTAATTGAAAACCCAAGGGGCATATTATTGTAAAGACAAGAAGTATGCACGATACATCAAAAAATCAGATCCCGAATTGAATGGCTATTTTTTTATATTTGTGTAAATAATGTTTAAAGCTGTATGAGGATCCATTTATAGCATATTAAGTGATTATATTATATTGTTGCTGTTCAGGGAAAGGCTGAGACTAGATATTTTGTTTATAGTGTTGGATAGCATTTTTTAAACAGTTAACAAAGTGGAATGGTGTTTCTGCTAACTTTCTGACACATTTTTCTCCATGGTAAAGAAAGCTACCTTGTAATTTGGATATTGCTCAAGACAACAGTTTGTAAGGTGTTTATTTTTCCAGATAAATAAAACAGTTTAAGAGGCTGGTTAATAATTCAATAGTATGTGGCTATCGGAACCAATTTATGAAAAGCAGATGCATGTCTGAATAGCTCTGCATAATAGATCCTGGGAACAATATGAAATGTCTCAAAGTAGCTGCACGGCTCTTTCTGTTAACTTGCGTAAAGTACTTGAATAGCAATCTGGATACTCACACGGACCAAATGAGTGACATTTTTAAAAAGAAAAATTATCACTGCTGTTTTTTAAAATGTGACCAGGTTAGTTACTAACCTAGCTATAGCTGTTATTTAGTTCTAATGTAATACTGTAACACAAAATATTATACACTAAGAATTTCTGTGTGAATAAGGACATCAGAGGAATGTCCTTATTCACACAGAAATTCTTAGTGTTTCTTTTTTAATCCTTAATTATGTAATTTTGTTCATAATTTTCCATATCTTTTTTGCCTTAACTTAAACAAGCTGTATTTTATTTCTGCTTTTCTGCACTCTTTTTGTCATGATTTTCCCTTTTCTCTATTGCATAGTTGCTAAATAGGTTAAGTGCACTGTGCAAGGTTTTACAGAAAGGGGGAAATTATTATTATTATTATTTTGCAGGATTTTAAAATGGCCATTAAATATCCTCATATTTTACTTCTCTATTGTCTTCTCCACACTGAAAAAGTAATTTTCACAAATGGATAACTGTCCAGCTTTGTCTTTTGCTAGGGATTAAATCTATGCCGACAGTTCTTTTGACAATGACCTTGAGGGGCTTTGCATCTTGAAGAAGAAAGCAGAAGCTTGCGGTAAACAAAGTTCACTTCTGACAGATGGATTGAATGACAGAAAGGTTGTGAGTGCCAGAATAGCCCTGGCAGAGGAGGAAATGTTCAGTGGAATCCAACAGGAGAGGAGGTGTGAACAGGTGCAGGGTTGCTGACGGAAGGGGAACCAGATGGAAGGAGCCAGAGCCAGTTTATTTAAAGGAAAAGGCAGAAAACACTGAAAGGCTGCACAATCAGTGGCTAAAAGTGTGCATGGAAGAAGGTAAAAAGCAGACAGCAAAACTGCACAGTGGGATATCAAGCACTTAGCGTAATGACAGTAATTGTGAGTTTAGTTGGAAAGTTGCTATTAAAATCCATTCATCCATTGCTCTCAATAACATAAAGTGTTTAAAACACTTTTTAAATTGACAAGGATATTGCTTTGTCTGTCAATTTTTTGTAATGTTAACACACAAAAGTTATGATTAGGAAAATGTTGTAGTTCAGGCAAGCCAAATCAAGATGATAGCAAGATAAGACTTGAGTATTATCTGCAGTGTAATCTCCAGATTTTTTTATCCCTTTTGTGAGAAAATACTACATTTTGAGAGAAAAGAGAAAAAACCACCCTACCTCTGAAAATTTTATCTTCTGTGAAATATTTGTAACTTACTGTGCATTTTTGCATCTGTTAATTGTTGCTCAAGCCTTGTAGAAGGGTGCGTTAATGTGTGAGATATTATGGAACCTCTAATTTTCTTATGACATTTGAGGTCAGCTTACACTTTTTTTAGTACTCTCCTGTTAGGATGAACATCTGAAGACCTGCTCTTTAATTCTTAAGACAAAGTCCAAAACTCCAATATCTGGCTAATTTGCTCAGTGTTGCAACTATGTGCTGGATTGTGAACTGGTGTTCAGCTGAGGTGGGTTGTGTATCCACTTCTATTTCAATAACTATTTGTAAAAAGTCATAACTAACTTATGTGTGTCTTCTTTAGGACTTTGATTTTTCTGCATCTATTCTGCCATAGATTAGTATAAATGCTTAATTTTTAAAATAAAGAATTAAATACTTAGTAACAAAACATTTTCAGTATACATATAATTCCTAGAATAAATGTATTTTTTTCAAAAAATTATAAACAATAATTATTATTTTAAAAGAATCATCCATAGGAACATTAGCTTCTTTTAAAGCTTCATAATATACTAGTGTTCTAAACTACCATGATTACATATGTATTCATCTGTACTTTTTATATGGCAATGGTTACCGCTGCCCAATGCATATCTGTTTTCTCCCACAAAATTATATAAATGAAGAACATTGCGTTTTAAATTAGTGCTACTCATTGCTCTTCCTTTTGACATCCTTTACGACTAATGATCTTTGACACATTTGTATGTTCCTATAGCACAGAGTGCCTCCGTTGTAAGTTTAGCGCAGAATTGCCATCCGTCATTCACTTACTTTTTATAAGACATCCACATGATCCACATGGCGCCATCATCTGTTCATTGCTGTATTTTCCCTGTGATTCTTCCATCTTTTCTCAAACTATAGAAAGCCCATTTTTTTCCAGAAGAGTAATACAATCCCCACAGGTGACCACTCTTGTACTTAAAAATAAATAAATAATTCTTTAGTTTCTTGCTCAGCGCACATTCATAGGAAGCTGCCTTACATTAAGTCAGATCATTGGTCCATCTAGCCCAGTACTGTCTACACTTACTGTCTACGACTCTCTATGGTTTGGGCAGGGTTCTTTCCCGGCCCTACCTGAAGATGCCAGGGATTGAACCTAGAACCATCTGCATTCAAAGCAGATGTGCTATGGCCCTTCCCTGTTATAACATTTGTGGTGAGTGCTAATTTTATGACCCAATTTTTGTTTTTAAAATCTTTTAATTGTCCCTAAAATGCCTTACTGGTTATAATTTTTTAATGAATTATAGCATCAAAGCACCATAATACCATAGCATTATGGCAGTATAACGCTAAATCCCTGTTCCATAAAGAAGAAGAAAAGGCTGGAAAAGTGATTTTAAAATAGGGTCATAAAATGTCAGTTACAATTTCACTTGTGCTACGAGTTAACCCATCTAAAAGCAGCCTTAGTAATGCAGCTATTGAACAGAGTGCTCTAGTTCTGGGCAGGACACTGGTTTCACCAGAATGTACCAGTCAAGTTGTTCTCGAAGCTACCAGCATGAGTTTGACCAAACTGCAGGAGGCAGTGGAAGACAGGAGTGCCTGGCGTGCTCTGGTCCATGTGGTCACGAAGAGTTGGACACAATTAAATGACTAAACAACAACAACCAGTCAAGTTGGGAAAAGCAGAGGTTGATAAGACTCTCCATGGAGTCTTTTTCTCTTCCATGGCCTTCTGCTGGAGGCATGCGTGTGGAAGTGCTTGGATTATTGCCGGAGTGGCACTGTTACAGGTGCCACATAATACTCATTCCGCATTTGTAAGATATCAATCCTGCCCTTTGGAACTCACTGCCTATTTTCATCATGCAAGCGCATTCACTGTGCCTGCTAAAAACATTTTTGTTTAGCTACCCAGATGCAGAGAATATATACATATGTTTTAATATGTGTTTAGCTTATAACTGATATAAATCAGAGTGGCTGGGAAAACCCAGACAGAAGGATGTACTATAAATATCAGTATCATCATCATCATCAGCTTTGGTGATAACTCATAGCTGAGTAAGACTGTCTTCCATAAACACGGTTTTAACAATGAGTCCGTAAGTGACTGTGGAGGCCAATTCTGGATCCACACGTCCTTCCACAGTGGGGACATTGGTTTCCGGTCGGGAGTTGATCACAGTGTAGATTTGCCAAGCGCGCCTTCCTCTTAGCACATTTCTCCCTTGCATCCTGAGTTTGAGTATCTTCAAAGCCCATAACACCTTTGGTAAAGGCTGTTCTCCAATTGGAGCGTTCACAGACAATTAACAACAACAACATTATTATTATAGCTGCTTTTAACTTTTTGCTGATAATTTTATTGTTTCACTCTTTTTGTAAACTGCTTTGAGGTGGTGATTGTTGTTTTACAATCAAGTGGTATATAAACTTTATGAAATAAAATATGTTGGCCCATCGTGTATTCCATATGTATCTCTTACCTGTGCCTCTCAAAGGTTATACCCACAGGCTGTCCATCTGTGGTCCATACCTGCTTCGCTGGGAAGGAATGGAGCCACTGGTTGTACATATGGGACTCCAAGAGCATAATGCAGTGCACATTCAGCAGAACAAGGGTTGAGGAATGAGGAGAGACAGAAAATGGCTCAGTGGAGTTCTATAGGATGGAGGTTGGATTGTGCCGTTTTGGGCCTGTGGGCACATTTGCAAACCAGAGGGGCTGTTGTGGACTACACTTCAACTAAACACACACCACAATCTATTATAGTGGTTATAATAGAATACTTCTGTCAAGCCTAATTTCAGCAGGGAGAGGGTACCATATAGGTGCCTGTAAATGCTTTTGCAGCCACCTATGTGCCCATGTGTGCCACGCTGGCAAGCCGTGCCTTAGTATATTATGAAAAATTCTGCAGCATCTTGAAATTTGGTAAAACACTTCTGCGATGAGCTTTTCTGCTTACTGTTAAAAAAGCCTCGCTGATCTCAAATGCATTAATCTAAAAAGTAACTCCTGTGTTACTGAATTTTTTAACAATGCATTTCAGCTAAGGAAACCAAGATGAGTCATCTTCAGATTCAACAAAGTGTTTACATAATTATTGAGTTAAAAAATAGCCCAGTGTTCCAGACAGAGAGGTGTGGGGTTTTTTTTGTCTTGCTGGTAGAAATGCAGTTCTAACGTTTGAATCTAGCACACAGAGTAAATCATCAAATATTTTCATATTACAAAAAGGTGGGAGACTACATGATTCCTGGGCATTTTGAGACATTTATGCATGGAAACGCTGGTGGCCTACCACCCGTTTCCAGCTCCTGCCCAGCTTCCTGTGTAAGAGACTCTGGCTATTAGAGAGTGAAGCCTAATATTGGTACCATTTGCCTGGGGTCTCCTCCCAGCACCCCCACCTGCAAATGCTTTATTGACATACTACAGAGGCTTCTGAGGTATTCCCTCATTGTTTTTTTGTAAAATGCTTATTTACAATGAAGCAGTAAATAGTTTTCATGTAGTATGCTGCTTAGTGAAACACTGAGCTCACTTTCAGTGAGGTGCCGCGTTGAATCTGGGAAACACAGCACTTACAGTATCCAGCTTTCTTGTAGTTTGTTTGCTGTATCAAAAGCAGTATCTCATGTAGTGCTTTGCAGCATTCAAGAGACCGCTTTTAATCCAGCAGGTATCCTGAAAAATGAGAGAATGTCCTCTCATTTCATCATGATATGGGAAGTAAAAGCTGGGATTAAAGCTGCAGAGGCAAGAGGGCACATTCGTAGCAAATCCCAGCATTCATGTTGGTCAGGCAAATAGATTTCCTTTCCGGCTGTCTGAGATTCCTCAGCACTAGACGAGAGAACATCCATAGGCTTCTAAGCATGTTTCCCTGTAGGTTCTTGGGTATCTTCTCATGTAGCACTGGGCCAGGAAGTCACCTTGATATAGATCTTACACAGCATTTTAAACTCTGGAACTGTCTCCCAAGTATTTAGTACTTGTGTGTGTTGCATCAAGTAATAAGGATGTATAATTATATAAACTGGCACTTTCCCCTAATGTACTAGTGTTAGATCCTTTCTTGCTTACCACTAAGATTAACTTAAAGGAGGAGAGCAACTATATATAGGCAGTGTTCTTTCTTTTTCAACACAGTATCTACATAGCTGTCAACTTTTCCCTTTTCTTGCGAGGAATCCTATTTGGAATAAGGGAATTTCCCTTTAAAAAAGGGAAACGTTGACAGCTATGGGTATCTATGTGTGTTAAAATCTGATATAAAATATATAGAGTGATATCTCACAAAAGAGCTAACAGACTCAACCAACAGAATTTAAGCTAGCACTTAACAACTAAGAATTTGTTCCACAATGTATATACATCCCTCTCCAACTGCAGTCCTTACTTTCACATCAAGAAATCCTCTCACAGGAAAAACTCTTGCCCATTGATGACCATACTCATATTGCATTATACTACAGACTGTCCTCTCTTTTTATAGATGTTCCTTTCTGTTCTTGCTGCTCTCAACAGCGGTTGTATCCAATGTTAGTCTTACTCAGGGTAGAACCACTGAAATTAATCGGGCATGGTTAACTTAGGTCTGCTCTTAGGATCAATACTGGCTCCAACCCCAGAGTTCTCAAATAACCACCAATCTCCCAGTGTGGCAGAAGTCTGATACCAGGCCTGAGAACACACACAACTTTTTCAGTCCCCCTAAATGGAGAAAGGCAGGCCTGCACCAGTTTAGTCTCTTTGAAGCAGTAGCTATCTCTGCTTCCCTTTCCCTTGCCTCTGGCAGGAGAGGTCTACAATAACAGAATATTCATTATGCCACCCAAACCACTCCTCTCATGGATAGTCAGTTTTATGCTAAAGCCACTGCAACCTAGAAATAAGGCCTTTTCTGGGGCACATGAATGTAAGAGATACATGATTGGCAGAAGATGAGGAATGAATGTGCTTCCCTAGAAACTTCAAAAGGCAACTTATAGTAGTATCTTAAAATAAGTTCCATAAGAGTTCAAAGTGTTCTCCTCCTCAGGGACAACTAATGTGAGGAAGTATTTCAGGCTAAAAAGTATGTTACATTTAGGGTATTGTATGACACAAACTGACAAATAAACATCCCACTTCCAGTTTTTGTTCCTCACCCAAAAGATGTGGTGAAGCAGCTTTCTCTTCCCACTGTCATCTAATCAGAAATAAGGCCTAGATTGCCAGAGTCTCCTTATAGTTTTGTTCATTTTCTTTAGCAATCAGGGCTTCTGTGAATCTTTCCTTATTTACATGCAGGCATGGATAAACTATGCTTGCAGATCAGGAATGTAACTGATTTTGTAGTTACAAATGCAATATTGATCATTTCCCCCTCCATTAACATTTACTTCGCTGAAATATTTCTTTAAGTTTTGAAACAGCTTCTGTAACCTTCAGATAGGCAGCCTCCGTGAGGAAGATCCCCTGCATTGGACATGGGAATTAGGTCAGATCAGGCATAGGCAAATTCCGGCCCTCCAGATGTTTGAGACTACAATTCCCATCATCCCTGACCACTAGTCCTGTTAGCTAGGGATGATGGGAATTGTAGTCCCAAACATCTGGAGGGCTGGAGTTTGCCTATGCCTGGGTCAGATAGACACAATACACTCTTAATGAAAGAGCATGTACTTGACTCCCTGGTCTATCTACCTTTATAATCTATTTACCTGTAATGGATACCATCTTTAATAGATAACTTACCTGTGATAGATACTACAATCTTAAAGAATGGAGCAGCTTTCCCTATCAGTGGACAAAACACAGAAAGATGCAAGATTAGAGATGTGAATTGGCTTATTCTTTGCCTGCCCTGTGTTTCCCGAAAGAGAGGAGGAGCTGCCTCACACCATCAGCCTTTGGAGCAGCAGCACTGCACTGTTTCAAAGCAATAGTACCGCTCTTAGCTGTCTTTGCCTTATAGTAATGGGAGAGAAATTTTTGCCAGAGTCTGTGGAGTGCTGCTCCAGAGCTGATCTGATGCACTGCAACTCCATTCTGCCTGTTTAGGGGTGTGTGTGCACCCTGCATCTCACCCTTGCAAGAATCAGGTGCTTACACCTGATTAAGTACCAAATGTAATGGTAGCAAATGCAATGGTAGCAATCAACTGCAGTTTAACATGGCGGAATCAACCTCAGCTTTCTCCTGGGCTTGCACCAACCCACCCACCTCTCCTCCTCTTCCGTAGCTGGTTGATGTGTAGCAGCTGCTGCTTTTTAGAAAAAGAAAAGCGTAACCTAATTCTGAATGCCTTACAATTTCCCTCTTTTCTTTGAAATTCCAAATGGGCAGAAGGGAGAGGAGAGCCGTGGATCAGATCCAAGCAATTTTGAAGGAAACTGATTTTCTAGATCCATTCCGTTTGGGGTTTAGGCAGTTTTGGCACAGAAACTGTTTTAGTTATCCTGTATGATGACCTCTGCTGGTAGGCAGGGGAAAGGTGTCCCTGTAAATTCTCCTTGACCTCTCAGCCAGCAGCTTTCAATACCATCAACCATGGTATCCTTCTGGAGCAGCTGTCCAAGTTAGGGGTGGGTGGCTTTGCGATGGTTCTGGCCCTACTTGGATGGTTGTTTCCAGAGGCTGATGCTTGGGGGAGTGCTGTTTGGCCCTGTGGAGCCTTCAATATGGGGTTCCTCAGGGTTCAATTTTATCCTCTGTGCTGTTTAACGTAGAGGTCTGGAGGGTGGCAGCAAGAGAATGGGCCTTTTTGTGGAATGCTTTCTATAGGGAGGCTTGCCTGTCACCTTCATTATGTATCTTTAGGTGCCAGGTGATAATGTTTCTCTTCAACCAGGCCTTTGACTCATTAACATTCTATGTCCTTTTAAATGTGTTTGTGGGAGGGGGTATTGTTTTTTGTTTTTATTGTGTATTTAGCTGGAATTTGACCATCAATAACAGTGCCCGGGCAACTTTTGCATCTGGATTTTCACTTTTTGAAATCTGGCAACCCTATCCAGAGCCACCCAGACTCTTAACATAAGACTGCTTATGACCTTGCAGTCTTTGCAAAATCTATTATTGGCGATTAATTTTTGTGTTTGTTTTTTTATTATACCTGTACCTTGATACATTTCTGAAAATGTCAAACTGATGAAAAGGTGTGTGTTTCTTACCAAAGTTGATTTTTTGGGGGGTGGGGGTCAGAATTCATGAACAAAAAGTCATCTTTGGAAAGCAGAGCTGCTCTAATTTGTGACTTCGCCATATGAAACTTGATCAGAACATTCTCAGTAGGAAATTGGGGCTAGCAAATAGCAATCTGCCTCCATATATATGCAAAGATGTGAAGCATGCAACATTATTAGGGGGCCACTACCAGTCTGCCAGTATTTTGAACATTTGCTCCTTACCCTCTGAGTTGCCATTGATTTGATCTTTGCATTTGACCCCCTGATGCCTCCCAGTCCACCCCTTTCCTGCCTCTTCATTTCTTTAGGATAATGTCTTAATTGCTGCACATGCAACGGTATGATCAAAATGTAATATATTATTGCCTTTGTTTTGTTGCCTTTTAAAATGCTTGGCCTTGATGTTTTATTAATTTCTCATTTTATTATTTATTGCTTGGGGTATTAAACAGCACACAACATACAAATGAATGTAAATCATTCTTTGACATATAGACTTATCACTTATTTTTGTTTATAAATACGTTTGACATTTCTGCGTGCCCCCCACTTCTTCTTTGTCTTCTTCTTCTTGTTGTTCTTCTTCTTTTTTAATAGGTTAGAAAAAGAGAACATTCAGCACAGCTTTAGCAATGAGGCAAAGACCCGAGCCCTTCAGGCCCAGCAGAGAGAGCAGGAGCTGACACAGAAGATGCAGCAAATGGAGGCCCAGCATGATAAAACTGGTAGGTGGTAGGGAAAGATTAGAGCCTGGGCATTCACTCACAAGCCCGGCCCACGCCTGACTGTGAAATGACATCAGGAACACCTGTAACCTTTGGCTGGCCGAAGGGAGCAGATGCTAACTACACCGGAGATTCCGAATTACATATTAGTTAGCGTTTAAAAGAGAAAATGGAAAGTATTGCCCACTGTCTGTTGATTTCAGAGTGCTGCTCTCACATCTGTTGCACCATCTGGATTATGAGTTTATTTACCTGTGTTCAAGAAACGTAAAGCTGAGAGGGACCACAACAAAGTAGAAAAACAAAGGACTTGTTTTTGGCTGGATTTTCAGGCACACATGTTATATAAAGAAAATAGCATCAGAAGCTCTGCAGGAAATGCTCTGAGCTTACAGTTAAAGTCTCTTGAATAGCATTGAACAGTTCCCACAGTACACACATTATAGCTACTCTAAAAGCTTAATGAGTTTGCTTCAGAATCCAAACTGGAGAAAAGCTTTAGCCATTAATCGGTACTTAATTCACTGTCGCAGCTGGATGTAATTCACTGGCTCCAAATTAATATGTTCCTTTATTTAATCTTTGCAGGCTCACACATTTTTAGAATTTGTATTTTCTGTCCTCCTCAAATCTAGATGGATCTTTAATCCTTTGCAGCAGTGAGAGAGAACCTGAAGAATGCAGTTTAAATTGATAAATATAGGACATTGGTAACAGCTGGCAGCATGACTGGAACCTGATGTGCTTCAATATTTTGGCACAGCTGACCTGTAATTCTTTACCTTTTATAGTATGAAAGTAAAGCGGATTTACAGAATTGTTGACAGTCAAAATATTATGTGTGGTCCTTTTATATCGGGGGTGGACAAATTGCTTTTCAGGTCCACATCAAAACTATATCATGAGCTGTAGAATGGCAGCAAATTTGCATATTTAAGCTGTAAGTAGCATTGCTCACAGAAAATATGCATAAATTGCATATTTTAAAAACCTGAATTCTGAAACTACAGTTGGTGGATGTGTTGCTGTTGGCAATTCAGTGAGCCCCCAGTAATGCGTTTAAATGTGTGTACAGACTATAAATGTTGCTAATCAGCTTAGCAAGACGGGGAATCATATTTGTGTATTTGCCTTTTTAGATCATATCCCAACCCTCCCATAATCTCTGTATCTGGCTTAACCAACTATTTATCATTTATTGAAAGAGAGGAAAAATAACAAATAGCTCCAGTTCCCACTGAAAAGCATATAAATTCCCCCAAAGTAGACAGTGACTTTGGGGGAGTTGCTCATGACCTGGGTGATCAGGCCCTCACTTGATCCCTTAGCCAGGGGAGAGAGGGAAGCTAGATCCCTGGTGGGACAGAGGACTGGCCAGATTGGAGGTAGCAGTCAGTTATCAGGGCATTCCAGAAATTCAGGACTGGTGTCAAGCATGGGGAGGCCGTCCAAAGTGGGTGTGGTCCACTAAGCAGGGTCATAAGGCAAAGCCAAGGTCAAACACAATGGAGTATTCTAAAGCTAGGCAGCATTCCAAGAGCAAGGTATCAGCAGAGGCCAGCAACTCAGGGTTCGTTGGCATAGGAAACAGGAGCAAATTGCTGGGCTGCACAAAACTAAGTGCCTGTGTTGTTCCAGCAACAAATAGGCTTCAACTGGGCTCTTATGCAACCTGGTCACCCAGACCTAGGTGCAGCTGGGAAGCCCAGCCTGCCAAGATTTCCTCTTTCCAGAGAGGTTCCTTATTCCTGAGGAGCCTAGTTCTTCTGGGCTTTCAAGTATGCACAATAGACGACTTCCTGTGCCTACATTTTCTGATGTGATGTTCCCTATGGATTTCTGAGCCCAATTTCAGGTATTAATGTTGCAGTATAAAACTTAAAACAGCTTGAGACCCAAATAACTAAAGGAGCACCTTTGCTTATAGGTGCCTACCTAAATCTGCAGTCCTTCCCATTGTCCCTTTGTCAAGTAAACTGCATAGTGTGATGGCATGGAATGAGGTTTCTGTGGTAGCACTCCATCTCTGAAACAATCTCTCCCTGGAGATGTGCCTGGTCCCAACATTTCTCACTTTTCAGGGCTTTTTAAAGTGCTCTTGGTGATGGTGGAGAGTGTGTGTGTGTAGTTATTTTAGTTTATTTTAGTCTTCTGATGCTTCATTGTGCTTATGTTATCCACCTTTTGAGGGAATATGGTGCTGGTGGTTTTACGATTTATATGACTATTACTTACGTTACTGTTTTATGCTGCTGGTTTTGTTTTAATATTATTGATAATTATAATGTCGTTTTATCGTTATAAGCTGCTTTGGTTTCTTTGATAGAGAGCAGGGTATTTTAGATAAATATTGATTGAATGAATATATTTGTCCTTTCATTGTTCAGAGAAATTTCTTGTCCTGGACAGTTTCTGCTTAGGTACTCAATGACTAGCTGCATTGCCCTGGAGCACATGTGTGACCTTGTCTAGCTCCTGGGATGCTTCTCAAAGTATACCATTCTTAGAACAAGATTATCTTGCCTTTCTTAACATCCTTTGCTAGCCTGGATTGCTAGCTCAACACTGAACTGACAGCCATCTCAGTTTCAAACTGTGTTCTGTTTGAATTATGCAGCAGTGACACCAATCCTAGCAGGCCAATCTTTGCTAAAAATGAATGCAATTATTTGCTTTATGGCTTCATTCTACACAAGTGTATTAAGGGAAAGGGACTATTTGTGGCATCTCTCTGCATTCTATACAGCACTTCTGCGTATAAGCAGCTGTGACTTGGCATAGATGTTCAGAACAAGTTGTCATTTACTTTTTCCTTCCTTATCTGTAAGATCTCACTTAATTTGCTTGCTTTGGAGAATAGTATTTTGTGCCCATTGATATTTCTAATATGAATAACAAGAAAGGAAAAGTTAAGACATATTGAACACAAATATCTCATCTCAAATGCAATTATATTAAATTGCTTCACAGATGAAGGAACTAGAATTTTATCTGCTATTTAATTGAATACTCTGGTTTGTTTTGTTTTTCATATAGAGGTCTGATCATAGTGCTTGCCGTATTCCATATTTCCCCTTGACATTTCATTTGATGAATTAGTGAATTAAAATCTTCAATAATTTAAAACTGAAAAATTCAAGATTTTTGCTATGTTGTGAGGTACAAAATTTCAAAGCTCAATTCTCTCCCCACCCCAACCTATACCCATGGCCTTTTTCACATATCTTGTCTCCATTTTCCGGTGTTTCCCATGTCTACAGTAAATTGGAGCTGTTGGCTAACAACTGCAAGAAGCTGTTCAGTTAATAATTTCAGTTACATATAAGGAAAATATTATATTTGCACTTTCTGAAGATTGGTCAAGTTATGGTGTCTTCATACCAACTTTCTGTACCTTCAGTTTTCTCTTAAAGACATCTATATTGTGCTGTACAAGTCCTCCTTAATGAATGTTTCAAATATACTTCCGCATATTCTGTGATCCATCCAGCAAACTAATATGACTCAAATGATAGCTTTTGTCTATCTCATGTGGAAGTTAGTTTGATTACATTAGCTGGTAGAACATGAAATATATTTTCTAAGGTATTTGACCTCTAGACCACTGTAGTTTGGTGCTATGCAGATGTCCTTGGCAAGGGACCATATAAAAGAATTTAGCAGTCAAAAGAGGAATGTGTTTTGGTATCACTGGAATAATCTTTGTAGTACTATAGAACAGTATATAGTGACAGACCATAATATGAACATGTTAATGATTATCTGCTGTGAAACTGCTCATAAGATTCATGTGGAACTACAGAACACTTAGTCATTGTAATTTCTCCTAAAATCCATTACATTTAGGACTGCTGGAAAGTGTGTAATGTGTGACAATATATATGCATCCTGTTTCATACACAGAATTACTTTCCATGTAGGAATTTTGTTCTGATGGTAAATTTCTCCACTTTCACCGACCCTTTCACCAGGGATTGGTTATTTTTCTTGAGCTCCAAAATGTTGGGTTGTTTTGGGGGAGGGGTTTGTGGGGGATGATGGTCTTATCATTGCAGGAGCTTGCTCTGTATTTTTCCTTTGTTTAAAACAGTAGAAGCAGTGCATTGTCCTCACTAAGTCATTCCAGAGGTACTCTGGGAAGGCAGCATGGTGGCCAGACCACAGCTGGAAATTGGAATGGTATTCAACTGTCAGCAGACCCACTGAAATTAATGGACATGACTTAATTGGGCCTGTCAATTTTAATAGGTCTACTCTGAGTAAAATTGAATTCCATCCATCATGACCATAGCTACTGCCACCAGACCCTCAAAAAAAAAGGGAGCACAAACCATTTCTGCCCTCAAACCTTCCCGCAAAAATCACAGTCCCTATTCTTGGGATTTCAGGGTGTTTCACTACAGCTCAAGTTTGAAGCAACGTTAAAATGGGAAGGGGGAGACAAAAAAATTGGTAGGGGGCTTCTCTCACACAGATTTACTCATGGGCAAGTAAGATCAAGATGCTCAGGAACAGGCTTGAGCGTGTGGTTTTCTTACCACTTTTGAAGGGACTTTCGTATTATGACTTTCCATAGAGATTCGGATGTCAATTTCTTTAATTGAAAACTAGGTTCTAGTGTTAATATAACACTTTAAAATGTTCCTTCTAAAATGTCCTGTATTACATTTCAAACTTTGTATACGTAGAATATAACATATGCACATTTTTTAATGTATGCTTTCTAGTTAATGAACTGGATTCCTTGCTGAGTTCGCAGAATGCACTCTTATCAAAATTAAAAGAAGAGTGCTGCACGTTGGCAAAGAAGCTTGAAGATATGACAGAAAAAAACAGGTAGGCAACATTTTTACTCTTTGTACACAGAGCTACTTGCAGGCTTACGACTTACAAGTAGCTAATAGAAATTTGTGAGTTGATAAGCCATTTTTACAGCACTTACATACTTCAGTTTTAGTATTGTGTTTCTAGTCTTCCATATTCCTCAACATAGACATTAAATGTGAACAAAATCACATACACAACCAGGTCTGCCCCACTGGTGAGGTAAGGTGAGCACTGGCAGATGAAGGTGGGTGCAGTCTGCCCCGGGTGTCTTTCCTGAGAGGGGGGGACATCGCCGCTCCATCCCCCTGGGCCGCTTGTGGCACACACACCCCCGGGACGCTGGCGGCACGCTTCATCCCTGCTGGCTGCTAGCCCTGCCCCCAGGTGCATGGCATGCTGGCTCTGCCTCTGAAGGTGAGGCAGCACCTGCCTCACCTCCACCACCACCAGCACTGGTTTCCAAGGAGATCTTGCCAAAATCTTATAAGATCTCACGAGTGCACAAGGTCTCGCAAGATTTTGGCAAAATCTGTCTGGAAGCTGGCACTGCTGTCAGTGCTTTGTGGATGCCACTGCACAATGCAGGTAAGAGAGCCATGGTACCAGTGGTGTGGCAGCAGTGGGGGGGGGGGAGTGAGGGAGGCAGCATGTTCCCATTTCTCCTCAAGCAACCTGCTGCCCCTGTACACAACCAATGTGGGCAGACTACTTTCTTTTTCCATTTCTGTTCACTTAGGTCTTAGGATACAGTAACTTGATCTTTTAATGTAGTATGAGCCACAGGAAAGCCCTCAGACAAATATCACATTCACACACCTGTCACATTAGAGCTACTTACCGCATGCCCAGCTTATACACAATTAGTGTTAATATACATGTGGCACTAATGTAGCAACATGTATGTGGACAGGTGCATGTGGTAACTGTATTCAGACATGATAAAGACTACATAGACTGCTGACACATCTTTAAATCAAATCTTATATAGTGGTGCCTTTGAGGTAACCTTTCCTCTTTGCCCACTTATTGGTGAACATATAATCCCATCTTGCAAAAAGTAGGTGCTTATATCTGATAAATGCCAAATGTATTGGCTGCATTGAGGCATCACAATAAATTATGGCCTATCTTGACAAACAGAAGCCTAACCTCCTTCTGGGCTTGCGTTGTCCCACCTCTCCTCTCTGCCTCCAGCATAGCTGGCTTGGGATATGGCACCTCACCAACGCTCCTAAGAAGTAAGAAGGTAGACACAGCTTTGGGTCTGAAGCCCAGACATTTGTTAATATGCTTCAGAATGTAGTAAAAGATGCCCTTCTCTTCAAGTAGTGTGTGTTGAGATCTGTCCCCAAACTCTGATTTGTATGGAAGACTCACATGGTTATAATAGTGTGCTATTGTTGAAAGAGCATTTCACTTTCTAATTGAGAGACAATATGGTGAGTTTCATTGCTCCAGTTAAATGATATATATTGAATTGTAATTGTTTACACTTGCTCCTTAACCATCACAGTTTATTCTCTGATGCTGACTGGGTTTGTACCTATTTTGCTCTGTAGCTGTTGGCATTAGCACAACACTTTCTTCAAACTATACAGGGCACCCGTGGACACCCAGAGCTTGGAGCAGGCCTAAGAGATGATGCTTAAATGCTTGCTAGTTTTTTTCAGCAATTGTGTAGCTTCTGCCAGGAAGTTTCAAAAAGAAAAGCCCTTTTCCAATTATTTGTAGTGTAGTACAGATAGATAGGTTTTGTGATTTCCCCTCCCCCCCAATCACAGGTCTCACCATTTTTCTGATTGAGCTTCACAAATTAATGCCTATTAAATACTCACTTACTTTGGGTAAGATTGCCTAGGATTGGAATTAAAGATGCATAAAACATTTTGAGGTCTTCTGTTGAATATACTTAGGTTGCCTGAAGATGAATTTACGTTATGGAAGTGGGTTGCAAACATGCTTTACTGTGTTCGGATATTACCTTAAGTAATGTATTAATAAAGCTAGCCTTCAGGCGTAATTGGTGTGTAGAATCTATAATAATAAAAATTGTAATGAGCGAAAATTTCCCTACATATATGGGCGGATCTTGGAAGTGCTTGATTTACTCCCCTCAAGCTGCACAGTTGACACTGTGTACACATGCAAATGTAAAAATACAGCCCTACAGTGTTCTCGGTATAATTTTGCTTACCCTCTTTTTGGGTTGTCCCAAAGTTTGAGGCTTGTGGATTGATGCTTGACACTGCCCATTGTGTATTTGTGATTTGCGTTTTGTAATTAAGGGCAACAATGGGAGTCCATTGGGTCTCGTTATATATAATGGTTGGTTTAATTTGTTTCACTTCTATCTTGTTAATTGTAAATTGATCATTAAGATTTGAATTCTAATCTGTCACTAGGGTTGAGTGTATTGAAGCTAGAGAAATGATCCTGTTTTTAATCACTGATGATGAGAAACAAATTTTACCATTTCAGTGCATATTGCTGTCCATATATTTTAACACTATATTTTATGGTGTTATAAATATTGTTAAATGACTTTTAGTGTAGTTTTACTGTTTGACTATAATGGATAAATTATATTACCATTTTGGCAACAGTAGGCATCCAACTGTGTGAGTTTAATTGAAGTAAAGAACACGCACCCGGTTGAACTGTTTTTCTGCATGTTTGATTGGTGCTCTATTAGAAGACGGCAGTCATTACACTGAAGCACTGTGAGGAAAACATTTGCCCAAGGTAGAGAATCAGAATGCCAGACATTCTGAAAAAACCTACTACGGCAGTGATACTCAGCCCCTTTTCTGAATTATCGAGTTTTCAATTAAAATCAATAGAACCTACCTCACATTTAATTATAATACTATGAAATGGTCAGATTCGTGAGAAATGAAAAAACCATTCTAATGGACAAAGCATCTAGGTTGGAATTTCTATGCTGCCTACCAAAGGTTGGAGGAAGAAAGCTGGCCATGAGCCACCTTTGTACATATCCTAAATGTTGAATTGATTTAAAGGATAGTGCAGCTTTTTGACAGCATCAGATTTACAGGGGCTTCCTGATGTTTTATTTTGCAATACTACTACAATCGTACTATTTCCATTGCTCTGCTTAGAATTCAGACAAGCTTGTTGGGCTAGTAGCAAAACCTAGAGTCCTAAGATAGACTTTACCCAAGGAATCCCTTCTGCAATTAATCGGTTGGACCCAGCTCTGTCCCTGGGGGTCCAAGTAACCTCAGTAGCCAGAAGCCACTTTTACCAGTTCTGCCTGGTATGACAGCTATGACTGTTTCTGAACTGGGAAAACTTGGCCTCAGTAGTTCAGGCACTGGTGACTTCAAGACTGGATTACTGCAGTGCACTCTATGTGGGGTTTCCCTTGTCTTTGACCTGGAAACTGCTGCTAATGCAGATTGCTGCAGCATATAACAACTCTGCTAGTTGCTGAGGTGCTGGTTGAACCCAGCTCAAGTTCAAGGTGTTACTGTTGTTACATAAAACTCTTAATGGCATGGGATCGCCTTGCCCAGCATGTGACCACTCAACTTCTTTCATCTGTGAAACTGGTACTATTACAGGTGCCACACAGTACTTGTTCTGCCCTTCTATGAAATCTTTCTTTTATTCTGGGTGTACCTACGCTTTGGAACTCCCTGCCTAAGGGCATAAGGTAGAGACATTCACTATGTTCTTTTTGGTGCCTGCTTAAAACATTTTTGTTTAGGCAAGTATTTCTAGACATGTAGGTGCTGATGTGTTTTAACCTTTTTGTTTGTTTGTTTGTTTGTTTACTGCTTATTTTAACTGTCTTTATGGATAATGTTAATATTTCTTAGAAACTGCTTAGAGGTTTTGTTACTCTCCAGCAGTATATAAATTTTGTTAGGTAAAAGAGATGATGAGAAAAGAAAAGAGATGCTTCATGTTGAACAAATCTATAGAAATCAATGTATTTGCCTGTACTGTTTTATTAACATTTGTATAAAGCCTTTTTGTAGTGTGGACTTCTTGCAGTGTCCAGTCCATTTCTTGTGCATTTATGGAGGTGTAAGTTCACAGAGTTCAGTGGAAATTATTTCCCATTAAATATTTAGGATTGCAGTTTTGCAATAGCTTTATAATATCCTCTTCTTGCTTGGTGGTTCATATCAAAGAATGTATAGTATTGTATAAGGTGAGTTTCATGCATTACTAATAGCCATCTTTCTTGTAACCCATCTGCCAAAAAAAATTCCATACAATTTTTAAGCCAACTGCTGCAATACTACTTATTTTAATTTTAAAAGTAAGAAAGATGCTTCCCATGCAGATGTATACTGGACTTTTGTTAAGGTGGTTGCACACTGCAGGATAAAATCTGGCAACATCCATCATCAGTGTGCTTAATTCTCCAGGTCTGAAGTCAGCCAGCTTACTCAGGAAAATGAATATGTCCATGACAGACTTGAGAAAATGCTGAAAAGGAATGATGAATTGGAGGAGCAGTGTATCCAACATGGAAGGATGCATGAGAAAATGAAGCGAAGGTAGGAGGATTTAGTAATTTATCCCTATGTGGGTCTACAAACCTTGTGGTTCCTTTGATGTGCATGTTCTTAAGCTTCAGGAACAAGACCAAACTACAGTGGTACATACGCTTCAGGTTACATATGCTTCAGGTTACAGACTCCACTAACCCAGAAATAGTACCTCGGGTTAAGTACTTTGCTTCAGGATGAGAACAGAAATTGTGCTTTGGCGGCGCCGTGGCAGCAGGAGGCCCCATTAGCTAAAGTGGTTTTCAGGTTAAGAACGGACCTCCGGAACAAATTAAGTACTTAACCCGAAGGTACCACTGCATTTTAGACTATGATTTCATTGTGTAAATATTCTGGGTATTGTTTCAATACACATGCACGGTATATTAAGCATGTATACATGCACCCTATATTAAACATGCACTTAAAAAAACCCCCAGTTAATTTCACACACGATCTTAGGCTGTTTATATTGTCTGCACTGACACTCATATGAACGGTCTAAATATATGTTATTCAAATAAGCTTGTGTCCTATTTAAGCAGCAAGTATGTTTGTGTCCTAATCCTTCATTAATTGGCATATTTTTCACTGGCTTTTATTTTAAACCTTTTTTACTTCCTTATCCGTAAAACTTGAAATCTCATTTAAATATCAACAGAACAGCAGTTACCTTTTAAATAAAATGTTTGAATATAGAATGTATTTTAGCTCCCTACCCAGTTGAGGCTAGCATTGATTTTGATTCTAGGTCTAGGTGCCACACTCTCCTTAGCAATAACGGAGTAGGGAATGGGGTCAAGTCTTCTTCGTTTCCCTTGTTCCTCTTGCTGAGAGAGAGGTGGTAATTTGTATGGTTACATCTGACCCAATGTAATACTACAGAGCAGTCACTGCTGAAAAGTTGTAGAGCACTTGAAATTTTTCTGATGGAGGCTATTCTCTCCCATCTCACGTGATTCCGCTTTGTATTCAGTTGCAAATCAAAGCTCTTGCTTGTTGCCTCAGAGGCAGCTGACCTTCTCTAACATGCCATCTGCAATCACCCCTACATCTGCTTAAGAAATGCCACTTCTCTGTTTTTTTCCTCTCGCTGAATTTCTAAATGTCTTACTTGCTGTTTATGAATCTTGTCGTTTATAATCCTTTGGCCCAATTTCCAGTCCCCTTGGTAATATTCATATCAGAATCTATTAAGTTGCATTTTAGAAGTCAAATGCTTTATAAATGGTAACGTGTTTGCATTTGCTGATTTCGTAGTTTTATCTACATTATGGACTGTTTCCTTATACATCCATTCTCTGCTAAACTACCATTTTCTCAAAGGAGGGACTCAACTGGATGCCAGAGGAGACTTTCCTGCTTTATTGTTTTTTTTCATGTCGTGTCCCACAGTTTCAATCTCAAAGGACCCTCAAAATGGCTTTCTCTCAGTTTCTGCTTGTCTTGAGTGTCTGTCTTTTCTGTTCGCGGAAAGAGAGATTCAGACCTTTCTCTTTCTTCAGGTTTGTTGAGGAGAAGGAGTAGGACTTTCTCCTACCCAGTGAAACGGTCTCCCTCGGAAAGTGGTGGACTCTCCTTCCTTGGAGGTTTTTAAGCAGAGGTTGGATGGCCATCTTTCATGGATGCTTTAGCTGAGATTCCTGCATGCAGGGGGTTGGACTAGATGACCCTTGGGGTCCCTTCCATCTCTAAGATTCTATGATTCTATCAATGTCTTTAAGGCCTACCTATGTATTCACATCAGAACCAGCCACGTTCGTGTATGTTGGGAGGCACTTTCAATCCCAAGCAGGCTTTTGACGCCCCTGAATGGCAGTTTCTGACAACTTCTTCACATTGTTAACACCACCAAATAAAACGCTTTGAAGTGCCAACCTATTGGTTAGAGCTTATCTAAATTTACCATGTGAATGAGAATCCCCCCCAGAGTGCAAGTTCTTCCAAGCTGGTGACCTTGTATCTTTTTCTTTTATTTTTAGAGCATAGTAACAACACTCTGCATTTTTCACCACTGTACTAAAATATATACTTGGCCAGCGTATGAAACATCATTACCATGGCAGTGCCTTAGGGCCGAGAGAACAGCTCAGAAATATGATAGACAGACAGGGTTTTAAAATGCTAAGTCCTCTCTTGTTTCTTATCTCTGAATGAGGCATGCTCATGTATTTATAATTAACACAGAAAAGTTATATAGAACAAAAATACGGTTTAACAACCATACCTTTTCATATAGAATAGCCACTCTTTGCTCAGTTACACTAGCTTGTCATCTTCCTGATGCTTGTAACTCCAAAACACAGTTTTAGAGTCTATGTAGCTCCTTTCACTTGCTATATACATCTATGTGCATGGTTAATATTTTTTAAAGGGTTTTTAACACATACTTGATCTCTTTCAAGTACCACAGTTCAAAGGAAAAGCCTAGAGGATTGGCAGTTTGGGGCAGATGTGTGTCTATTCCTCAGGCATCAGTGGCTGTATGTTAACATTTTTTTAAAAAAATGTTACAGCCATCTGTGTAACAAGACAGCAGAAATCTGCACTTGCCTGCTACTATAAATAAGAAGGAATCTTGTCTGGCTTCAGAGAAGTTGGATTTATAAAGACTTGATGTGTCAAATCCTAATTGTGTACCATGCTGCTGGGATGTGTTGGCAGCCAAGAACCTGAAGTGGTCTTCCCTTCAGACATTTTAGGGAAGCACAGCATTTCTGGAAGCTGTCTCTCTAACGTATGTGTGATTTGAAGGTTGTGGTTTTTTTAATGTGCACTTCACCCAACGGAATTGCCTGCTTTCCCCCTTCCTTCCTTCCTTCTCTCTTTCTCTTCCCCCTCTCCTCCCACATAGACAGTATATATGACTAAACAACACTATTGTGAACTTTAAATCTTCAAGTGACCCATTTAATTCAGTTGAGTGAAATCATGGTGAAAGGGTGAATGGTTGCAATTAACTTACAGTTTCTACAAACTTTGTAGAAATTGTGCAGTCAGATCTGTTTAGAAAATGTGCTGTGGATTAACAACCAGTTTGTTTTTACTTTTTAATTGGCTTTCATTTTTTAAAACCCTAGGGTATGATCCAAACCACTATGTGTTCAGCTCCCACACAGATGATTCCCAAACGATCAATAAAATCTGGTTTTCTTCCTATTGTGCCCCTGTGTACACACAAATGGGCATGAAAACAATCAGCACAATAGGGTACTAGAATAAATGGGCAATTTGTGTACATCTCCCATATTTTCGTTCATCTCTCTTTCCCATCTTGACATAAGTTACTTGTACTCTGGGACCCATGCCTGGATGTAGACAGAAGGAAAGGGGTGTGTAAAAGAGTCTTCGTGTGAGGGTCTGGCACCTGTGGTGATCTGGATTACTTTACAAAACAGCTTGAATTATCTGTCATGTGCAGCAGGTTCAGTGTGGTTTCTGCACAGAGATGGATGCTATGTTTGTGAAAAGGTTCTGCCCAACACACAAGAGAAGAACACTTATACTTCTATCAGTTTTATGGCATTGCATAGATGGATATTGTTGTAAAAAAATGTTTTTCCTAAAGCACTAGTTTATACCTAGAAATAAATACAGCTATCTACCTATATGAACGTTTTGCCGCACATGAATTGCTAGACTGAATGGGTACATTATTGTCCTGAATTTCATCATACAGATTTTTTAAAAAAAGCTATTTACAACAATCTTTGGTGCAGTATGACCAACTATTTAGCAACTTACGTTCAAAATAAGCAAATAATGAATGATGTAGAAATACATTGCCTGCAATCTTCACATTTCTGAATGTTTAGAACAGGTAGCCAACATAGTACCCTCTAGATGTTGCTAGACTACAACTCCCATTATACCTGACCATAGATGATGCAACTGGAGTTGATGGGAGTTGGAGTACAACAACATTTAGAGAGTACCACATGGAGTACCTCTAGTTTACTATATAAAGAAAGCAATGTGCAAATCCATTTATCGGATTGTGTACAATAAGTATATAAGACTATTTAGGTCATGCTTGAAAAAAATTATTTGGCAAACATTCTTGATCAGTTTCACACCATTGTTTTTCCAGCTGAAGCATGGCTAAGTCATATGATGAGTTTATTTATGCCTCACAATGTCAGCCACAGGTAGAAGAACTTAAAGTCACAAGTAAATGACATCCTTCATATTCTTAGGTACCTTTCAAACACTGGAGCTGCTAATAAGATGCCTGTGAAAACAGGATATTGTTGTGTTATGAGCGCACACTCTCCTATTTTAAATTCTGCTTAAGCCATACATTTTTTTCTTTTTAAAGTATTTCTGCCATGGCCAAGATTAGAATTTGGTACCAAAAAATCCTGTTTGCATGGCCCAAACTTTCAGTATGTTTTATCTTAGGGAAAGCTTCAAGCTGCTAATCTAAGATCAAAGGATTGAGTCAATGCAACATAATCCTAGCAGATTTATCAAAGAAAATTGTCTTAAGTAATACTAGATAACAAGAACAGCATGATATATCCCATAACAGGCTTCTGTTTCAGAAGCTACTCAGGAAAATACCCATGGACAGAAGTTACCGTCACAGAAAATACCCTCCTTTTACTTTCAGATCCATATTGTGTAATAATTCTTAATGGGACTCTGCTTCTTCTAATAACATATTTCTAGTGGTGTGGTTTGCCTTTTAATGGTGTATATTTAAATACCTGTCTAACTACATCTGTCTCACTTTCCTTCATTCCATATTATGGATGCATCTATTTTTTAAAAAGCTTGATTTCTGTGTAGAATCGCTGCAATATTTCAGAATGCACAGTACGGGGTTTTGCAACTACCAACCAGAGAAAGATCCCGCACAGCAGCAAATACCCACTTTGGGTATTGAATAATAATTGAGATCTTTGTGCCGGCCTTACATGAACTCCAAATAGCAGTAAAATCTAATTACCAGCCCATTTGGTAAAGTACTTTAAGTGGTACCACATTTGCTTGAATTGCCATGCTCTCTGTGACTTAAGGTATTTGGAATTCTTTTTTTCAAAGAGAGAGAACTTAAAATAAGTACAGATGAGTATGCCACAAAGCATTGTTAAAGAAGTATTTCCAAAATTACATATTTGCTATTAATAGTTATACTGGGGACTCAAATGGAAGTCATGTTGGGAAGCAACACAAATTAATTTTACCTCTACCGCATGGGTAGGCAAACTAAGGCCCGGGGGCCGGCTACGGCCCAATCGCCTTCTAAATCCGCCCCGTGAACAGTCCGGGAATCAGCGTGTTTTTACACGAGTAGAATGTGTCCTTTTATTTAAAATGCATCTCTGGGTTATTTGTGGGGCATCGGAATTCATTCATTTTTATATTTTTCAAAATATAGTCTGGCCCCACACAAGGTCTGAGGGACATTGGACCAGCCCCTTGCTGAAAAAGTTTGCTGACCCCTGCTCTACCTCATTTAATTCAGACAAAGGTATTTGTGCATTGTGGCTACTTAAAGCACTAGGTAGGAGAACACAGGAGGAAGGAAGTTTTCGTTCCAAAATGTGCATTTTATCAGGAAGCTTACCTGGAGATACTTTTGGCAACTAACAACATTTGATATCTACAAGAAGCCAGCTTGCTTATAGTTGTAATCTTGTATTCATAGGAGCCAACTCCTAGGGCCCAAGATCCCTCCCCCCATAAAATGTTTGAGGGAGCCAGGCCAAATCGATCGGTATCGCCATTCAAATGGTGTGTGTACACAGCATCTTGTGATTATGTGGGGTAGTGCTTACCTGCCCCCCCCCCATATTTTATTCAAATTGGCACCCCTGCTTGTCTTTACTACTGCAACATGCATTCTGCTTTATTGTTTTGGGAATCATATTCTATGAAGCAATCTAATTCTCCGCACAGTTGTTTGGAGAGTATAGTATCAACATAGCTTTAAGTTTACCAAGTCTATAAATCATGATTGTGCACCCATTGGAGGGATATTTCTTTTATGCTGTTGAGGCAATTGCTAAGGAGACATGTATTTTTTTCTGTGACCGTTCATATCGCTTAGTTCTTGGGTGCATCCAATCACTCTACGGTGGGAAACATATATTGATTCACTTACAGTGACTTAGCAAATTCACCTGTTGGTTTGTCTTTTGTGTCCAGCCTCATTCTCAATCTAATCACCTTTTGTTTCAGGTAAGACCGCCTCTTAGGAAACTACATTTTAACTCTGTGTCACTAAGATACCATTTTGTCCTAATTTGGTGAGTTCTCTCCTCACGTATGGCTGTATTCAGCTAAATTGTTGGGCTAGCGGAAGTTGGGAGCAAGGATTCCCCAGAGTGCAATAAGAATTATGCTTTCTTCTCCCCATGCGTGTCCTGTGACATCCTCAAATCTGCTCTGGAGTGTTGGGGGGACTTTCCCCCCCCAACAGATGTAGGTGGCGCAAAGCAGGAGGAGAGAGGGGGAATTCTGTTGCACAAGGAAAATCCTTGTGCTGATGGAACCTTAGCTTTAACCCACAAGTTGGTCAATGCTTTACGTCAAATGGTGCCTCCAAGGGAGTGAACTTCCCCAATCTCAGCTAGAAGCTAGATCCCTTGCCTTTCCTTCCAAACCTCATTCCCTTGCTTCATTTAAGGTTAGTTGGGAACTGTAAGAGGACATAAATTTTTGGAACTGCAATCAGTGAGTTCTAAAAAGCCCAAGTTACTTGCTTAGAGACCGTTTGGTGTGGAGTTCAAGGGCAGCCTACGAAGACCAGCATCCCTTTGGTCCCACGCCATCATGGCCAGTATCCTGGACTATCCATGCTACACTTTTCAATATTTTCAAACTGTGGCATACATTCACAAGCTTGCTGCCTGGTTGCTCACAGAGCTCCAATATACAGCCACAGCCCTAAACACTTTGGTCACAGTGAAATGTAGGAAACCTCCTTTCATTCTCTTCTCCTTGGACCAGCTAATTATTAACTTTGCTGTTTTTCATGGTGACTGCCATTTTAATTATGTGAATAAACAACTCTTATATTTTTAAACCCTAAATTGGGACTTAGTTGTTTTTGCAAATTCCCCCAAGGAAAGGGACAATGTAACATCCCCCATGATGTGCAACAATCTCCAGATTGAAGAACCCAAATATTTTATGGTTTCAGTTATTTAGAAAAATATATAAACTGGTTGAAAAACCCTTTAAAATAATATAAGCAATTTTCAATAAAGCAAAATCAGCAAAAGGTCAAAATCAGTATTTATTTCAGGGTTGCTGAAATAACATTATTAAGCAGGCATCTAAAACAGTGTAGTGAGAGTGCCTGCCTACTATTACTGTCCTCCTTTGTTCACCCATATAACTTACATATTAGAGTAGCATACGATTAGGGACATGTTCAGGCATGATAACAATTGGGAAAACCATTAAGCTGAGAACACAAAGCTTTCTGACTGTCTTAGATCCTTAACTTTTTTTGGAATCTATAAGTTATTGTAGCCTGTACTATATTTAGTATATACTGTGAAAATCCAGTACACTGCATTCATTTTCAGTGTGCATCTTTGTTGAACATTACAGATAAGCAATTTAAAATGGTGAAATGAGGCATGTGTCAAAAGGTCTTTAGAAGACTGGATATGAGCAAAGTTGGCTGTCAAAATGTCAGTCCCATGTCAACAAATCTACAGGATACGAAAGTGCCTAGCATCTTGTCCTCTTTGGAGTTCCATTTTTTTAAATAGCAGTGAGGCATTCCGGGAAGTGCATTTCTGGGGATTATTGCATTTCTCAGGTGGCTGAAATCACTTGCCCTTCAGCCTTATGCCTTGCAACACCACCCGAGGCAAGCAATAATCCCCAGTAAAGCAGTGCCTGCCTTGTCTTATTGCTTAATTATTATACCTATTTAATGCTACTTAGAACATTGTCAGCTGTTGAGAAAAGGTAATTATCACTAGTCAAATGACACACACTTTTTTGGCTGCCTTACGGATACACATTTTACTGGTACCTTGATACATAATGAAGCCTGATAGCAAAACTTTTGCTTGTCTCTTCTTCAAGCCCCAGCTGTTTCCCTGCTAAATTCATCCCATCTGTCTCCCCTTCCGTAAGGCTGTAGGCAGTATAGCATAAGTACAGAAGCAGTTCAGTGCTATTTTGGATAAACATAGCTGAAATTTGAATCCTTGCCATTTGCAATGCACACATTTTGTTTTACTGCTGTAAAGAGAGCTGTCAAAATAGAAACTACATGGATAATTCACTGAAATGCAGTCAAATGTAAGGAAGATTAAAATGGAATACACACAGAGACACACACTTAGGGTCAATTTTTATATAAGTTGACATGGGATTGATGACCTCTTAACAGCATTGAATCTTAAACACATGTCATTGTATGCAACAAGCACTCCAATCCAGTGACCAGTATAAGAGATCTTATCTCCAGAGTCCATTGATTTACAGTAATATATTATACATGGAACAAGTAATTTACAGGGTTTTACTTGGGCATTCCCTCATGGGCTTTCCCTCAATCCATGGTTTGGGGTAATTGTAATCAATCCAAATCAAGAGTAGGATCCATATTTCCATATCTACATTGTTGTCTTGGAAATTGGAAAGTATTGCAACTACTGTTTATGCAACCACTTTCATTTCATTTCCCAGCAGCTGTTACATCACATTGTTTTTTGTGGAGTTAACTGGATGCCCCTGAAAGAGAATTAGCTTAATGACTGGGTAATATTATTAATACAGTGAGTAATATTCTGTGTTTGGATATTTATTTTTAGTGAGAAAGAAGGCGACTCAGTAGCCACTGAGATATGGTCTACATTCCTGGAAGCAGAGGTTCATATTTCTATTTCTTTCTAAATACGTAGATTCTGTAAAACTTAGGAACTCTTAGCAATATGGCTATCAACTCTCCATTTTTTCATTTCTTCACATCAGTGTCCATGAAGCAACCACACAGTTTCTCTGCATATGAGTAAACTCATCATTTTTTTCCTACCAGGATATCTTGTCAATATGATGGTAAATTTGTATTTTTGAAGCTCATTGGTAATATTTTTTACTTTTCTCTGCTTGAATCGACTCTGATCAGGTACTACAATTTCCGTTTATCATCTGACCTTTTCATTCCTTTTCAGTATACATTTCTGGGCTTTTGAGGAGGATCAACGGATCCAGTTTACCCAAGATAATGACTTTTTGGCAAGCTGGGATTCCTGTCCTTTCAATGCTAGTTTTACAGTGTTTAACTTGAGCAGGAGTTTCCAGGGGTATTCCTAAGATAATGGGGAAAGGAAGCATTGGTATACACAGGGCACTGAATATGATAAGCAAAAAGTTAAATAACGCTGCTTGTACTTTCTCTGGATTCTACATAGCATTCTTCTCAGATTCTGTCCAGGCAATGATTGAGCCAAAATTAGCCCAGCACATTCATTCTTCTGCCTCAGGTGAGAATCTTCAAAATGTTGCAGATTAAAACTGCTATAAAGGAAGAAATGTCTCCTGGAAATGCAGATTTCTTTTTCAGCACAGAATTAGGGAATCCTAAGAAGGAAGATGACATTCCTAAGTGTAGACAGCTGAATAATAGGCGATGCAGAAAATTGTCTAGAATTATCACATTGTTTTGAAATGACATTAGACCTAGCATGAGGAACAGCGACTTTATATGAAGAGATTGCTCTTCTAAAACACATATGTGAACTAGAAATTCAGGCTGCTGCTGCATCCAATCACATATTGTAACATCATCATCTAGCCAGAAAACTCCAAATGTTCAGACATTGCTTTCAGATAAGAAATACTTCTACAGCCACAGTTTGACCAATTAATTGTGACTGTAATTTTTAGAGCAAATTTTAAGCTTTATAGTTTAAGAAAAAGCCTACCAACAATATGCAGTTTCTCATGCAGGTATTTTGTAAATATTTAAAAATACTAATAATATCTAAATGCAGGGTGGTTTCTAGAGTTGCTTAACATTAATTTTTATATATGGATAAATTTATGCATGAGAAAAATGCTTAATTTGTTAAATGGTCTTTTCCACATATGGCTAAAATGGTCTCATGTTTAAACATATAAAAAGATGCATTAGCACTAGTAAAGTTATACCTGTAACACTGTTCAACATATTTCAAGGGATGAACAATATAGTAGAATGAGTAAATTCTCCATAATTACTCATTAGAAAAATAGATTGTTAGTCGTTTAGCGGGGGACAGGGAGTCAAAACTTAAAAATGATACTAGAATATGGGGTGGGGAGGAGAATATTTGTAGGATATAAAATCCCCATACAGTGGTGCCTCGCAAGACGAAATTAATCCGTTCCGCGAGAGTCTTCGTCTAGCGGTTTTTTCGTCTTGCGAAGCAAGCCCATTGACGGATTAGCGCTATTAGCGCTATTAGCGGTTTAGCGGCTATTAAAGGCTTAGGGGATTAGCTGCTAAAAGGCTATTAAAGGCTATTAAAGGCTTAGCAGATTAGATAAAGGGGGGGGAAAGCGAAAAAAAAATCTCAAGACTCGCAAGGTATTTTCGTCTTGCGAAGCAAGCCCATAGGGGAATTCGTCCTGCGAAGCAACTTCAAAACGGAAAACCCTTTCGTCTAGCGGTTTTTCCGTCTTGCGAGGCATTCGTCTTGCGGGGCACCACTGTAATGCCTTCTAGCCAGTTGTATTTGGTGTCACACTTCCCACCCCCCTTGTTTCTGCTCTATTTATTTTGCTTGTATCTCTCAGGGTGGCTAACAACACACAAGTGAAATTTAGCAATAGCACATATATTCTGACAGTAGTGACTTTAAATTTCTGGTAAAGAAATGTATTCTGGATTAGTAAATTTTAATGTCTTAAGATCTGGTGTCTCCCAATATATTCTCATGATCATTAATCTGGTTTAGCAGTACTGAGCTTTGTAAGTTTTGAATGTGCTAAGATAAGGTTACAAGACATCCCTGTTTCCCGGGGACAGTCCCCGGATTTACAAATCAGTCCCCTGACAAAATCCATTGAAGTTGAAAAGTGTCCCTGGATTCATTGAAAAAAATCTGGTAAACTTATGCTTAAGAGGTCTGGGGTGGAAGAAATGCTGTGTGTGAAAACAGTTGGAAGCTATAGGTATTCCTCATGAGCGTTTTTTTATTTTTTGTCAAATAGCAACTCGTCTGCGATACCTAAAGTAACCACTGAGGCAGCAGCCTGCTGAAATAGTGATTTTAATATCCCATTTCCCCATCACCGCCATTAGCGCTTGTAGTGTAACGACTGGAAACCTGTGTTGAATTGAGGCACTCATTATTTTCATCCATGAATGTAGGAGCCTCCCATCTACTGTGGCCTAACCAAAAATGTCAGCACATAATTTTAATGGTCTAAGTAGAAGCTAACAGGCAAAAGTTATTTCTAAAGCTGATTCAGATGCTGCGCACTGAAACCTGTCCAGGCTAGGCTGCCTTTGCATCCGGGGATCACCTGTACGGACACAACTGGCAGCATGGTCCTTCTCCAGCTGCAAGTGCAACCCAGCCTTGGAGAATTCATACACAGGTTAGGAGTCGTACGTAGGTGAATGAAACTATCAACAGATGATCAGCCTAGCATGGCACAGAAGGTCCCACTGGAACAGGGGTACAGGGAGACTCCAAGTGCAAGCTGCGCTGTTTTTCTAAGCCTCCATTCCTAAAATTGTGTGCATCAGTTTGCGGATTGAGTGCCACAAAAGTGAGGGCGTTGAGAGTTATGAATGAAGGTGTTCTTAAGCATACAGCTAGTGAAAATCTGCAAGATGTGAATAAGGAATATAAAGGTACTTGAATTTGTGATGTCAAAGTAGAAGTGGATTTTTACATGTTCCTAAACAGAGCATCTTAGAACTAGAATTCTGCTCTAGGCAACCTGGGCTTTGACTCATCTGAAACAAGCAAAGGTTTTGCACAGGAACAGCTAAGCGGTATCCAAAGCTCCTTGAAATCTTTTTCATCCATAGCATTCTGCCGATTGACTAGCACACACTTACTCAAGCAACAGGACAGTGCCAAAGGGCCCATGGACTGCCACTACTAGATTCACCCTGGTGTAGTTTTTTAACAAAACATTCATGCACTATATAGGTACTTTAAGTAGGTGTAGCAGTAAGCAGGTGTAGCAGTAGGTGTAGCAGATGTATGTTTATGCTGTGTGTGCATTTTCTGCCACTTGAAGAAAAGTGTGAGGTTTTATATTTGCAGTCCTGCTACGACCTTACAACACACTTGTCTGCACAGCAAGGCATCAGGTTGGTTCATTGAGGCTCTTTAGCTAGAAAAACCTAATTAAGGCTGAGCTATGGTTTGCCTCATTTTTGAGTACTCCGTACTTGTTGCTGTATTTTTAGTATGTGAACTTTGGTTTTTAAAAAAGTTGAAATAACAATTTTCCCCTTTACAAAAACAGCTAATGGGATTTTTCTACAACTTGCCAGAAATACTCATTTCCAGGCAGAGAGCAAACATGGACAATTTCACACTTAACGTTGAACATTTCAGAAAGTTCTGAGTGCTGGAAAAGGAAGTGTTATACTGAAAATTACAGCTGGCACTATTCTCTATCAATCAATATTCATTTGAACAGTTAGCTGTTGATCTAAGGGAGTAAATGCCATCCTGTCAGGGGTGGGGGCTTCCTTCCTGACTTTTGAAAATAGAACGACTTCTTTGTGTGATGTATGTGTATAATTATTCTGCTTTGTGTTCAAGTGGGCTTTTAGTACAATGGTTCTGTACCTTCACATGGACACAGAAGGCATGCTGAGCATGAAAATTCATTAAACATAATATGCATGACTGCGAGTGTTCAAGGGAGGGAAAGCATACTTTCACTTATGCTTGATGGTGCTCATTGTTCTCTACCACTCTCCCTTCAGACTTACAGTCAACTCTTTTTAAAGGGACTCTCGTACCTAACTGGTGTGTCTCTGTACGTGCCCTTGCTTGCATGCAGCGGGCGCATACTCTGGACACAACTCCAAAGTCCTTTAGGTTTCCATAGATGTTGCACAAGTACCTTCATATAGTTCTGAGATCCCTCTGTGTGAGCGTAAATATCTCTGCTGGTGCTAGAAGCTAAAGGAGCATGCCAAAAAGTGAGGGAGCAGAAGGAAGCTGGCCCCCAGCCAGATCTTTTGACCATTTTTCTTGATCGTGTCAGGGTCAAGGGGGGGGGAGGACTTTTAAGAACAATGGGCTGTAGAAGGATTGGACTGAAAGCATAGAATGCTACGTGTGAGCAACCCAAAGGATTAATTTTTAAGTCAGACTCTTGTAACATTTTGCTGCACTAATGTTTCAACAAAGAGTTGATTCAGTACTGGATATACATTTTACACCAGTCAAGTGTATAAATTGTAAATAATATGCAAACAGAAGCTTTATTGTTTTATTATAACATGTGAGGTTTTTTAAAAAAAATGATAATGCTTTTGGCTCTTAATTTTTTTTATAGAAAAATCACTTAGAAAGAAGTCAAATAAATAATGCTAATGCAAATAACATTATGTACCTAGTAGGCAGCATTACTTATTACTGTCTATGGCATTTGTAGCTGCATGACTTCCTTTTGAATCTAAACATCCTAATTTATCCTTAATGCATGCTGACATTTATCTCTCAGAGAATTTGTTTCTGTAGCCTACCTTGTCTGTAGCTCCAACTTTACCAGTTTTCTTTTGTGTTGGAAATTAGTTGTGTAAAACTTTACAAGATATTCAAAATTACAAACCACTAGAAAATACTGTGAGTAGAATTTAATTTTTGCAGCCTGTCTTGCTGGCGGCTGGATTCCAAAAAAAGCAGGCTGGATGCATGCATGCCAGTGCAACCAGGATTTTAACAGTGTCAATAATCTTTGCTCATCATACTTCTCCACACACACCCAAAAATCTGTGTCTCTGTGTGTTCATACAGATTTACTCACATACAAACCTTCACTCTGCCGGCTAACAAAGCAATGCTTCATTTATTGTGTCTTTGATTCTTGTTTGGTTTACCCCCGACAAATGAAAACCTGTCCCTCTCTTCAGTGAATTAGCTGCTTGTAAATAAAATTTCTGAGGCTTTGGTGTCTGAAGTGGCAAGGATTAGAATAATGAAAAAGCACGTTCCCTTTGACTATAGTTTTTCATTCACTGTTGTTGTTTTTTTACTTCTCTGCTTCTAATTGTTGCTTAGAGAATTTACTGTAACAATGATTTATTTTTCTGCATACATACAGTACAAATGTAAGATTAAATAATCCCTCTCTGTTTACTGCTCGCAATATTAAAATTACTTGATCCGTTGGTTGGGTTTTTGTTTTTTGTTTTGTTTTTTGAGAAGGGGGAGCCTTGGAGGGAAGAAGTAACGTACAAGCAGATGTGCTGCTAGATCTACAGGCTTCTGCCAACCATATGGCATCTTAAAGAAAGATGGTTGGAGCGTCTGGATTAGCAAAGAGTTGGGATGGAAAGCCATGTGTCGTGTTGGTACAGGCAGTTGTTTTAGCTCTCTGTAAAAGGCTTCAGGAGATTGTGTAATGGAACAAATGGTACTGCAAGCCTAGTAACAGCCTTACCGCTGCTGGAGAGGCAATTGGCCCCCAGGCGCCTACTGCTTCATCTTTTTTTCTCTCCCCCCCCCTTTCCTTTCCTTTTCATTTCTTTCTTTTTTCTTTTCTTTTTTGCAAATGTATTGGAAACTCCATGACTTGATTCTAAACTTTTTGCTTGCTTCTGCACAATACATTGCTGAGGCTTCACCTTAGCTGCCTCTTTCTCTATTCCTACACCCCCGGAAAAAACCTGCAATCAGGTTTACTTTAAATGAAATACTGTAAATGAAATTGAAAGTATTTGGACATTTTGCTAGAGTTTTTGCAGTGTCTTATGGCAGGCTGTGCTCTGCTGGTATGCCCTTTGTTTAATTGGGGTGGGGATGGGGGGAGGAATAGCATTTTAAGCACACAAGTTTGGCATTGCTGTTTTATTTGCTGCATTTTTCTTTTTACTCCAGAGAAGGGCATCATCCCACCTGCGCTAATGGATTGAAGGCAGGTATCAGGACTATATTATCTGGATTTGTGTGCCTTACAGGAAACTTCTGTGATGTACTTCCTTGTCCATGGAAATTGCTAGATTTTAGACAATGAATGTTCAGACATTCCTATCAGTTTTAACTACACGTATTTAACAATTCATTGAAGACTTATTAATAAGCTATTGGTTTGGAAAGGCACTGGTCTGAAATGGAAAGGAGGCCCTAAACTGTTGACAACTCATTTTGAGAAAGTTGAGGGAGTTTGGGCTCAAAGTTTGAATATTTATCAAAAAGGTAACTCGTTTATGAAAATATGCAAATAATCAATAATAAAGATTCACACTGTGAAATTCAATTAAAATATTATTTTTTTGCTAAGCTACCATTATTTGTAAGTTGTTAATCAGGCTGAATATATCAGTTAGAATTTCAGCTGTAATATTTAGAAGATTCTAAAAGGATTTGCATTATTTGTGAAACTTGCTAATATGGGTTCTCCCAGAGCTCCCGTACCTGCAAGCACAAGTATGCCTGCCATCCCCACAAGAAAACAAAATGAGCACTACAAATCTGGCAGGAGGCAGGACAATCTAGTGAATTGTCTAAAGCAGAGGTTCTCAATTAGGGGTCTAGGGACCCCGGGGGTCTGCAAAACGCACTGAGGGGGTCTGTGCCCCCTTGCCTTACCTCCTGACCAATGTGTTGTTGTTTTTTGTCATTTTTGCATAGCAATGTCACAAATTTTATGGTCTTTTTTTTTTTGAAAAAGTATACCTTAAATCCTCTGCTTATTAGGGCCTACCCCACATTTTGTTCAAAAACTTGCTTTGCAGAGATAACTACCATAGAGTTATCAAAAGTTTCAAAAGCTTGGCTTTTGAAAAATAGAGGGTCCTCAGTAATTAGCTAATTGGGAACCACTGGTCTAAAGCACCATTTTGTAGAAATAATTTTGGTTGGGGCCTGATGAGATGGACAGTGTAAGTGCTGGGAACTGATCAGTCACATGTCTGCTTGCCCCTTCTTCACAGAAGGCATCTGAAGGCAGCCCTGTTTAGGGAAGCTTTTAATGTTTGATGCATTATTGTACTTTAATATTTTGTTGGAAGCTGCCCAGAGTGGCTGGGGAAGCCCAGCCAGATGGGCGGGGTATAAATAATAAATTATTATTATTATTATTGTCACTATTATTATTATTATTATTATTATTATTATTATTATTATTTCATTTAGCAGAGAGGAAAGGCAATACCTGGCTGCGTCCAGGGCATCCCATAACACATGCCTCCTTGTGAGAGGAAGTAGTTGTGAGGCCACTCCTGGAAAACTACGACCCCAGATCCAGAAGACTGCAGAAAGTGCTGGGCAGTTGCAGGCATCCCTTTCTTAGATGAGGCTATTGAGAAGGTGGTCACAAGGCAGCTCCAGGCATTCCTGGATGACACAGATTATTTTGTTCCTGTTGAATCTGCACTTAGGCCTGGGTTTGATACTGGACTGCAGAAGAGGTGCTGTAATGGTGCTTGAAAGCAGTAATAAACTTGGATGAGGGTAGTTCAATCCCAACAAGATGGAGCGTGGTTCATCTGTTCAGGGAGTTGGTGTTTAACCAGTTCCTGGAAGGGTCAGGAGGTGCTCGTAGATCTATCATTGTCAGGGAAGACTCAAGTGGCCTCAGTGGTATACAATGTCAGCTAAAGCTGGTGTACCAGCTGCAGCCTCTCCTGGACAAAGATATTTTAGCCTCAGACAGCCTTACTCTGGTAATTTCCAAGTGCTGCAGTACGTTCTGTGATGAGGCTGCCTTTGAAAACTGTCCAGAAGCTACAATCAGTTCAAATCAGTTCATCTAGAATGCTAAAAGGGACCAGGAAGTGGGATCCCATCACAGTTCCTTTGAGACAACTTCATTCGCTTCCTGTTTGTTCCTAGGCTCTATTCAGATGTTTAGCTTTTGAAGCCCTACCTAACTTAAGATCCATGTATTTGGTGGGTTGTCTTTTCCTGTATCCGTCTGCCTGTTGAGATCTAGATGTGAAGCTTTTATTCTGGTAGCACAACCATCAGGAGTAAAGGAGAGATCCTTTTCCGTGGTGATACCTTGCCTGTGGAATGTTTTACCAGACAAATACCTTTCATTTCCCTATGCTTTTAAACATTGCTGAGTACAGTACTACGATTTTGTTTGTAGTTGTATTATTTCCCATTTGTTAGCTGCCTATGGGTTTTGCAAACTGAAGGATGGAACAGAATGTGCATGTAAATAAATAAGCAAAAAAAAAGTTGGATTCTATTTGGAATAGCACTATCAATTATATAGAAGACTTCACTTGGTATAGTACATTTGAACATTATGATAAGCATCTGAAAGCCAATACATATATGACTTGTTCTTACACTTCTGGGCGCTGCTGAATTTGTTTATCTTACCGTGAGCAACATGTCCAGTTTGCCTTTTTCACTTGTCTACTAGAAAATCAGTAGATACACAAAATACTTTAAAGAGAGACTTTTTATTACCTGAAGCACCTTTAAGAACAACTAATAAGGATTTTTTTGCCTTGCATTTTTTCTTTCTTCTACATGAATCTTCCTTCCCTGCTCTCCTAAAATCAATTGTTTTAAAAAGTTCGGCTCATTACAATGTGTCTGCATCAGAGGGCAGATTGTGCAGCTTATAAATGAATGGGTTGTTTTTGCCCATCACAGCAGTCCTTTCAGTCTTCATCTAGAATTTGGCATCTTAAGGCTTCAGGACTGGATCCAAAGGAGTGCTGTATTTTTGTTTTAAGTGCATACGCGCACACATTAAAAATGAAGAATGATTGATTTTTTTTTAATGGAGACAGTGACCAACAAACGAACAGAGTTAACAGAAGCTGATACATTTATCAACATTGTTTTCTAAATTTCTTGAAATGCCTGATGTCTCTTCAGGCCTCCCATACGCTCTGTGCAAGCCATCAAAAACCGAGTAAAGAATTCTCTCTTCGTTCTGCGCAGCATGCTCAAACACCACATGCACTGTCTGCTATGTGTCACTTCTTATGAAGCTCATGCTGGGAGGCTCTTTTTAAAGGCAAAGTGTTTCTGAAGAAAGGAGTTTGGATTGGGCAGCTTGCTGCAGACGATCTTTCTGGCTCAGTACTGAATTAGCATAGTGGTGGTTGTGCTTAGTTTCATGCTAGAAGGCAGCAAAAACTGGCGCTTCGGAGCCATGGAGGAGGACAATGGAAGTATATAGCAAATGCAGATGAAATTCTTGTTTTCCTTTGCTAACTGAAGGTGTTTGGCCTGGAATTCGGACTTCAACCCCAAGGTTTCCTTTAGTAAGCATGAAAAATGCTGCCAGAATGAAGGGGAAATGTCATTCCCACCTGTCAGAGTTGACCTGTGGGGAGTTGGGAATAAAGTCTCCCTGCCCCACTCTATACCCACAGTGTAATAATGGTGACTTTAGCTTCAGTTCTTTGTCTGTAAACAACAACAACAACAATAATAATAATAATAATAATAAAGGTTTGTTGGTTTGTTTGTCCGAAGGGAGTTGTAAAGATGAAATAAAAAATTGTAAATTCTGCATGAAACTGCAGGGGAGGTTATCCAGAGATTAGAGCATGAGGCACCTCAGGTTGCCAAAACTACTTCTGGCTTTGGAATTGGACCACCAGTCACAGAATGGTGGTAAGATGGAGGTGGTGTGTAATATACTCAATTGGCAGTTCCTGGCATCATATTGATGTGCAGTCCCTCTTCTCAGAAATTGCAAATGGTTAAATTCTTTATTACAGCTATTTCCTTGTAGTAGGGAGTTCCACAGTTCAACTTCCCTTGAGTGAAGTGCAGACATTGGCTCTGGAGGCATTATAACTAAGCCTTCCTATTTAAAGGCCGAATTTGCTGATCCAAATGGAGAAGGCTTTTTAATTTGTATTTTCCTTCTACCCACCCTCATGCCTCTCAAAGTATTTTTATTCCTCTCCTGACATTTCTTTTCCTGTACTTTCACGCTTAGCTTGTACCCTTTCCCATCACCCCAAACTGTCAATTTCTTTCACCCCTCCTGCCTGCTTTTACATTTGCTTCTTCTTGCCACAACAGCTTCCCGTTTTCATCCCAGTCCTCTCTGTTCCTTGTTGTTGTTGTTACTACAACTATTAAAATATTCACTTCAGTTCCTTGCAAGGCACCCTCTGACGCATTCCCCTCAAAGCAAGGGGACCTCCACCCCCAAATGTCTACATCTTCCAGACCTCTTTGTTCACTGCCAACTTCTCTTCCACCCTCTCCCCACATGTGTGTATGCACACACGGGTTCTCCAGCTCCTAATGCCTGGTTTTTCTTCTGAGATGGAGGTAGCAGCTGTCACCTTGGCATGAGTCAGGAGACGCTTCCTGGATGACAAGAGAAGACTGGGGTGTGAGTGGCTGTGTGTGTTTGTGGAGGGCAATAAGTGCCTTCTACAAAACGTATTTTATATGCTGTTTTCTATTATTATTCTATAAATTTCTATAACCACCCTACAACCGAGGATCACAGGGTGGTTTACAATGTAAAAGCACAAAAATACATAACATACTGACAATTTAAAAAACAACAACCCTCCCAGTTTAATAGGCCGTAGATTGTTTCATTAGCTAAAGGCCTGGGAGAAGAGGAATGTTTTTGCCTGGTACCTAAAAATATCTAAAGAAGGTGCCAGGTAAGCCTCCCTGGAGAGAGCATTCTACAAATGGGGAGCCACCACAGAAAAGACCTATTTGCGGACCTCTCACAGAGGAGGCACATGAAGCATGAAGAAAGGCCTCAGGAGATGATTCCTCAGAGGGAACGTAACCCCATCAAGAGAAGGCAGCCTCCCATCCATCCAGTCCAGGGAACCACCCACTAAGAGGGCCTCAGCCTAATCTGGATTGAGTTTCAGTTTGTTGGCTCTCATCCAGTCCATTACCGAGGCAAGACAGTGGTCCAGGATATCACTGCCACATCTGCAAATGCAAAGGAAAAGTAGGGTACATGCATTAAACAAAGGCAAAGAGCACCCAGCACTTTCACCTGCTGCCTATTGTCTCTGAGCTTCTAGGCAGGGTCTGTTGAGGAGTGGAGGGAAGAGAAGAATACACATAATAATGCCAGTGTAGTGATGGATGGATTCTTTTTAATATTTCCATGTTACTATTAATAGTATCCACCTCTTTTTCTTCCCCCAATATTCACTCCATATTTTTCTCCTCACAAATCTGTCCCATTCCTTCTCCAAAATTTCTGAGATGGGGATTAAATCAGCCACTGTCACTAGCATCCCCTCTGGGGTAAGGGCTGAGTCTTGCCCAGCCTGTTGGGAACTGAGCTAGCTCCGGCCTACCTCTACTCAGCCCCAACAATGTGGTTTCATAGCCCAGCCATAATTATAGTGGTACCTCGGGTTAAGTACTTAATTCGTTCCAAAGGTCCGTTCTTAACCTGAAACGGTTCTTAACCTGAAGCACCACTTTAGCTAATGGGGCCTCCTGCTGCTGCCGCGCTGCCGGAGCACAATTTCTGTTCTCATCCTGAAGCAAAGTTCTTAACCTGAGGTAATATTTCTGGGTTAGCGGAGTCTGTAACCTGAAGCATATGTAACCCGAGGTACTACTGTACATTTTTTTTGGTGTGAAGAGCTCTTGGAAACTGATATTTATATCCACAGTGATGCTAGATAAATATTAGTTTGTGAGGAAACCACAATGCAGAGAAATAGGTTGCCAGGAGACAGCAACATGACCAACCCTATTTGTGATGATGTTCAGGAAACTCCAGCATAGGTTAATAGAATGGGATTTCTTTTTCAGTTTTGAGTTGGGTCTTGTCAGTTTTTGTTTTGGCAATATCATCAGATGTTTTATGCATTTTTCTAAGTACAAATAAAAGTAAAGATGATGATGGAAAGAACTGTGTTTTGACTAAATACTCCTCTTCATATCTATGACGTGAGGGAGTTAGCAGAGAGGCTTACGAAATTAAATGGAGTAGTTAGAATTACTTATTCATGTTTCCTTAAAAGTGAGGCCACTATGTTTTATGGGGCTTATTCCCAGATATTTGTGCAAAGGGTGCAGCCTTAGTTCTATTTCATTTAACAGTATTTAATCATTTGTCATAAATTTAAACATTGCTTAGGACTGCTTCACAATGATATACATTGCTTGATGACCAGCAGCTGAAGTGAACTGATTCAGTTATGTCTCAAATGTGTGGGGTGATATTAAGGTTCTTTCTGTGGTTTTTTGACCCGTAATGGCTCATTCATACATAGAAGTCACCACAAAATGCTGCAGTTATCAAATGAAGATAATGCATACGTACACACACACACACACACACACACCTGGCATTTCAGTTAATTGCTGTGTTAACTTCACAGATTACCATTTTCTCACACAGAAACAATATTTTTGTAGTGTACTGTAAAGTGAAGCACAACTGTTTTTTCCTACTCAGGTTGGATTGCTTCTGCATGCCTCTGTTGCCCATCCGTGAATTTGCAGTGCCAAAAACATGCTGTGCTTCGCACATTCCAATAAACTCATATTTTTCTACACAAAGAGAACTCCAAGCAGAGGGGAAAAGCACAGTAATGTGCGAAACCCTAAATGGTGACACATCTTGGGTGATTTGGGAACTTTGGGGGTGTTAAAAGAATGAATGGAATACGCACTGCAAAGCTCTTTGCCTATTAAAGGGACTGAATTATTTAGTGTTTAGCTTGAGTATTCAGAGGTCAAGAGGGCTGGCGTCTTCCTGGAACTGAAATCAGTCAGCAGAGAGCACTGTCATTTCCCCACATTATTCCCAACGCAGCCACCACAGTAATAGGGTTTTATGATATGGAAATATTTTGTGGGGGGTGGGCACTGCAGGTTTTCTGGAAGATGGCGCAAGCTTGTTTTCTCCTGCTTGGCTAGGACCCAAACCGATGGCTTCAAGTTACAGTGGTACCTCGGGTTAAGAACTTAATTCGTTCTGGAGGTCCGTTCTTTACCTGAAACTGTTCTTCACCTGAGGTACCACTTTAGCTAATGGGGCCTCCTGCTGCTGCTGCCGCGCTGCCAGAGCACAATTTCTGTTCTCATCCTGAAGCAAAGTTCTTAACCTGAGGTAATATTTCTGGGTTAGCAGAGTCTGTAACCTGAAGCGTATGTAACCTGAAGCGTATGTAACCCGAGGTACCACTGTACAAGAAAGGAAATGCTGACTAAACACCAGAAAGAACTTTCTGCTGTTAAGAGCAGCTTGATGGTAGAACGGTCTCCCTCAGGAGGTTGTCGACTCTCCTTCCTTGGTGGTTTTAAAGCAGAGGTTGAATGGCCATCTGTCATGGATGCTTTAGCTGAGATTCCACAATTGCAGGGAGTTGGACTAGATGACCCTCAGGGTCCCTTCCAACTCTACAATTCTATTATTCTAAACACTACATAAAAACAGCCTGCTGGATCAGGCCCATGGCCCATCTAGTCCAGCATCCTGTTCTCACAGTGACCAACAGGATGCTTGTGGGAAACCAGCATGCAGGATCCAAGCACAGAACCCCTCTCCCTTCCTGCACTTTCCAGCAACTACGGTAGTATTCAGAAGCATTACTGCCTCCCAGCATGGAGGCAGAGCACAGCCATCGTGGCTAGTAGTCATTGATACCTTTATCATCTGTGAATTTTTCTAATCCTCTCTTAAACCCTTCCTAGTTGGTGGCCTTCACTGTCTCCTGTGGCAACGAAGTCAATACTTTTAAGTACCCACTGCATGAAGAAAACCTGGGAAGACCAGTTTACCATAGATGAGTGTGCAAGGAATTCTCAGAAGATTCCTTCTTCCTGCTTTCAAATCCCTTAAACTCTCTGGGGTGGAGGGGGAGCTATTTTCTTCAGCGTTTGACTTCACCTGCAAAGTCACGCAGCTGCGTTATCCCTCCAAGATCTAATATTGAAATGTGGACTCTCTTTTCCCAAGTGGTTTATTGCCTTTTTGCAGAATTCCTTTGGCTGCCGACTTTCCTCTGAGTCTTTCTGTTCAGCTCAATTGGTTTCTTTCAGTTACCGTGGTAACCAGCAGATGGGGTTCTTTGACAAGGGTCAGTAGGGAGGCTGCCACCATATACAGGAAGAGTGGCTAAATAACAAAGCTTTCAGTGCTGACAGTTCAGCAATAGCCAGCCAGGAGTAGTTATCAGATTACTTATATTAAAACCTAATTAAGATGTGTGCCAGTAAGTGCAGCGTGGATATTGGATTTGGTGATTTAGCTGCTGCCAGTTGCTGTAATTCAATCTCACTGCTATGGCACCTACAGCTTTGCAGAGTACAGTAGAAATCGGTTTCATGCATAATCCGATGGTACTGGAATGATGCATAATGTAATCGTTTGGTCTCTTCCGGCTTAGCACCTCAATCCTGGCCTCATTATATATATTTATAGCAAACTGGAGAGCGAAGGGTTCTCTTCACATATTATGAACTCTCCCAGCCAGGTGAGCTTTTGCAGCCAATGCTGTGACGTGTCATATATTTACCAATTTTACAATATGGCGGTCAGTTATGGAAGATGATTAGTTTTACTTTGGGCTGGTGGAATAGGAAGAGAACATTGCAGAAGTAAAAACTGGAAAGCATTTTTTTTTGGGGGGGGGACACATTTAAAAAGCCTTCTGATAGCATGCTTCAGAGCACAGGATTCCAAGCACTCTTTCCCCTTCTCCTTGATTTCATTCCTCTATCTCTCTTTCCTTGCCCTGCCATTCATCAGTATCCTTTTTGTTGGAGTAACTTCTCAGTGTAGACCAGGAAGTGGCCCTTTCAGGCAACAAGATAGCTATTTCTCACTTTTATACGTTATGCTTCTCTGTTCTAGCCACTCTAGTCCATCATTACCTGCCTTCCACCAAGTTGCTACTCTCATGTATTTGACATCCCATGCCATTGAGTTATTATAGGACTGTTTAAGGGGTGAAGTTTTTTGTTTTGGTTTTTCCCCCCTTAGACTTTTTCCTCACTAAAGATTTTGGAGCATCTGTAAAGCCTGCCAATACTTCTCCCTTGTGTGTGATGCTATCTACATGGTAGTAGCACGGAAGGACCCAAATCTATTATCATATATAGTAATACAGTGTAGACCAGGCATAGGCAAACTCGGCCCTTCAGATGTTTTGGGACTATAACTCCCATGATCCCTAGCTAACAGGACCAGTGGTCAGGGATGATGGGAATTGTAGTCCCCAAACGTCTGGAGGGCCGAGTTTGCCTATGCCTGATCTAGGCCCTAGCTTACATCCCAGTTATCTTCCTGCTCCAGCTGTGTAAATAAAGATTGGGGGCAGGGGGATCTGGTTTTCCCAGCTGTGTCAAGTGCCTCTTTAGGTTGGATGTGATACAAGTACTTGGATGGGAGAGGAAGGCAAGTTGTTGCATTTGTGACTCAGCAGTTCCATTCCCAGGTTCTGCTGCTATTTGCTCAGGAAAGTGCTGAACCAGAAGGGGGTCAGGCTATGTGGCTGCAACTTTCTAGGTCTAAATTTACTTTTTAGTGTGACTGAGAGAGAAGGGGGATAGCTGGATATATGCTGATAGGTATGTCTGTAGACATATTTATGACTCTTTATGCTGAGTACTTAATGCATAACGGAGGTCTGTAAACTCAGTAAATCACTCTTAAACGGGACATGCTTTGCTGACCTTACACATTCTGCAAATTATGTAATCTGTGGACACAGTGGGGAATTCCTGTTTGGCGTCAATTGAATGACAATATGGGGGGGGGAGAGAGAGAGAATGTAAATAAGCTGGAGTCTGGTAATTCATTGGTGGAACCTATGAAGCTATGAGACGTGGTATTAGTAATTTCTGAGGTAACTTTCATGTCCCTGAGTAGAACTATGCATACACTTTGTATTATGCGGTGGTTTTCTACCAATGATCAGGGCTGGGTTAATCACATTAAGCACATGCTTAGCGCATCAAGGGAAGGGGGCACCACAGAAATTTTCCATTGTCAGATTTACCATGGATAATATGGTGCAGCTGAACCAGGTTCCACAAAAAAGACTCCTACAATAAATGAATTTAGTAATAATAAAATAGTAATAATAGAGATTAATGATATACATTTTAGGGAAGCCTTTAATGTTTGATGTATTATAGTATTTTAATATTTTTTTGGAAGCTGCCCAGAGTGGCTGGGGAGGCCCAGCCAGATGGGCGGGGTATAAATAATAAAATTATTATTCTTCTTCTTCTTCTTCTTCTTATTATTATTATTATTTTGGAAATACAACAGAAATAAAGTCTGGTAACTTGAGTCCCCTGAGCTCACATGATCGTTCTTATCTTGGTCATGTCGGCTCCTGTTCAGTCGTCCACTGAGAGTGAGTTTTTTGGGGGGTGTCTCCAAATTTGGAGGTTTTTAAAGGCCTTGGTGCGAATTTTGGAGGTAATTATTGGGGGGGGGGGTAAGGGAGCAAAATATTAACCACATCGATTTTGGAAGCATTCATTGTGTCAACCCACAATGAAATTACCCTAGAGTTTCATTTTATTTGTGACCAATTCTAAGGCAATATGTAAAAAGTGAGTGACAATTGACTGTCATGTATATAATAGTGTGTTAACAATAAACATTATTTTCCATGTTACTGTAGGTTTTGTTTCATTTCGAAAAATAAAAAAATATTTTGCAGTTTGAATTAGATATATATGGGGACACCAAAATATTAAGTGCCTGGGGCCTCTAAATGGCTTAATATGGCCCTGCCAGTGATACATATTGGTAAAGGTAATTTTGTGAATTCTTCCAGATAAGATTTCTAATTTAAAAATAAAAATACTTGACAATGTGTCTGTGTAGGGGAAGAATGTATACCTAAAGGACAGCTTCTACCATGCGCTTCACTTCCGGAGAAGCCTTGGGTCATTCCCTCCTATAACTGCCCCACCAGAGCAACCTCTTTTTATCTGTTTTTTTCCAGGTTACAGCAGCTTGACAAGCATTGCCAGACTACTGCCCAGCAGCTAGTGGAGCTGCTGAACAAGCAGAATGAGCTATACAAGGAGAGGCAGATGCTTACTGAGGAGGTGGAGTTCCTGAGGATTCAGGTACCACTCAGAACCAGGAAAAAATGAATAAAAGCTAGAGAAAAACGCTTGACCATCAGTGACTAAAACAAAAGAACCGGGCCAATACAGTTTCAAAATCTGAATCCTGTGACTGCAAATTCAAATCATCGCCTTCATACAGTTGTTGATCTGGACACTCTAAGCTTCCCTCTACTTCCCCAGTTTTTGCCCTTTCTCCTTCCCTAGAAGAGGAGCTCATTTGAAGGTTCAGCTGTCATAAAAAAAACGCAGCCACATTTGGACATTACATTTCCAGTGAGGACTGGAAAGAGTGCTATAGGTGCCAGTTACAAAAAGGCACTGGGGCATTTAAGAACACAAAATGGCCGCCACTGCGAAAATAGCAGGCATCCCAACTACACCCGCACCCATGGAGAAAAAAGGCACGACATCAGCCACTGTTGCATTTGTTCAAAGAGGTGCGCTATTTGCACAGAAGGGAGGGGCAGTGGGTGTCCAGTCCTGGTACCCTGTGAAATCGGGGCATGATTTAGGGGGCATGGTCAGTGCAGGAGGAAAAAACTCTCTCATTTGTTGTGGATTTTGGAGGGGATAATTGCTGCGATTTTTTGCAGCTGCCATAAGAAGTACTGGTGCGTGCATTTGGCACCATAGCTGAACATGATATGATCCAGTTGCAGCGAGTCTTGAGCTTATGCGCGCTCTCTTCCTTTGAGGAGTTCAGAAGCTGTCACATGTGCTTTGGTCAACTGAACCAAGAAACTATGGGTTGTTTAAAATTATTGTGTATGACTAACAAAGCGTGCTTTCCTTACATGGGGCAAATACCAGAAACCTTGTGCTATCTATTCTGAAGTCTGACTAGATATGGAATGTATGCAACCTTCTTTTTATAAAAGAGCTGTTTCCTATAAAAATCATAAAATTACTACCTGAGTTGGTAAAAATTAAGGTGCTGGCACACACACGACTTGATAAATGGTAAAATGTCTCTCCCACCCCTCTCCTCTTCCTTGCAACCCTATCTCCCTTCTCTATTGCATTTGAGATGAGTTTTAAGTATATATTTTATTCATATATTTCAAATAAAAAATATTTAAGGTCCTTCTTTTGAAACTGCACACATATATTAAAATCGCCGTTAATAATATGGTCAGTTGTCATGAACAAAATCAACTACTGCATGATGTGTCCTTCTTATTACACGACAAGGGAGCGGGTGGCGCTGTGGTCTAAACCACAGAGCCTCTTGGGCTTTCCGACCAGAAGGTTCCAGTTCTGCCATCATTCGCCACCAGAGGTCACTATTAGAGGATCAATTATGATTGAGCATAATCACCTATTTCTCTGCTAGTCCTTACTGGTTGTACAGAAATGCCAAAATGGAGCTGGGAAAATGTTTCCAGCTTCAGGGTGACATGCCTGGAAAGGTTACCCATGTGAGGAAGTCAGTGGTGGGTCAGCCAAAGCCACATATAAACCCCATATGAACATCATCCCCCCCCTTCATGCACTATAAATGACAATGTATGAATGGTACGGGGATTAGGGATGTGTGTGGATCCCCTCTTCTTGTGTGAAAGGGACCTTGTCTTAGCATAAAGCAGCTTCCTCTTGATACAGAGGCCCATCTCTTGTAATCTGATAAAATTCACAGTAAACTGTATTTTCGGAGGGAAACCTGCCATATCTAAGAAAATAAGAGGCAAGGAACCAAATGTGCCTTCAAAGCAAGGGCTCTGTTATTTTCTGCTAAACGTGAACAATGTTTAGAACTCATTGAAACCCTGATTTTCCAGAATGAAGTATTGCCATGACAGATGTTTTTTGCCTCTCAAATGGTCAGCTTATGCATGTTACATGCCTTTGAAACAATTTTTTTTTACACAACTGTGCCACGTTCTCCACAATTGACAAACCTTTCTTTTGAGACCTTAACCACAGGAAGAAAGCAATATAAATAAACACTTGGTGCTCTTGCAAGTGACAGAAGTCAGTCTTTGGTTTTTCTCTTTTAGTTACCCAGTGCGCTACAGCTGCGATACTGAGCGGCTGAAGCTAACTTGGAAAACAGCCTTCGTTAGACGAAAATACTGTATCCAATTTCAGCTTGTTGACCTGAAGCTCTTAAATAATTAAATCTTTGCAAACTTATCTTGTTGCTCTGGAAAGAAGTCGTCCCTGTCTGCAGATTTTGTGAAGTGGTTCAGTCTTTTTGAGCATTCAAGGCTGCTTGTTCTTCCTCACCCAAGAAAATACGTTTGGATCTATTTCTGGGAAGTTGCCCATAAATTCCATTGCGGGGGACGTGACACCATCACCTTCCCCTGCTTTGGGTGAGAACTTGGAAGCATACAGAGGGGAAGCACAAGTCACTTTCTCTTGCACTTACTTTGAATGCTTACCGCTACCCTAATTTAAAATAGTTTGCACCCCCACTTCTTTTTTCCCCCACTCACCTTATTTTTTTTAACTTCCAACATTTATTGCTTGCCCCTTATCAAATTCTAGATAAGGAGCAGGGCTAAAATTGCTCCAGGGTTGCAGAGCAACTTCCTTAGCGAGGTTAGAAACTGGTCTGGTTTTACATCTTTTGAGAGAAGGTACAAAGCATCCGCCTTTTGAGAAGCGGATGGCAGGGAGGGGAAAGAGCATTGTTGGCTCATTTCTGTGGTATATTGTTTTTATTGCTACTTCTGGGTTTTCTGCTGGAAGTTGCCTCATGGCTTGGAGAAGTGATATTCAATTGTTTTAAATAGATATGTCATAAAATACATGTCTTTGTCAACCTTTAAGCAAGGCACACATGTGTATCTTCCACAGATAACGTTATTTATTTAGAACATGAATAGGCAAACTAAGGCCCAGGGGCCGGATCCAGCCCAATCGCCTTCTAAGTCCGGCCTGGGAATCAGCGTGTTTTTACATGAGTAGAATGTGTCCTTTTTATTTAAAATGCATCTCTGGGTTATTTGTGGGGCATAGGAATTCGTTCATTATTTTTTCCTTTCAAAATATAGTAACATAGTCTGCGCCCCCCCCCCCAAACAAGGTCTGAGGGACAGTGGACTGGCCCCCTGCTGAAAAAGTTTGCTGACCCGATTTAGAAGCTTGTGTCGTTTAATAATTTACCAAGCTCCTGAAACATAGCCTTTGTGTATTAGAACTATATTTATTTTATGATCCATTTGTGATTTTGAAACTTTTTCCAAAAATAAGAACAAGATGTTTTTCAAAATCAAATTTTATTATGGTTCAGAGATAGGAAACTTTTAAAGGTGTATATATTGATCCCATGACCTCAGCTGCAGGATTTTGCTACAGTAAGACAACCATGTTGCAAAGTTGTTGAGGACTTCAGTAAGCATCTGAGATGGATAGATATCATTTAAACAATACTATTGGGCAAATGAAATACTGGTAAATAAATCTTTCTCATGGATTTATAAATGGTCCCACTGCAGTTAATTTTCCTTTCCCACAAATAACATCAATCATCCTGGACTGAATAATTTTTCCTGCTAAATATGGAAATGTTCTTCACTTTTATACCTCAGGACTCTTTGGTTTAAGACTGGTATCTCCTTAGTGCTGGTTCATAGCGTTGTGGGGCCAAAAAGCATAATGGTCGCAATCTTTGTTGCTGCCACTCACCTCCAAAGCAGGAGGGTAGGGGTTCAATTTAAAGAATAAATAGGGCATGCGAGTGCCAAGGTGTTAAACCTTCACTTCCCGGCCTGTGGCTTACCTCTCTGCAGTCCAACCAGGGCTGGTATTGGTGCTGAAGCTTGTAAATACCTGTCTCGGAAGGCGACCTGTTTGTAATTTTCTTGTTGCACCACAAAGACATTCTGTAAAAACTGTTAGTTGTCTGGGAGAGTGTTGCCGAGTAGAAAGCGACTCCCTTTTGCCCTTTAAATTAGACCACCTCCCCACTTTGTACGTGCTCAGTACAGACCCACATTTAAAGAAATGGGTCTGCTGCAGTGCATCTAAGTTTGGTCCTTAGAAGGGACCTTGCAAACTTCTGCATCCATCGACCACAGCAAGCACATGCTGGTGTCCCTCCATCCACCTCTTACTTATCTGATGAATTAATAAGAGAGAGCGCTTAAGAAGGAACCACTATTGGCCATGGCTGCAGAATATTGCTACGGCCTTGTCTTTTCTTGCCAGATTTGAGCTGCACTAGGGAGGTAAAGAAGAAGCTGCAATACTACTTTCATAGTTTCTCTGGTGTCAGCTGCTTTTCTTCTGTACTTCCCCTTCACAACTTCAGGCAAAAACAGCTGTTCCTCCTGTCTACTGGAAAAATCAAAGGTGCTGCAATGGTGATTCTTGAACAACCTAAGTAGCAGCTTTCTCCTTGCAAGAAGCATGACTAGAAGGCTTCTCCCTTAGATGCCTGTAGTAGCTGCCCAAGCCATCAGCATGTTTGCGTACCAAAACTGCTTTCTATATACATGGTGTTGCATAAACACTTGGCGCAAACAATCTCGTCTTGGTTAAGATATCAGAAGAGCTCTTCAAGATGACATACTCCTTTTGCTTCTGGCTTATGTGCTCCTACTTCTCTCCCTCTGTCCGCACTAGACTAAGTCTGCACTGATTTCAACACTAAGCGTAGTTAAATCAGAATCTGAAATCAGCTTCCAAACTTAACATCAAAATCTGGTTTAAGGCTACCAGTAGTTGTTAGCTTATTGCAGACATGATGCTCAGCAGTCAGCACTGAACAAGGACAGGGAGAGTCAAAGGGAGATGAGGAACAGTATGTGAGCTCATGGAAGAAGGAGAGTGGACAGTCCACTCTTAAATATATTCAATCTGTACCAAACTGAAGAGGCTGACACAGAACATTTATCCAGTGGCAAAGCAGCAAGTTCTGGGTTGCATGTCATTTTTAAAAAGCTAATTTTTTACCCCTAATAAATATTAAAATGAAAGTTATTAATTTCCCCAAGTAATATTTTTATCTCCGATAACTAATTGTAAGAATCCTGCAAAGAATACACTGGTCAACAACAAATTTGTTGTCTGCGTTTTTTCAGCTGATATAGGACGAATCTGATGCGCTGAATCCAAAAATCACATTGGTTTTGCTCAATCAGGTCAAGTTTTTGAGCTATGGCCACATGTCTTTTTTTACGTTTCTGTTCACATGTACGCTTGTGTGGAGCATTTTAGAAGAAGTTGGTGGGGGTAAAATGCCATGTCGAATAATTGCTTTGATTGGAAATGATCATTTTAATGACAAGAAGTATTCAGGTCCGATAGTTCTGGGTGATTATGTCGAAAAGGGATCAGTTTGAAGTCATAAAACCTTGAAATCTTCCATAAATTGGTGCGGCAAAGCATAAAGTTGGGGGATCAAAACTAAGTTAATGGTCACTTGGTGACCAGGATAAAGCTTGGGCGCCACACATGGTGTGCAAGGCATGCACTGAGACTCTACGTGGGTGGACCAATGGCAAGAGGAGTCTGAACTTTGGAATTCCCATGGTTTGGAGGAGCCGACAAACCATGTCACTGACTGCTACTTCTGCGCTGTTGATGTGACTGGGATCAACAGAAAGAACCGGAGCAGCCTCAAGTATCCTGATCTTCAATCAGCACGTCGTCCTGCAGCTCATTGTGATGAAATTCCAGTGCCTATCTTTGGAGAACTTCCTGACATTAGTGACAAAGATGCCTCCAGCGTTGAAGGACATGAAGAAGATGTGGTTCTTGAAGATGATGCTCCACATCCATTTTCCCAAAAGGAGTTGAATGATCTAGTTCGCGACCTCAGCTTGTCAAAGGACTTTGCCGAACTGTTGGCATCCAGATTGAAGGAAAAAAACCTCCTCTCTGACAGTGCTCGCATCAGCTTCTTCTGCAACAGGCATCAAGAGTACCTCCGTTTTTTCACGGAAGAGAAGGACTTGGTGTACTGTGCAGATATTACACAGCTTCTGCTCAAGCATGGAGTGCCACAGTACGAACCCAAAGATTGGAAACTGTTCATTGACAGCAGCAAGCGATCACTGAAATGTGTTCTGCTACACAACAGCAACCAGTTTGCCTCTCTACCCCTGGCTCACTCGAGTACACTGAAGGAGAACTATGAAGC